TTGTCTATTGCAAAGTCTAAGTCTAAGTACCTAATTAAGCATCTAGATCTAGATCTTATAAAGGTTAATCTAAGGTTAGGAAATAATCTTAAGTACCTTAAGACTTTCTTTAAAGCTTTTAGGTGGGCTTTAGATAGATTACTTAAAAATGCACTTAGCTTTCTAATTGCAAAGGCAATGTCTGGTCTTATTATAATTATTAGCTACATCTATGTTCTAATTATTATCTAGTATTCCTCCTTGCTGCATCTCTTATTATTTGGGCCTAACTTAATAAGTCCCTTATAATTATCTATTAGTAAGAGAGTTGGCTTTAAGGATTTTGACTTAATGCCTAGTTTCTAAAGACTTTCCTAAATATAATAGCTTTAATCTAGTTTTAGGGTTCTAAGCTTCCTGTTTCTTATAATGTTTATTCCTAGGATTCTAGATAGTTCTCTAAGATCCTTAATCTTAAAGATCTTTCCAAATTCCTTCTTAAACTAGTTTATAGAGTTTATTAATAGGGCAGCAATTGGAATATTATTAACATATGTTATAACTATAAGATTCTTTCTATAATAGAACATTAGACATAGGTTAACCTCTAACTAAACAAATCCTAAATCTTTAAGCTTTAAAACATAAAGCTAATTCTAGTCTCTAGCAGCTTGCTTTAATCTATATAGGCTTCTTAGGATTTTTAGGACTTAGCTAGGGGGAAGATCCACTCCTTTAGGTGGGGCTATAAAAATGTCTTCTTAGAGGTAACTGTTTATAAAAGCACTGTTAATATCTATAAGATRGAGTTCCTAGTCTTCCTTACAGACTATAGCTATAAATGTTCTTAAGGTTTTATATCTAATAGTTAGTGCAAAAGTCTCCTTAAAGTTAATCCTATATTTCTATAAAAAACCCCTTGCTACAAGTCTTACTTTTAACTTGTTAAGGGCACTACTTGCTAATCTTTTTACAGCAAAGACCTATTTTAAGGTTATAAGGTTTAATCCTTTTAGAGTAATAGCTAGTTCCTAGGTCTAGTTGCTTATAAGTGAATCTAGTTCCTTCTAGATTGCTTCTATCTATATTKCTCCCTATTCTTTATCTCCTACTGCTTCCTTATAGGTAGCTAGAACTAGGATATTCTACTAGTATGCAGTTTAGGTAGCTGTTGTAGAGAAAGCAAGTTTATAGAAGATGTCTTACATTTCTAGGTCCTAGCCTAGTTTAGAGATTATAGCTAATAGAGCCTATATAATCTCTATTACTTCTCTATTAGGATTCTAATTCTTTAGCCTCTCTTAGCTTGTCTCCTAAAAGACTTTTAGTCCTTTAGATTTGGATTTAAATCCTTCTACATTACTTGTAGCTTTTCTCTTTCTTTACTCTACCTAAGGTGGAGAATTAACTTAGTCCTTAATTTTCTAGAATTCCCCCACATTTGCTAGGGGAGGAGGAATCTAAACAAATGCTATAGGGGCTAACTTTTTAGTTATAGGTTCCTAGATTAGAATAGGTTTAGGTCTTAGTAYATTAGCTAGCCTTCTAAGTGGTTTTCTCTRTAGTGCATTTAAGGAAAGATGCTTAGATTAAAACTTCAAATCYAAATTACCCCCCCTCTTTTCCTTAAAGAATACYAYATTTAAGTGCTGTTTTATAGCTCTTATATCTAGATCCTAGAAAAGCTAGGATTTTAATGTTCCTTTAACATATCCTACAAATACTGCATCCTTTCCTCTGTTTATAAGTTTATTACTCCTTGCCTATCTAGGTTACGATTTTAGGTCTATATACATAATAGCTTAGTACCCCTAAACTCTTAGATAATATATAGTTAGCTTGATTCCTATAAATGCTTCTTTAGGTAATAGCTTAAAGCCTTTAACTTTAGGACTATTCGGCAGCCTGTTCCTTATTTTAAACTAGGCTACTAGGGCTTTAGGCTAAAACTTAATTAGTATTCCTAATTCTTTAATTATTGCCCTTACTGCATCTTCTAATGTTTAGATAGATCTTTCTATAACTCTATTCTAAATAGAGTTATATACATCTATTGTGTTAAAGTGGATTCCTAAATCCTTCTCCTACTATTTTAGTAGACTAGTAAGTTTAGGTGTATTGTCTAATCTTATTGTCTTTAATTTTAAAGATGTTTTTCTTTTAGCTTTTAGCTTCTAGATTTTTAGAGTAGCTAGGGCATCCTCTCTGCTAATAAGTAGGTATCCCTATTTCTTTCTTAAGAAGTTGTTAACAATTTCTAGCTAGTATTAATATCCTAATCTAGACTTTAGGAGAGGGCTATAGATGTCTAGGGACATAAGCTTAAGTACCTAAGGTTTTCTCTTAGTAACTTTTCCTTTATATTTCTTTATCTTTATAAGAGCATAGACTCTGCACTTTTCCTTATAGTCTTCTAGGAGTTAGATTAGATTCTTTAAGTCTGTTACTTTATAGACATTCTTAAGAAGATTCTTGCTAAAATAGCTAAATCTTCTGTGCTAAAGCTCCTACTAATTTAGTAACTCTCTTACAGCAAATCCTATTTCCTTACTTTCTTCCTTTTCTTCTTTTACTAATAAAATAAGAGCCCTCTCCTAGAGGGACTCGGAAACTTCTAAAATAAATAGAACACTATTCTAGATTCTAGTCTAGATAACAGGAGTTCTATCCTATAATACTAGAGTAAACTAGGGTAGTTGAACACTATACTAATAGCTGAACTAATTCTAAGAAACAAGATTAACTCCTAAATTAGGTACAAACAAAACTTTATTAAGCAAGATTTTCTTCCTATTCTAGCCTCCTATAACTGCCTTTCCCTTATATGTAGCTTGTAGCTATCTACCCCTAACCTTAATCCATTTCTTCCTTTAAAGTAGAATTATAGATCTAAAGAGTTATAGTTAGTTAGTTATATAGGATAAGGCACAGGAGTCTAGTAACTATTCTAAGGAGGTTAACTTGCCTTTTGCCTCTAAAGAAGAGTATGCAATCTTATTAGTTTCCTCCTTAAATTAGGWTAAGGTAGCACTTAATAAGGTTAGGGAGGATTCCCTAGATTAGGCTTGTTTAGCAAGGAATGCTTTCTTAGTAGTCTTCCTTATTTTCCTAAGTTTAGAAACCTCTTTTCTAATTATTTCCTCTATTGCCTTCTTAAATTCTTTAAGAGAGTCTCTTCTTTTCTTAACCCTCTTTAAYRAAGAGGAGGAGTATTTCTTRCTAGAGATCTTTCTCTTTTTAGGCTTTAGAGAATCCCTGTTTCTAGATAGGAAATTTTCCTAAGGTCTAATTGCTTTCTTTGCCTTTTCTAGCTATAGACAATCTTGTATAAAGTGTTATCTATTATAGAGGAAGTATGTTCTTGTCCTTCTAAAGGCTGCTATTGCAAAGTCCTCCCTATAATAGAGGTCCCTTACTTCCTAAGATTTAAGGATAAGTAGGATCTATTTGTAGTTCCTAGTAAGCATCGGCTAGGCTATAATTGCATTCTTAGTTAATTYAAACTTAGRAGGGAGTGCTAAAAGAAGGATCCTAATTTTCCTTTTAGGTTCTTTTATATATAACTCCCTTTTATTAACCTCTACAATCCTCTTTACTATTAAACTAATCTGTACCTAGGCTAATCTTACTATATCTTCCTCTCCTATTCTAAAGTTTATAAGTTGTTATACTATTAATATAGCATATGCTATAAGCACCTTGCTATATTTCTTTTAGAGGAAGAGCTACATTTTAGCAGCTATCTTTATATCTATTAATAATTAAATCTTATCTGCTTTATCTAAGCTAACTCTTAATCTTAGCTTATACCTGCACTTGGCATTCTCCTTTTAAAAGTTTAGCTAGCTAGCTATTCTTGCAACCCTAGCATCTAGATTAAGGAGTAATAAATTGTCTAGGTTAATTAATCCCTTAATGTTGTAGAAGATGCCTTTTCCTTCTAGGTTGTCCCTCTATAGTTTAAACTATCTTTTCTAGTTCTCTCTTATTAGGATTAGAATCCTAACATAGGTCTAACTGTCCTTCTCTTCCTCTATTTTAGTATATAAATAGCTTAGTCCTGCTAAGGCTTTAGTAGTAAAGTAAAGGGTGTGTATGTGTTTTAAGGCTTTAGATTTAGAGTCCTCTACTCCTTATAGCTATTAGATAATCCCTTAGTCCTAATAGTTAAATGTTCTAAACCCTTAGGAACTAATCTGTCTTCTGTGTTTTCTTCTTATCTAACCTGCTATTAAAACTCCTAGCAGTATAAGATAGGGTACTAGAAACTAGTGTCCTTTCTGTGTTAGCTTTATAAGGTAGGAGAAACCTTTACTACTTTAAGGTTAAGGTCTTTTTTCCTTCGGCAAACCCGGGCTTATAACCTATTAGATATTAGTCGGAGGTTCGCGGAATTTTAGAGGTAGAGTATAAGAGTAACTTAATCTTTAACTAGCTTACTATCTCCGACAGGCAGTACTTAAAAGTAGGAACTAATGTGTTAATTAAGTTAATTATCTAGAGATATGTCTCCATCTCCTAAGAAGAGATTTTACCCCACATAGAGTTACGTGACCTTGTAGCTACTTGGCTCTCTATAATGTTAGATGTACAGCTATTCTATAACTGCACTTTCTAACACTCGTCGCTTTAATCTAAGGGCTATATTAATGTCTAAGATGCGTGTTCTTAAGCTAGTAGGCTTCTTTCTAAATCGTCTTATGTAGGGTAACGGAACGAACTAGCTAGCCTACTAGCCCTAAGTAGGCGAGGCAGACTATAGGTCTAGCTAAGGAGCTAGACTTAAGCTCTTAGCTACCAGATGTTCTAAAATAGATGAACTCTAATTGAATTTACTTAAGGGAAAATTCCTCGGCTATATAGTCCTGCCTAAGTCACGTGGCTACTTAAGCCTCAGGCATACATGCTCAGTTCTTAAGTGGAGACTTTGAGAACACGATGCATGGCAAGTGAAGACCGCATTGCTCGACAATGGAGCATCGCCGAAATCGACATCCACGGCTTATTTTTTAGTCTGCACCATGGCGACCACAGAAGCAAAAGCCTGGACCTATACCAATGGCTACCCGCAAAGCCTGTCGCTCAACACTTACAAAATCAACCAAGACGACGTAAAAGACAATGTCCTTCTCAAAGTCGAAGCGTGCGCACTCAATCCTGTTGATATCCAGATGATGAACACTCCCATAGTCTGGAAATACTCCTCAGGCCCCAAAGGCACTGTCTGTGACTTTAGCGGATCGATTGTCTCGCCTGGAAAGACGAGCTTCAAGCCTGGCGATGAAGTGATGGGTCTGACACTGGCACCCTTCGCACGACCCACTGGTGGCGCGCTCTCGGAGTATGCAGAGCTGGATCCCTCTGCTAGTGTCATAGTCGTGAAACCCAAAGAGTGGAGTTTCGAGAAGGCGGCGGCGATCCCTCTCGTTTGGCTCACTGCGGTGGTATGCATTGACAGCGTTGCGCCATTCGTGGAGAAGACGTCGAGCAAGAAAGTTGCCATATTGGGGGGAAGCTCTTCCACAGGGATCTACAGTATTCTCCTGGCCAAGAGACGCGGCTGGAATGTCGTCTCGACCTCTTCTGGACGGAACAAGGATTTTATCATAAACGATCTCAAAGCGGATGCTCATGTCGACTACACCACTCAGAATGTCCGCGAGGGAGTATCGGCTTTTCAGCCGGATGCTGTGATTGACTGCGTGGGTGGCACGGAATGCATAGGCCTGCCTTCGAGTAAGCGATATACTACCATTGTGGGCGATAAGACTGGCCGTTTGACGATGGGAGGCCCATTCACCTACTTTGACTACAAACACCCCATTGTGGCCGCTACACAGTGGATGCGATGGGCCAAGGGTCGGTGTGTAATGGGAGAGAGCTATGATGTGGTGATTTTGGCGCCGAAGAAGGAGTCGTTGGAGCGGGCTACAAGCACATTGAGTGAAGAGCACATCTTCATTGACAGTGTCTTTCCCTTTGAGGATGCTCAGAAAGCTTTCGAGAGACTTAATACGGGACGGGCGAAGGGTAAGATCGTACTCCGTGTTGGCAAAGAGAGCAAGCTTTGATGATGGGGGAGGTTCCACGGCGGAAACGCATGTATGATTCAGATCAGATGATAGTGAATGATGACAGCTTTCTTGACTTTTGCTGACCACGCTGCCGATCCCGGGTTTGAACATCAGGCTGTACAGATCGTCACCAGTCTCATGCGAAGATATCTGTGCAGGCGAAGAAGATTTGCAACTGCGGACTGCTGCGTCGGAACGCGGCCTTCTTTCGGTCATGGCCTTGTTGAACAGTGCGTTATAGGCCTGCTAGGGCAACTGCTGATATTCTGTGGGGCTCCGATAGCCGCAGTTCCAATGCAATTGGGAAGATCACGATGGTTTCGGAAGATTGCTGGGTGTATTCTTGCGCGTATCGCTTGAGACTTGCTCTCCTGTGGCCAGGGTGTGCTGCAGAAAACTCCCGTCAATGAGTCAAATAGCTGTAGGTCGTAGACAAGGCGAGGCCTAGCTTGCATCTGTCCCTGAGATGTTGTCGATGGTCGATCTTTGCATGTCCAATGCGAAGCTTCATCAGAGGCAGACCGTATCGCTGGGAACAACACCTCTAGAGCATAGGTAGGGTAGGTACCCGCTATCGTGCTACGTTCCGAGCGTCAATGGCATTGTTTCTGTTGGATTGGATGTGGTTTCAGAGTGCATGGTGGCCATGTCCTGGGATCTTCACTGGAACGGCGGGACAGCACTGTAGTACCACAAAGCTGTGGCCTCTATGCTCGGAACCGTGCAAGATCTGAGACCTTGCGGCTGACTGTAGAATGATCTTCAGCATGTGCATGTGCATGACCCGCAGTGGAGACGGAGTGCTGGGTCGTGCCACGTTCCCGGCTTCTGGAAGCATAATGATGAACCTGGGCAACGGCGCGGCAACCTTGCTTCTGAGATCATTTAGGTTCTCTCTCCCGCAATCCGCCAGCAGGCATCGCCAGTGTTGTTTTTTGCAAATTCCAGGCTTTTGGAATTGATCGCAACGGCGGTAGGACGAATGCTGACCTCTGCGTCTGCCTCTACTGCACCCGAAGATGGCGCTAGATGATGATGGCGTTCGGCTCTTTCGGCCGGCGGTCAGATCTTGTTGAGATCGGGAATTTGTAACGGCGCCTGGATGACCTCGACCTTGACCACATCTCCTGCGACGGCATTTCCACCCCACCACACGTCGGCTGGGCCCCCTGCCTCTCACCGCCACCGCCACCCTCCACTGCGAAGCCCACCGTCAGCCCCGTCCAACGTCCGATCAAGGAGAGATCTCTCGCTCGAATCACGTCGATCGCATTCCCCGCAACTATCGTCTGTTCGGAGCTCGAGGTGACGAGAATAAAAGAGCAGAATGTTGCCAGGAAGGCTCTGATACAGCCAGGAGGCCGTCAGAGAGGAGAGCATCAGGCAGACTCGCGGTCTCACATTTCCGGTGAACGCGCTCGTGCCTGCCCTTCCGTCACTGGCATTGGCTGTCGGTCGGGTCAGAAACAGAAACACCGGATCCGAAGCAGCGCGAGAGTACCTTTGTGACCCTCCAAGCACTCGCCGCCGTCGGTGCTCGCCATCACCATGGAAGATTCCCAAGAGCGCAAGGTCTCCCATTGGGCCGATGTGAAAGAAATCTTTGAACCAATCATTGTCGCCTCCAAATACCTCAGCAGCCTAATCCCCACACGACTGAGGCCTCGCCGACCAAAGCTCAACTTCATTGCGGTACATTACAGCTACGTGGTCGGGATGACCATTGTCATTTCCATCATGGTGTACCCGGCGATGCCCATGCCATATATCGATGCCCTCTTCTTCGCCGCTGGGAGTGCCACTCAGTCCGGGCTGAACACAATCGATGTGAATCTGTTGAATACCTACCAGCAGGTCGTGTTGTGCTTGATGACATGCATCTGTACGCCCATATGGATCAACACTTCGGTCGTCTTCGTTCGCCTCTACTGGTTCCAGCAACGATTCGCCCACGTCGTCAAGCAGATTCGAGAGGCACGACGCACCAAAGGGCGATCAATCACCAGTCGATCACGTAGTCAAATGCGAGACGAGCAGGATGAAAAGCGCAACGACGACCCAAGCCAGCTGGAAGCTAATGTCAATGGACGGCGTATCACCGTTTTACGCGAAAGCTTGGATCCAGGCGGTATGAGTGGTGCTCCTGGAAAGGCGAATGAGCGGCGTCGGCAGCTTCTAGACAAACTAGGAATGGATGATATCACAGAGTGCATGAATCCCACTCCAGATAGCAGCCGAAATGACAGCGTTGAAGACAAGGAGCATGACACCGGATCTGACGAGACAACACTGAACGCATTTTCCCATAGAGGATCGCGGCCACAGACGCCTCGGCCGCAAACTCCACGACCACAAACTCCACTACCACAAACTCCACTACCACAAACTCCACRAATGCCCGAGACGCCGACGATTTCTTTCATGGGTCTGCCACCTCGGCTGAATCGCGAAATAACGTTTGCAGATGAGGTTCCGAAGAAAGATGACACAGATGCTGCCACCCCAGAGCTTGCCCATGTACCGGAGCATCGAGACATATCGAAGCACGTTGAGTTCCTCGAGCGGCAGCAGAATAACGCCAAGAAAAGCGGTGCTCTGTACATCCCTGGTCCTCGAGACTTTGACAGAGGCAAAGTTCCAGAGGAAATGGACCACGACATGACCATCTCACGTCTCCATACGAAGACATCTTTCAACGGTAGGAGTGATCGCTCTCCCAGTGTTGATGATGAACGGAGCGCAAGCCCCCAGGATGACGGCCACCAAAAACGAGGCATTACCATCAATGTGCCAGATCATCCCGCGCATCGTAATGAAGATGCAAAGTCCACCGCGGAGAGTCCGAAGCGAGAGGAAGACATTCACAGGTCCGGACTTCGACGACGTGGAAGCGGCAAGCTTGGGGAACGGACTCGCAGCATCGCTCAGACGTGGACCAACATAACTGCCACCATGACGCAGTCCAAAGTCGAGGAMCCAATGCCATATTTCGCCTGGTCCGCCACCACAGGACGCAACAGTCTGTTCCTCGGGTTGACCGAAGAACAAAGAGAGGATCTTGGAGGCATTGAGTATCGTGCACTAAAAACTTTGGCTAAGATATTGATTTGCTATTTCTTCGGTTTTCACATCCTCGGCATGATGGTCTTCACACCCTGGATCTCATACACACAGCCGTGGAAGGATACCGTTCTGGAGATCGGGCAGAGCCCTGGATGGTGGGGCGTCTTCACACCCGCTTCCCTGTTCAATGATCTCGGCCTTACATTGACTCCAAATTCCATGATCAGCTTCCAAAGTAGCGTCCTGGCGCTTCTATTTGGATCTTTTCTCATCATTATTGGCAACACAGGCTTCCCGTGCATGCTGAGGTTCATCATCTGGTTCATGTCCAAGGTTGTCAGCAGAGAAGGCGAACTTTGGGAAGAGCTACGCTTCCTGCTTGACCMCCCGCGTCGATGCTTTACGCTGTTGTTTCCCTCAAAGGCAACCTGGTGGCTGTTCTGGGTCCTCGTACTGCTCAACGGCATTGACTTAATCTTCTTCATAATATTGGATTTGAATCAACATGTGGTMACCGAGCTGCACCCAGGCCTCCAGGTTCTCAACGGTTGGTTCCAGGCCTGCTCGACTAGAACCGCTGGATTTGCTTCGGTCAATCTCGCGGAACTGCATGCCGCCATCCAGGTCAGCTATCTGATCATGATGTACATCTCCATCTTTCCGATTGCTATTTCGGTCCGCAGGACCAACGTCTACGAAGAGCAATCTCTTGGAATTTTCGGTGGCGAAGAGGAGAAAGGCGATGGCGGCGATGAGCCCAGCTATGTCAGCCAGCATTTGCGACGCCAGCTTTCCTTCGATCTGTGGTACATCTTCTTGGGACTCTTCATCATTGCAATTGTCGAGGGTGATCGCATTGCCAATGTCAACGACGCCGCATTTACGTTATTCAGCGTCCTGTTTGAGATTGTCTCGGCGTACGGCACTGTTGGGCTGTCCCTGGGCTATCCCGGCATCAATGCAAGCTTCTCCGCTGAGTTCAGAACAATCAGCAAATTGATCATCATTGCTATGATGATTCGTGGGAGGCATCGTGGACTGCCCTACGCACTCGATCGCGCCATCCTCCTTCCCAGCGAGAAGCTGCAAGAGAAAGAAGCGGCGGAGAGCCAAAGGAGAATGGCGGTCGCGAGGAGAGGAAGTGCGTTCGCGGAGGAGAATGAGAATCTGGAAAGAAATCGATCTTGGGAAGACGGCGAACTCGACCATCATGGTCTGCCAAGACAGCATACTGTTTCAGATGCCATGACAGCTGGTGCGGGTGGGGAGCATGAACCCGAAGGAATGCGCAGATTGCACACGCGCCGTTCGACGGCTGCAAGTGCCAAGTCTGTTTCGCCCAAGAGACATCAGCGAGCGAGAAGTCTGACTCGAGTGGTTTTGAGCGGCCTTTCAGCTGGGCCCACTCTCTCCAAGCGGGATTAGGGATCTGCTGGGAAAGGTGGTCACGGGCAGCTCGTTGATGGAGCGAACGACGACAAAAGAGATGAATGGAGGGGAGATTCCTCTTCGATTGAGATGCAGTCTCTTCATAGGCTCGACAGTCGCTCCCTCTGAGCTGGGAGGACGTTCAATCTTGGGATTTGATCTACATATTTGGAGCGTTCTGAGCGGGTTGACTTTTGAAAATAAACGGTCTTTTTTCTGGGAGTTATAGACAGCATGGTGTTGGAATACAATCAGCTGAGTACACAGACCAGCTTGAGACGCGAGAGATGCGGGTCTGGATAGATTGGAACGAATACAAGTACGATCTCCTCCAAACTGTGTTATCAAGAACCTACTGTGGGTGTGATGAGCTTTCTCGACCCAGACCGGGCCCGATTGTCTGATCATGCTTTTTCTCCTGGTTGGGGTAGTGCATCCGTTCAAATCTTGCGGAATCCTCAAGTAAGTATACATTGGGCATGCAACAGTATCAATGTCCACTCCAATCCCTTCCGCCAGAGCGCACTCCGATGGCTATGCGGGTGGTGGGCTCAAGAGCGGAGATGGAAGGATGGTCGGACTAGGAGCGAGGATACAATAGCAGTCCTTCAATCCGTGGTATTTCCGTCTTGGTTATGGACTTTCGCCCGGCCTACATGCTCTCTTTGACATGTTCGATCCATTTAACTAGCGAGTAGGTACAGTGGTCGAGGCTCAGCGGCGTTCATTCCTGTTGGACATGTAGACAACTTCGGCGCATGTGTGGAAGACACGTTGTTCGRAAACGATGCGTTCTGCGCCTTGTGGTTGTAGTTAGATACAAGTACCAATTCCAATAGAAGTTAGGTGCAGTAGATTTGGCTGAAAAACTGATGAATATCGTCGTAGGAGGTCATCCTATACTTGTCATTGACTGCTTGATAAATGCTGGTACCCGAAAGGACTGCTTATCCATTGTTCATCACACACGCTTACACAATTTCATTCGCACGCCCTCCTCTTCTCCATCACCAACATCATAGACGCCTCTCATCTGCAAAACCAGTACGGGGCCAGCATCTTCCAGCTTCCCTTCCAGTCTCTTTTCGAGATCTTTCCTGCTCTCCGACTTCCTCGGTACAGCCTCGACGCGATACTTGCTGAACAGCTTCAGGAAGATGGCTGTGAATTCCACCTGTGCCATCTTTTGACCGGGACAAACTCGAGGACCTCCAGACCAGGGGATGTACATTCCTTTAGGCGGCTGGTGGAGACTCTGCGAGCCATCATTTGATTTCACGATCCATCGAGACGGACGGAAACGATTTTCATCGTCGTTGCTTGCCTCTTCCCCGTCGGCTAGATTGATGTTTCGCCAGACCGAAGGTTCAAGATGGAGAGCGTAGATATTGACGTATACTGCGGCTTTCGCTGGGAAGTAGTACGTCCCGGTAGAAGTTTGGATGGTTTGCTCGACTTTTGTTTGCCTGGCAATATGGCTGAGAGGTGGATACAGACGAAGCGTCTCCAACATGCAAGCCATGACCCGTGATGCTTTTGGGTAGACTGTCGTGTAGTCCATCTCAGCTCCGTCGTTTGGGACGATGTCTCGGATTTCCTCGTAGAGCCAGTCTTGCCACTCGGGATATCTGGCAAGCAAGACGAGTGAAAAGGCAAGAGTGTTCGCAGTAGTGTCAAATCCAGCAACTGTAAAGATGAATAGATTTCCGATCTGCTCACTCTCGGAAAGACTTTGTCCACTTTTGTTCTCTGCTTCCGATGCTGCAATCAGTTGGCTCATGATACTGTTGGTTGTCTCGCCAGCTACAGAGCGCTGTCGCTCTTGTTCAAGAAGGTCCCTCGTATGAACAGGGAATTCATCGATGGCGTGGGATAAATCTCCTAGAAACTTGTGGCCGGGAACATTTCTAGGGTAATTTCTCAAGAACCATTGCGGCAAGATGATGGGTCCTGCAACAGCCTGGACGAGAATCTTGACGGCTTGGATATAAGTAAGCTTGAAGCCGTCCTGGGGTTCTCCATTGGCATTGTCGTTCCACTCCACGCTGGCACCCATACTCGCGCCACTTAAGACATTGATGGCTATCTTCTTCATCATGTCGAACATTCCGTTGGTCTCGCATTTCGATTTCCCATTCATGACCTCGTCGATCAAGCCGTCCGTCTGCTTGAGACTCTCCTGGAACACGACTTTCGATATCTTTTCATTAACCGTACTGGCAACAATCTTACGATGCCGGCTCCACGTATCCCGATCGGTCGTGAGCACATTTGGACCAAAGCGGTTCATGAAAAGCGCCGTCAACTCGTGGGTGAGAAAATCTCGAGGACGCTTCAATATGTCGATGGCGATCTCTGGGTCGCGTGTCGAGACCTCGTATCTGCCGGTGGTCAATAACACGAAAGTATCCTTGTTGCCTTGAGGAGTGGCATATTTGACGTATGGTGTGACCTTTTCTCGGATTTCGTGTCCGTAGATCGTCAAGCTCAGGCGAGTATATATCCACTCCGGGAGGAATCGCTGCATAAACGGTTGCAAAGGGACGCTGGCGGCCATCCAGAAGTAACCATCCTGATCCCAGGGAACGAACACGTATGGCAGTCCTGACTTCCTCGCATTGAAGTAATTGCGAAGGAGAGCGTAGCCGTACGATGAAAAGTAGATGACGATTAGAGCCGCGATGACGGTGAACATCGACAACATGATTGAAGCGTTCGCGTTCAGATCCGCGCTTCTTTCTGCGATGGACGGGCGCAAACTGGGATGTGATGGAAGAAAAGGATCAAGACAGGAGGATTGAGGTGAGGTGATCCTTCAAAGCTATCGTACTATTTTTGATTAGCCGACTACGCTATGCGAGATTTTACGAGGTGAATAACGAAGTCGTACGAGACGACTACGCGAAGGGTGGAGCAGGAGCCGGCCCGGCGTCTGTTGCGTCTAGAATGTTTCTCCAAGATGTTCGAACGGCTAGTAGGTCATTGGACTGCATACTCTATTGAATGAAATTTTGGACGATCTATATGGAAAGCAACTCATTGTACGCCATCTTCCTAGAACGTAGCAGAGTAGTACAGATTCATCAGACTTCCAGCACCGCAATACTGCAGCTTGTTGCCCGCGCACAACATCAATTTGTTAGTGTCGCAAGTCTGTGACTTGGCTCCCCCAGCAGTGCTGATATTGTTGCCGCAATAGCACTCTTTCCCGTATTCCACACCAGCATAGTGCATACGTTTGCCCAGACAGAACTTCACGCAGGCATCAGCGGTCATGGTATCGCTGGTGGTAGAAGCGCCAGTAAGAGGTCGATTGTTGCCGCCAGGATCTGTGAAGCATCCTTTGGTAAAATATTTGCCAATCTGTTTCTTGATCACAGGTGCGACATACGCTGTATTCTTGTACAAGCTGATTGCGTTTGGACCTCCGCAGAGCTGGTCGCCGCGGCCTCCACAGCGCATGTTACATGTGCTGTTGTTAGGTACTGAGGTGGTGGAGGTGATGAAATTTGGCTTGATGATTGCATTGCCGCAAAAGCATTGAGAGGAAAATTCGAGGCCGTAGTATTGGTAACCCTTGCAGAACGCCTCGCAGATATCGACAGTCATGGCGACTTGTTGCGTGGAGTTCGAGTTTAATGCCATCACTCCACCTTGGCGGTCTGTCGCGCAGCCCAGGTAGTTTTTGGCGAAAGGAACGAGCGGTAGTGCGACTGCGATCCCTCCAGCGCTGTTGGCCAAGCTACCGTTGGCGACGAACGATGGGTCGGTATTGTTGTAGATGGAAATATACGAGTATCCTCCACATATTTGTTGTGCTCCGCCTTTGGTCATAGTGCCGCCACAGTTCCCTGAAAACAAGTCAGTGGAGCTACATTATGCGAAAGGCAAACTACTCACAAGTGCATGCATCTGAGCCACCAATGGAAGTGGGGTTAATGAAGTTATCGCAGTGACATTCCAACGAGTATTCGACTCCAGAAAGTCGGTAGCCACGATCGGCACAATATGCTTGACAGAATTCGACTGTCATCACCGTGAAGTTGAAATACTGGACGGCGTTCAGGGCGCGTATGCCAAGTCCAGAGTCGTTGAAGCAACCCAGGTACTTCTGAGATGTTGACAGGCCAAAAGAAGCGCCGACTGCTGGAACACGCGTTGCGAGTGGCGTCGAGTCTTTGGTGCTGGTCACAGACGGCTTGGGAATATTCGGACCACAGGCCATTGAAGCAGCTGGGGCAGCCTCTGGTCCATCGGTGAGCTTGATGCACCCAGGAAGCTTGGCAAGCATTCCCTTCACGGGCTCTCCCACTTGTGGTGGTCGCTCTGGGCAATTGGCGGCATACCCATCCGTGTACACAGATTGTAAGATTGGGCAGTCGGCGATGACACCAAAGGATGTAGAATCTGATGACAGGCAGTCTTTCACGGCCGCTGCTTGAATCGCGGGGTCCCATCCGTTTTGAAAGTCTCCGTGAAATCCGTAGCCAGTCGTATCGCCTTGCGAGAATGTGTATCGCCCACCAGGCACAAGAGGTACCTCCTTTACCTGGTAAAGCGTCTCGAGAAACAAGTGAGGTATTTGGATTGGATGGGTGGGTGGGCATATACCGTTATCAATCTGCGACTGATATGCAACCTGGGGAGTGTCGAGGATCAGTGCAAGCTCTGCAGCGCCACATGTGTTTGCTACTTACATGACTGTTGTCCGCTACGTATAGGTCCTTTCCATTCCAGCAACTCTGGAAATGGATCTGAGCCCTCAGGCCGTTGCTACAACTCGTTCGGAACATCCATGGCTGCTCTGGAATGGGACCATCGTCCAAGCAATTGAAACTTACGCGGTCTGCTATTGGACGGCCTGGATATGTTGCGTTTCCCCATGTGTAGGTCGTGTTATCATAGCTACGAGCGGATTTATCTCCAGATAGAATGTTCAACCCCTTGGGAAACGGAATCGTTTTATCTTTGTTGGGCCCGCGTCCCAAATAATAAGCAACCACGCCGTTGTGGCCAACTTCTAGAAAAGAGCCGTTCGGGTAGCTATAGAATCTGCATCACAGAGAGCACGAGATCAGCGCGTGTAGAGAATGGACCAATGCTGGACTCGTAGCCACATCTTCAGCTTACAGTGTTGGGGTCCAGTATGCAGACTTGTCAGCTGTGATTTCGCAAGAAGTGCACTCGCTATTGATCAGGGAATTGAAAGTGGCGTTGATTCCAATGTTGGATCCTCCTACGATACTATGCGAGTGTGCCGCGAGTGCTCCAGGGTTGACCAGGGGGTCGATACGTCCTCTCTGTATGATGGAGCATTGTACCCGCCAAAAGGCTTCGGCTGTGCCAGAGAGGGCCAGTACAAGACTTGCGAGTGCGACCGAGAACAACATGTCCGGCGTTTTGCTTGGAAGAGCTAAGCTGCACCGTCGATGGAGAGGAGGAGTTGACAACAAGGAGAGCGCTTCTGCCAGGCATATAAAGCGCAATGCAGGGGGGAGAATTCTTTCAGCATCCAAGTAACCAAAGTGGTCGCGTGGTCCAAGCAACACCAGGCGAGCGGCTTAGGCYGATTGAGGAGCGAGGGCGTCTGGAGACTGTCAAAAGGGAAACGGGACAAAGCGTGGGAGAGCGGTCTAGCTCAGAGTCTGGGAGACGCCCAGCTTCTTCTTTGTCTCGTAGCAATGGTGCGTCGAGTTGGTGGCTTTCGCGCGTCAATGAGTGAGTCAACCAAGACCTCTTGCTAAACAAGTTCGTTTGGAATGAACAAAGGAATGCTGGATTTGGAAACATCTCCAGGCCGTAGGTAGCCTCCACTTACGAGGAGTGCATCTGTGCGTATAGGAAGTTTACGTCGCGGTTTGCCCACTCCAGCATATCTTCGAAGCACTAGCTACTTGTGATTGTCGAAGGCGGAGTGGCTCATAGTGAGACGAATGACCTTCCGTCGTGATACCTCACTCACGATGGATGATGCAGCCTAATGGAGTAGTTAGAGGGAGGTCGTAACAAAGGCAGCATGGGCCAAAATTTTCAATCACGTCCCATGGCTGTGGCCGTGGCTGTCAACGGTATGTTCGGCCACGAGTTGAGTCCTCGAGTGTCGAGGCATGGAATGTCCTCATGAATCTCCAAGTCGAGTCGAGGTTCCTGAAATGCGGGATCGGGTGATCGGAGTGCCGGACCTGGCTAACCTTGCGTGCACGGTGGATACATGAAGCGATAGCGACATGACATCGAATTGGGGTCGGAAAGCGGAAAGCAGCAATGCGGTGCGGAAAGGATGGCGACCATGGGGAAGGGCGGTTACGAAAGCCCGATGACGATGTTGACGCTGCTGGCGTCCAGCGCATATGGCGCGAAATGCCCCGTCGACATTGTTGACTTGTTCGCTTCAATCTCGTCACCACGCAAACGACTCAGACGAACAKAATGTCCACCCCGCGTCCTGCCATCCCACCTACAAACGTACTGAGGGACCACCTTTCTAAAGAACCTTCCGGCTCCCCATCGCCGTCGTCGAACTCTCCACGACCACCTCCGACACCGCTGCTTCGCCGTCGCTCATCCCTCATCTCATTCTCCAGCCTGGAGGGTCTCGCCGGAGACTACATCAACCCACGCACCAGCAATGCCACTAGCACGCGAGAGGAGAACGAAGTCACGCACTGGCATTCGTCGCCATTGATATTTGCTATTCTCCCAGCCATTGGAGGCCTGTTCTTTAAAGATGGGTCGGCATTCATCACCGACTTCCTGCTTCTGGCGCTCGCCGCCGTTTTCTTGAATTGGAGCATCAGTTTACCATGGGATTGGTACTACTCTGCACAAGCTATACGACAGCATGTCGAACCTAGTGCAGGTGACGTGGACTTTAACGATGAATCGGCCATGGACACAGCATCAGACTCGGCGGGCAGCTCTCCCAAAGGGCAGGATGACCACAAAAAGCCTACACGCAATGCAGCCAGAGGAGAACAAGCAGCAGCGGACCTTCGCCGGCAGGAGATCTGGGCATTGGTCGCAACTTTCGTCTTCCCCGTCTTAGCAGCATATCTACTGCACGTTATTCGTGCACAGCTCTCACGGCCTTCCACAGCGGTGGTTTCGGACTACAATCTCCTCATCTTCTTGCTGGCCGCTGAGATACGCCCGTGCCGTCAGATCATCAGACTGGTTTCCAACCGCACTCTTCATCTCCAGCGGACTGTAACGAGCAATGACAACGACTTCTTGTCCGCTAAATCCGACCAGTCCGAAATCGACAGCCTCAAGTCGAGGCTTGCTGCCCTTGAGGCCAGAAGCACGGAACAGAACCCGGCCGCAGCCCAAAAGACAGAGCTCACGGATCTTTCCACCGAGATGCGTAAGCGCTATGAGCCACGCCTTGAGGGGTTGGAGCGTGCCGTGCGGCGTTATGAGAAGCGCAGTACGACGTTGGCCATGATGATGGACCAGAGACTGCTCTCTCTAGAGACGCGGGTTCAGGACGCTTTAAGCTTAGCCGCGGTCGCTGCGCGAGATTCTCAGCATCACGGTGTGCTTCCCGCTGTTGTGGGTACGGTCACCATGCCGATGAGGATGGCGTGGAATTTATGCATGTGGCCGCTGAAGGCCGTCGATGAGCTATATGTGAAGATCAAGAACCTCCTTCTTGGACCACCTCCTGCGCGCGCTTCGAGGCGGAAGAGTGGCAGGCAGGACAGCGAGGATAAATTGCGAGAGAAGATGAACGGTACGTCTCGAAAAGGAACAGCAGTGAGATGACCAGGAATGCATCCATGAATTATGAGGTACGCAGGCAGGGAGTTACGGATAGAAGGATCAACGGCACAGCACGATCCTCCACAGGGATATAGGGACGGTAGGTTTGTTTAGAGCGCGGTTAAGTGGACGCTTTTCGGATCGATGCGACAGCTCTMCGACCATAATTGAGGCAAAAGGTGGAGCGAGAAAGTGTAGGGGTCGCTCTCAACTTGATAATTTGAATCGCTACCTTACCTGAGAGAGATTTACCGACCAGCACGGGTAAGGTTAGTACTCTTCCAACGACAGAGAGACTTGATCCTGCCAAATCTGAGACATTTGTTTAACGAGCAAACATGCAGGTAAGCAGTTGTTCGTTCACTTTGTCGTTCTACTCCATAACATCGCACCTTCTCTTCCCGCCACCTTTCTTGAACAAAATACTTTATCGCAACATGGCCACCCGGAACATTACGCGCTATTTCCCTCGCGTGTGGCAGGAGGAGGACGACTCGCCTTCTTGGGAACACCAGCATGAACGCAACATGATCATTCTCGTTGTGGTTGCAATCATCGTCTTTGCAGTCACACATTTCACCACCTACTGCGTGGAGGTAAGCTCATCAACTCCATCGACAGCTCTCTTTATTCAACACGCTGTCGACTTTGGCTGACAATTGAACAGCGCCTGCTACTGCTAAACTTCCCTTCACCTTCCAGAAAATGGTGCTTCACCAGCGCGACAGAGAAATATACCAAGCTGCAACGTGCTCAACATCTGATTATCAAAATCGCTGCCGGCGTTGCTCTGGTCTGTCGCTGGCCCCTCGGAATTTTCGTTTCCTTTCACCTCTGGCAGACGGTAACTTTGGTTGGGGCTGTGCTGTCCATCACAGAATTAGCCTTGACCGCCCTGTTGGGCCTGGCCGTCGGCTTCATAAGAGTTGCGCATCACTTCGCACTGATCACTGGTTGGGAGCATMCTGACTCTACCTCGAAAGCTTTCTCTCCGAACGACTACTCGAAAAAGCACCGACAATTCGTCAGTCCTCCGGTGGTGGCGCATGGCCCAAATCCAGCGTGGTCCAGCGACAACAACAGTAGCATCTCCAAGAGTCGCAACGGGGCGACATCTGACTCGCGTTCGAGTTCGAGTTCGAGTTCCGATTCCATCAGCTTTGATGAAACCAGATCCACAATCAAGGGCAAGGGCAAGGACAACGCCAAATCTACCAACGCTTGCTTCGGCAATAACATAGATGCCACGCGCACCGGCACGGCCACCACTGCAACCAACCTGATCGATGCCAACGAGTCGTCATTCATGGGCTTCAGCCCAATGGCACTGACCCGCTCGACCTGGCTGAAAACACGCATCTTCGCCAACTCGGTCTTCAGCAACTCTACCACGAGCACCAGCAGTCGCGACTCATTTGGTGGGCCTTCTGCTAGGCGTAGCGGCTCTTTGAAACATGTTCAGGATGCGTCCGACCAGGACGCGGCCAAGATGCCGGATCTCTTGACAGGAACGCCTAGATGACGAATATGAGACGTGCATTTGGGAATTGAGTGCCATAAAGCCATGAACACTGTTGTCGAGAGGCTGAAGAGGTTAATTTTTGCCCTCATTGGGGTAGCTGTCAATTGCAAGGTCCCATTCACGGCACGATGGGCTCTTTTGCGGTGGAGTGCTACTTAGAAGCTTCTGTCAATTCAGCGGTTAGGAGTGAACATGTATGATGGCATAATCAACACATATTGTACTTACTTGGGTCGTTCAGTCTCCTTGCTTGGAAAATTCAGTTTGCTCATAAGGAATGACATGGTTCCCTTTCTCGAGTGTGTCTTATCTCATTATATGATTCCTTCCTTGTGAGAAAGTGCACATGTCGTAAGAAGTATGCCAACGCTGGAGAGACATTACCATTGTTGCAACACCATCCACTAGGTAATCATGACTCCAGATAGGAAAGATGTATCCAACATCCAGCGCAACGGCCTGGGAGTTTTGAAGTCATATGAAGACAATCTTTGATACCCCAACCCTTACCCTAGCAAGAGGAGCCAAGACGCAGTATGAGTGAATGGCGAGGAATGAGAAGAAAATTCCTAGTAATCCTTTACAGTGCTGTCACGCTATCGATTTCATTACGATGTACAAGATGCGAGGAGTAGGAAGGTCTGACCTCCTAACCTCAATCACTCCCAAGCCGCCGACCGGCACCCCTCGTACCCCAAGCAGACCCGCTGGTCCACCCGGCGCCCTGTCCTGCTGCCGCAGGCGCAGGCGTAGATGCATTCGTTCTAGCACCAAAAGCTGTGCCATACGTCCGAGCCTGACCAGTCTGGCCTGGGACAGCAAACAGTTTCTGAATAAACTGCGGAGGTTGGACCCACCGCGCACCTCCGCCATGCTGAGGCCAAACCTTGTCGAGAAACTCGTATGCGTGTGCGGCCAATATGCCTGTCGCTTGAACCATTGTCATAAAAGGTCCAGCCATCACATACGTGATAGCCAACGAGGCGTATGGAACATATTTCGAAGGCATTTGAATGATGRAGAACGACACACTCCGGTTCGGGTCCTCTTGTGCAAAGGTATATGTGAGTGCCATGCTGAGAGGGCTGAGGAGAGTTATGCCGCCGAGGTAGACACCTCCAGTGAGCTGCATTGGGCGTCAGTAAAGCGCTCAAGCCATGGTCAAATTCAACCAAGTTCGCTGAAGATATGTAGGGTTCAAAAACCACCGTCAGACCACAAGATCAGAGTCGACAGTTATCTCAATTGAAATCCCACCATGCCCACACTCCGCAAACGCTCTGTTTTATTTTGCGAATGACGAGCGCCGCACAGTGCAGGGGTAATCTTCCTCAATTCCAGGAACCGTGACAGCTTCATTTGGGCTGGCCGGGCAGATATATCGAGGTCATCGTGGGTATGTGTGGGGGGAATGATAGAAAGGCGACGGAGATGTAGTTATGCGAGAAGAATATTCGAGCCGGTTACTGCTTACCAGGATGATGACCGACACAAACATCAGGTAGAAAGCGTACGCGCCCGATCCACTGAAGCGCGGCGAGCCTGTCTCAAGCTGACTGCTGTAGTGGTAGAGGAAGAACGGATCCATGATTAAGCCGAGTTGAGGGCCAGTGATGAAGAACGCGCTCAATATTCGCCACAGCTGAGGCATCTGGCTGATGGTGAAGACATAGTCTTTGAGAAACACCACCCACATAAGGTTATACAGTCCGAGATGGCCTGGCACTGATATAAGTACGGTCGCCGCTGTGATGGTTCTGTTTAGTATCAGAATCTGAAGCTGCGCGCGTCATTGGCCGTGCAAATGCATGTGCATACCTGGTGATTGGCGGCGCCGCCCAGTACGCGTCTTGAAAAGACATGGCGGTGATGCAATGCAATGTGAAACAGTGCTTGGGAGTGGTTGTGATGGAGGAAGAGACGATGCAGACGTGTTCTCAGCGAAGTTTGAAGATTGTTGTCGGTGATGGTCCGTGCTGTCCGCGGACCGGCTTGGCGGTGGGCAATTTCGTCGAAATCGTGACCACCTCTTGAAGTTTGAACGACCACGCCTCTACTAACCACAGTTTCTTTCCTTCATCACACAGCCTGCAATCATGGCCGTCGGAAAGAACAAGAGATTGTCAAAGGGCAAGAAGGGCCTGAAGAAGAGGACCGATCCCTTCGCAAAGAAGGACTGGTACTCCGTCAAGGCGCCATCCAGCTTCAACATTCGCGAGTAGGCCTCCCCATCGCACCCCGAGTCCGCACGAGTTGGGCGACTGCCGCGCGCACACTGGCAATGGCATTGGACAGGGCTAATGTGCGCACAGTGTTGGAAAGACCCTCGTGAACCGCACCACCGGTATCAAGAACGCCAACGACGCTCTCAAGGGCCGCATTTTCGAGGTCTCGCTCGCCGATCTCCAGAAGGATGAGGACCACGCCTTCCGCAAGGTCAAGCTGCGCGTTGACGAGGTCCAGGGCAAGAACTGCCTGACCAACTTCCACGGACTCGACTTCACCTCCGACAAGCTCCGCTCCCTCGTTCGCAAGTGGCAGTCTCTGATCGAGGCCAACGTCGTCGTCAAGACCACCGATGACTACCTCCTCCGTCTTTTCTGCATCGCCTTCACCAAGAGACGGCCAAACCAGATCAAGAAGACCACCTACGCCGCATCATCGCAAATTCGTGCTATCCGCAAGAAGATGACCGAGATCATGCTGAAGGAGGCTCAGCAATGCACACTCACCCAGCTCACCACCAAGCTCATCCCCGAGGTCATTGGTCGCGAGATTGAGAAGAGCACACAGGGCATCTACCCTCTCCAGAACGTGCGTATAAGGATAAACATAAGCAAAGGATAAGTGCACGAATGCTAACACCTGAACAGGTCCACGTTCGCAAGGTCAAGCTCCTGAAGGCACCCAAGTTCGACCTTGGTAACCTTCTCTCGCTTCACGGCGAGTCATCCACTGATGACGCTGGTAACAAGGTTGAGGGCAACAAGGAGTTCAAGGAGACAGTTCTCGAGGAGGTGTAAGCAGCTGGCATGCTGCCGGATAGGCTTGCATTGGGCGAAGACGGTCTTCTTTTGCAACGGAGAGGCGTTTGAGAGCAGGGTGCTGAGATGCCAAGCGGTTCTTAGCTTCTGCGGTAGGCCATAGCCAAAATCATTGAACGAACGTTTTCATGTGCAATTCAATGTGCARGCAAGGCATCCCAGGAAAGATCGTCTCGAGATAGTAGAACGGTCGCTGCATGCAATCAAAAGCAACGCATTGAACTCCGTAGACGACAAAATGATAATGAGGACATCCCACTTCTCTCACCTGAACTGAACTCCGAACGTCACCGCATCAAAGATTTTCTTTCACTTCGTCCACGACGCCCAACTTACATCCTCACCGTACGTACATCAACATGGCACCCAAGGAACTCAACTTCATCACTGGCAACAAGAACAAACTTGCCGAAGTGCAAGCAATTCTTTCTGCGACGCCAGTCAAATTACAAAGTCAGGCGCTCGATTTGATTGAAATTCAAGGCACCATCGAGGAGATCTCTCGGGACAAGGCTATCAGGGCTGCTGAGGCTGTATGTCAGCATTCCTTCAAAAATTGGATTTACCATTTTCACTAACATGCTTTGTGAAGGTTCAAGGACCAGTACTGGTGGAAGATACATGTCTCTGCTTTGATGCATTCAGTGAGTTGCCAGGACCATATGTGTATGCTACATCTATAACCGTGGAGCTCGAACTATTTGACTGACAGAAACCTAGAAAATGGTTTCTGCAAGCACTCGGAGTTGCGCAATTCCACAAACTGCTGGCAGGTTTCGAAGACAAGTCCGCACAAGCTGTCTGCACGTTTGCATATTGCGAGGGACCTGGATCTGAGCCAATCGTATTCCAAGGACGGACAAAGGTAGGCATTCTCTTCTCGAATAGCAGCGCAGGTGCTGATCAACGATGCAGGGCAAGATTGTAGAATGCCGTGGTCCAACAGATTTTGGTAAGTGGAATGCATCCATAGTGGTTTTACGTTTCGAGACTGACACCTTCAGGCTGGGATGCGTGCTTCGAGTACGAAGGCCACACATACGCGGAAATGCCCAAGGCGGAGAAGAACAAGATCTCTCATCGTGGAAAGGCGCTGGAGAAGCTCGTCCAGTGGTTGAAGCAGGAAGTTTAGGACCCGCCTTGTGTTCGTCATTGCATTGAACGCCGTATGAAATGCTCCAGGTCTCATATTCAACCGTGCAAGAACATGGGGTCGTCCTCATCCTTCTTCTCCTCTCCACCCTGTGCCTTGACCTCATCTTTGCCGTGATCCTTCTTCCAGTTCTTCACCCAAGTCTCAATTCGCTCCACGTTCGCGTCAATGTCTTCGGTGCTCTCGCTCTTTAGTTCAACTACAATCTCCTCCTCGTAGGCGTCCCGCGCTTCTTGCAGCAGTACCTCCATGATCTCACAATCCATATTCTCCTCCAGCTTCTTCTCTCCATAGTTCCGGGCCTTCAGTCGGTCRTATAGGAGCTTGTTGTCACACCGTACCACGCAGACCAGGTCGATCAACGACGGTGGGAACAGATCACAGGCATGCCAGTCGATAATCTGTCCGCCCTCCTCAAGATCGTTCTCGATGCAGTCCAGAAGGCGATCTTCGTCTACGATCTTGACACTAGGATCATCTGGATCCGTGGATGTCTCCCCAATGTTATGCTTCTTGACGACATCGTTGATGGAGAGGTGGTGTAAGCCGGTTTTGCGCGCGAGCTCCTCACAGTGGGTGGTTTTGCCTACACCGGGCGTGCCGGTGATGATTATGTTGGGATCGGTGCGAAGCATACTGGCCATGTTGTGGATTGTTCGTTTGATGCGAGGTGGCCGAGAAAATGAGGTTTGCAGTGCTCGTGCGAAGATTCCTGGTTTTGGTGGCGTGTGTTTGAAAATGACGACGTTCTTGCAGGGAAATTCAGCCCTATCGCTTCTGAGTTTGGACTTTGTTTGGTGCATTACATACACTTTCCCTCTCACATCATCTTGGACGACCATGTTGAGTCGGAGAGTGCTGGCGTCACCGCGTCTGCGGCAGCCGCTCAGATCATTCGCATGGCGACCATTCTCAACCACGGAGCTGGGCAATGGCGTGAGGATGAGCTACGAGCGATATGAGGTGGACAATGGGCAAGACACACAAGGTGCTCCGATCATCTTCGTCCACGGTCTCTTCGGGTCCAAGAGAAATCATCGGAGCATGAGTAAGTACGGCGATCTGTTTTCAGTCCTTGCCGTTATTTGCATCTGACCGACGCGACACAGGGTGCTCGTACGCGATTTGAAACGGCCAGTCTATGCTATTGATACACGCAATCATGGCGATTCCTCCCACCACCCGCAGCACGATTACACCACTCTGGCAGAAGATCTGGAACTATTCATCCAACACCACGACATTCAGAACAGCACTCTTATTGGACACTCCATGGGCGCGAAGATAGTCATGGCTGTTGCATTGCGCCAAAAGGTCAATGTAGGCTCAATCATTCCAGTGGACAACGCACCAGTCGACGCAGCCCTGAAATCCGATTTTGCAAAATACACAGTGGGTATGAGAAGGATCGAAGAATCAGGAGTCAAGTCTCTCAAAGAGGCCGACAGGATTCTTGCAGATTATGAGGAGAGCGTGCCAGTACGGCAATTCTTACTCACCAATCTCGCGAGAGGAGAGGACGGAATGCAAAAGTTCAAAATCCCACTGAAGTATATCACGAACGCACTCGACAAGCTTGGAGACTTTCCATTCAAGGATCCGGATGAGGTGAGGTGGGGAGGACCGACCTTGATCGTGAGAGGGACAAATAGCCACTACGTTGCGGACGATATGCTGCCTCTCTGTGGCAGATTCTTTCCAAAGTTCGAGCTGGCCAGTATAGAGGCTGGTCATTGGGTCATTAGCGAGAAGCCAGAGGAATTCAGACAAGGTACGTTGATACTCGCTGGGACTATTCTGTTATTACGACTGCTGACAATTCCCAGCTGTCGTCKAATTCCTTTCTCGCAAGGACTGATGCGTTTGCACGCTCGGAGATTGGCCGTATGAGCGAATCTGCGATCGAAAGCCACACAAGTCAAGAAGAAGAGCTTGATGCGTCCATCCATCATGCCAGCTTCCAGGTGATTCAGCATTGTCTCCATGCTGGAACAACATGTTGGCATATCCATCCTCTCGAGAAGATGACTCTCGTCATCGCGGCTTTCATCCTGCCACGATGGCCATCCTAGCAGCCAGAGCAGCATAGATGCGCAGCCGTGAGATGAGAAGCGACGCCGAGAAAGGAAATTTATCGGCGAGGATTGGAAAAGCTGTGACCCGGAGCTACTCACCACATTCGGCACTAGCGGATTTCTGGCAGTGATAAGCACGACAAGCTCCTAATGCTTTCGCTTGACTGGTGGGTTCATAGGTTGACTGTAGTCAAGCCCTTCTTAATGGCTCGGCTACCTTGGTTCTCATGCGGATGAAGTTGCATTGAACGTGGCTACTGCGATCGATACCACGCTTTTCACAAAGTACTCATGTGGGTCTAAACGCTCCGTAGGTCATGAAGTGGGGATGTCGTGCAGCACAGCTGGGAGCTCACTACTGGGTTCTTTTCATTGTTATACCGCCCTCGTCCTCCCGCGTTTTCTGTTTCCATTCGTCTCTCTACCACGTACGATCGAAACTAGCCTGCATCCATCATCATGCTCACTGCTCTAGCTGCCGCAGCGCTGGTGCCAATGGTACTGGCGCAGAGCAATGAGAATATCCTGGGTGTATACATGTTCCACCGACACGGCGACCGCACTCCCAAAGCTCTTGCTCCTGCTAATTTGACGCACCTTGGGTATGAACAAGTCTACACATCCGGCCAGTACTACCGAAATCGATACATCTCTTCGAATGCAACTCTCCAGATCAATGGTATCAACTCCGACATTGTCAAGCAAAGTCAGATTGCTGTCTCTGCACCAGATGATACGGTTCTGCAGAACAGTGCCATGGGCTTCCTTCAGGGTCTCTACCCTCCTGTCGGTGACGCTCTTGGGTCGCAGAAATTGAGGGACGGGACCACCGTTACCGCACCCATGAATGGGTACCAGCTCATTCCTATCGATTCGGTCGACTCTGGAAGCGGGAGCGAAGACAGCGGTTGGCTTCAAGCTGCCAGCGGATGCGCTGCTGCGACCATTAGCTCCAACAGTTACTTCAACAGCGAGGAGTACATGGAGCTACTCGATAGCACCCGTAGTTTCTACCAGGAAATCTACCCAATCATCAATAACACATTCAACGAGACGCAGAACTCTTTCAAGAACGCCTACACTAGTAAGAGGCCGCCAAGGGAATAGATTCGCATCCTCTGCTAACACGCTGTGCAGTCTTCGATCTCGTCAATGTCGCAGAGATTCACAATGAAACCATTCCCAGCTCCGATCTGTTGACTGCAGAGACACTCTTGCAACTACGCACTCTGGCAGATACCCACGAATGGGGTCTTGCATACAACTCCAGCGATGATGCACGAGCAATTGCAGGCAAGACATTGGCAGCTGAGATTGTGCAATTCTTAAATGGAACCATTACCGGGAAAGGCAACCAGAAGATTGGCGTCCAATTTGGCGCGTACGGAACCTTTGCTTCATTCTTCGGTCTTGCCGACCTCCCCAGTGCGAACCCAGATTTCCGTGGAGTCTCAGACTATGCTTCGGCCATGACCTTTGAACTATTCACCAACTCGTCCATGCAGGTCAGCAGTACCTCCTATCCGGCTGTCGATGAGATTTTCGTGCGCTTCCTCTTCCACAACGGAACGACGAACAGCACCAGTGAACCGATCGCCTATCCCCTATTTGGCACTGGTCAAGAAACCATCAGCTGGAACGATTTCACGGAGAACATGAAGAAGTTCTCTGTGGGCGATACGCAAGAATGGTGCTCGGCGTGCGGCAACACGACTGGAACCTGTGCGGCTTATGCTCCCGCTGRTACGTCATCTAGCAGCCCGTCATCTCAAGGGGCGGGAGGCGGTAATGGTCTGAGTCCGGTTGTGAACGGTGTGATCGGTGCCATGGTAACGTTGGCCGTGGTTCTCGGACTCGAAGCACTCGTATTGGTGGTTGCTGGGCTGCGGGTGGTCAGCAAGAAGAGGCTGGTGCGTGGCGATGTCATTGATATAAACCAGAACGGAGTCACAAAGGCATAGAAGATGTAAGTCACCATTTATGATAATGATAATGACATGGGTCTGAACCTTGCAATAGTGCGAGACACTTCCGTCTCTGTACACATACAATCGTTGAGACGCAATCTCGTGAGAAGGTGGCTGAGAAGGCCTTATCTAATGCAAAGACTTAGCAAAGCCTTGTCACGAGGCGACAGGGTTCTCGTCCCGCGCCACATGTCAGTGAAGAGCCCCTCTCTGCGGAATCTATACGACTGGACTACGCATGCACGACCGCAGGATGTGCCTGCCAAAACGAAGGCTTGAAGAAGCCAAGTCTTCGATGTAGTCGACATCCTCTGGATCTTGAGTACACTGAGCGTAAACCGTGGACTGGCGTCGCCTTCTAGGATGACGTCTCAGCGGTAAGTATGTCCTTCAGCGTGTCCGGAGGGAGTCTCGGAGTAACACCACATGGAGGATTCGAAGGATCCCAATAACGCCAGACGATGCTCCACCAAATCCTCCACGCTGACCTCAAGTCTTGTCAGCTTATGTTGATTTGCTGTCACAAGATTGCATAAGGATACTGTCGGCGCGAGCAATCTATACAAGGCCCACCGCCGAGACAATTGCTTGGAAGTCTAGACGTGAGGTTGCATGTGAGAAGGTTTGGCTTCGGCAGTATGTACACTACGGCTCTGCGCCTCGCGAAAAATGTCGCTCGCCTTCTGTATTCAGTTAGTAAGWGGCGGCTGGTCTCTTGACAAGAGTCTTRAGTGTTGATGGAAAGGGGCAATTGTTGCCCATCGTCAAGTCTATTTACTTCGCACTGCGAGTACATAGCGAACGCTAATCTTTTGAGGAGGAGACGTGCCCGAAAGAGAAGATAAAGGCCATCGTTTGGCTCACCTACTCGAAAACCAGGAGTGTGCCAGCTGTTTGCCGTCTCCGTACAGACTGGACCTTGCTAAGTACCTGGATGGGGATCTTTAAGTATCACGTCAGACGTCCCTTTGGAGACTGATGATACTCCCAGAATCGATCTGAGCTGATTGCATGAACACCTTCACATGGTCCCATTGTGAGGAATGCATCGATGCTCAGATGGTCGTTTCGAGCGGCTCCCTATTGTTTGCAGTATCTCGTCAAGAAGAGTCCCGTAATTTGGACAGCGGGTCATTCGTWCCGCCGGACGCAGCACGCAAAACTTCCCAAGTCTCGAGTTTCGAGCCAATGAGCGGACGAAGCGAGGCACAATGTAACACGCGACATGCGCTGCCTCGGGGCCGACCCGGGGCGATGGTTTGGAGCGCATGCGTGCTCTTGGCGTTTTCTGCACTGGGAGGAATGCTGTCGTTTCTATGGCGTCGATTCGGCGTTCCATTTCGCTAGACGCCTTCCATGCTTGAGCTAACTATGTGTTTCCGCCGATCCACTCTCGTTTTTCGCCTCGTTGTCGTTRCACAGCTGAAGTCGACAACATGTATCTCCATTTCATATTTCATGTATATTGCAAGTTTGGACTATGCGGGGAGAGTTTGGAGATTTTGTGGGGAGCCACGCGAGCACAGGCGCTATTATGTAAATATTCGCCATGGGCTTGAGCATGACATATGCTCCTCATTCCTTCGAAATACCACCTTCCTAATGCCCATACCGCTCCATCAGTACCACTGTGTGTGCGGATACCCTCGGCGGATGCAAAAGGCCAAGGCCGAGTTCTGCGTATAGAATCGCGGCCACGCCGCCGTCTGGTATTGTAGGATTCCGGACGAKCTTCCAATCAAGGACGAGCACACCGGAAGCAGATAAGGTCTATGAGAGGTAGATAAGTATTGGCCGCTTGCATTGGTTCGCCCATCAGCGCCTCCCTCGTGGCAGATACCCTGGGCGTTGGCCAAGGCTTGGCTTCGAATTCGAACTCGTTCGGGAACCTTGGCTAGGGTCCGTGATGGTTGCAGTAGCGCCTTAGAGGTGTTGGCGCCCGTGGAATGCTCGTTACGCCATGTTCTTAAATATCGGCGGCTCGTCCTTCCYATAGCGATCAGAGCTTGCAAACTTCACCTCTGCCCACCATGAACGCGCCCGCTGTCATGGACTCCGAGAAGACCCACAAAGTCGAGGAGGGCTCCGACCGGCCTAGCGACGACGGCCTTCACTATGGTAGCTACGAGGAGGCTCCCAGCTTCTGGGACCGCCTGGGTGTCACGCCCAACTCCTTCAAGCGGCGGACTCTCAGCGACAAGCACAACCAGCTCAATCAATCCATGAAAGGTCGTCATCTCCACATGATTGCCATTGGAGGCTCTATCGGTGCTGGTCTTTTCGTTGGTTCTGGCCGTGCCTTGAGCCGTGGTGGTCCCGCTGCGCTGCTCATCGGTTTCGGAATCATCGGTGTCGTGAGTTGACGGACCTGCTCTTGTTGCCAAAGCCAAAATGCTGATGAATGTACCAGATGATTTTCAACGTTGTCTACGCTCTCGGCGAACTCGCTTGCATGTACCCTGTCTCCGGAGGATTCTACACATATTCGACTCGTTTCGTCGACCCTTCTTGGGGGTGCGTATGGCTCATTGAGCACGAGTTTTGAGCACTGCTAACACCTTTGGCAGTTTCGCAATGGGCTGGAACTACGTTATGCAATGGGCCGTCGTGTTACCTCTTGAACTGGTTGTCGCTGGATTGGTGATGGACTACCTCGAGACCGGAGCCCCTACTGCGTAAGTTACGCATTAATATGCCTCATCTTTATGGTTGCTGACACGTGTACCAGCGCTTGGATAACGATTTTCTGGGTGATTATCATCGTGATCAGCATCTTTGGTGTCCTAGGCTACGCCGAGGAAGAGTTCTGGGTCTCGCTTCTCAAGCTTATTACAGTCGTGATCTTCTTGTTCATGGGTGTCATCTTCGTCTGCGGTGGTGGCCCGTCAAATGGCGACTTCTCAACTTACCAGGGTGGAAAGCGATGGTCAAACCCGGGCGCCTTCGCCAATGGCTTTCTCGGTGTCTGCCGAACGTTTGTTACGGCCGCTTTCTCCTTCTCCGGAACAGAGTTGGTTGGTCTCGCAGCCGCCGAGTCCAAGGATCCTCAAAAGTCGCTCCCAGGTGCTATCAAGCAAGTCTTCTGGCGAATCACCCTCTTCTACATCTTGAGTTTGACATTCATCGGCTTGCTCGTCGACTTCGACGACCCAAGATTGCTCGGATCCGGTGGTGGTCTGATCGACACATCAGCCTCGCCTTTCGTCATTGTCGCCGAAAAGGCTGGCATTCCAGCTTTCGGCACCTTCGTCAACGTTGTCATCATGTTCGCTGTCGTCAGCATTGGTCTTTCAGGAGTATACGGAGGCTCCCGAACACTCACCGCTCTTGCCGAGCAAGGATACGCACCCAAGGTCTTTACCTACATTGACCGTGCAGGTCGCCCGCTCTGGTCTACCATCGCTATCCTAGCATTTGGCCCCATCGCGTATGTCGGCCTCGCTACCTCTGGTGAGACCGTTTTCAACTGGTTGCTGTCGCTATCCGGTCTTGCTGCGCTCTTCACCTGGGGAAGCATTTGCGTTGCTCACATCCGCTTCCGCTCGGCCTGGAAGATGGCTGGACACACTCTCGATGAGCTCCCTTTCAAGGCTGCAGGTGGTGTGTATGGTTCATGGTTAGGCTTCGTTCTGATCGTCCTAGTGCTCATTGCGCAGGTAAGTTAACGTGGCCACTGTCCCCGTGTTCATCAAGCTGACCCGTGCATAGTTTTACACTGCCCTCTACTCTGCGCTCCCCACGAAGCCTGCAGGAGAGAAGTACGGCGGTGGTGGCGCAGGTGCCGAGGGGTTCTTCCTCGACTACCTTGCGTTCCCAGTGGTCATCCTCTTCTACATCATCGGCTTTGTGTGGAAGAGGAAGACGTGGGTTCCACTTGCGCAAATTGATGTTGACGGCGGTCGCCGCGAGCTTGATCTCGTCGAGCACGAGAGGAAGAGAGTGAGACTTGCAGCGATGAAYCCTGTGCGCCGTTTCATGGACAAAATCATGTGAGAGTCGGCTCATAGAGTAGAAAGTAGCATGTCTTTTCTATTGTGGTCTCGCATTTAGACCGTGTACAAACCTTCGCGCCCTACGCCCTACACTTTGTGTCGGTTTTCGGACGTCCTCGTGTCTCATTTCCCGGAACGCCATCCATCCTAGTATGGGGAGATTGCTCTGCTCAGAAATCCGGCATCTGCTTGAAGCGGCGCCAAATTTCACGGTCACTCAAGCATTGCATGCATATCATGTACTCAGCCCTAATCCATTAGAAATCTCAAGTTCCGACAGTCGAAGCTCTCAGCTGGGGCTTGATTTGCCAAGGGAGCACAAGCCCTTGGCGGTATCTTGCGGGTCTTGCCACCTGCTGAATCTGGCTGGCCAAGCGAGCCACTTTCGCTGTGCCTCGAGGAATCACAGGACCTTGTCAAAGACTTACGACTCGTTTGCATCTGGCGTTTGATGACACATGTTGGGCACGCCCGTTGAGTCTGCGCCGCGATCAACCTCGGGGCAAGACCTTCAAGATTGGCGGCACCTAGGCATCCAGTCGCTCGCCTCAAGGTTGCAGAAGTATAGTGGATCTCCTGCTCGCGATCGGATCTTTGCGGTCCTGAATAATCAACAATGAAGAAAAGCCGTGTCGACGGGCTGGAGGAGAGTAAGCTGACGTCGCCGGAAGGTTGAAATTGTCCTCGCCGCCATGACGAAAAGGGATTGGCGCAAGCTAGAAGACGGGCAACGACCTTGGACCCTTGAGAGACTACCCCCCACTCGCATCCGTTTGACCACCTGCAACCTTAAGGGATGTTTCCCTTTCCTCTGAGCTGCGATGAAAATGCAGACGTCTGTGTTGTCTCTGTCTTTCCGGATTTACTCGGTCTTCACAGAACAACGATGCAAAGATGCAAAGCTTCCATGTCTGTACTGACCAAAAAGCCGAAACAATCCATGCTCTAAACCCGTACAACTGAAGATGCAAGACCTGATGTCCGTTAAGCAGATGTTTCTAGAAGGAAGCAGCTCCGAAGAGGGGTTCGTCGAAGCTCATCTGAGCTATGATAACTCTATTCATAAGCTTTCGCCATTGCCGGAGGTGACTGTGAGCGTCGTAACAACCCTACATATTAATCGCTGGAAATTTCTATACCATGGTGTCGAATGAACGAAACTTCGAGGGCGAGGTCCCAGCTACTAGAGCACTTACGTCTTTCATTGCCCAAGCAAGAGTTGATCAACTCAGCGTCGAACTTCGCACCAAAGTCCGAGAAGTTTTGGTCGACTACTGTGGCGTTGTAAGCAACCAAATCGTGTCAGTCAAAATCGCCTCCTGACGTTGGACACGAAAGGCAGCTGGCGCACTGAACAATGTGGATTCGACGGAGCCAATCTATAAAGCCATATCTGCTTTGCAAGGCAAAGGAAACTCTGGAATATGCACTGTCATTGGCCACGGAGAGCCGCACATGCTACCACAGTATGCAGGCCTACTCAACTCAGCTTTTGGACACTCTCTAGACTTCGACGATACCTACGCAGATGGAACTTTGCATGCCGGTATCACAACAATCTCCGCTGCCATGACCCAGGCAGAACTCCTGGGACAAGAAGCAAGCAGTGATTTGTTCATGCTTGCGGTGTGTGTCGGCTACGAGGTGACATGTCGCCTAGGGCGAGAGTTGGGATTGGAGTCTTACAATCGTGGATTTCACAACACAGCTACCGCGGGTATCTTTGGTGCAGTCGCTGCCATTGCGGCCCTGAAGCGATTACCAGTCGAATTGATAGATATGGCTTTTGGGCTGGCGGGGAGTAAAGCTGCAGGCTCAATGCAGTACCTTGACAATGGCTCTTGGAACAAACGCCTTCATCCTGGATTTGCAGTTCACGACGCCTTCATGTGCATCAGTCTGGCCGAGGCGGGTGTTATTGGAGCCACGAAAATCATCGAGGGCAAGATGGGGTTCCTCCAGGCATATAGTCCCAAAACGGACCAAGATCTTCATCGTCTAGTTAATGGGTTGGGAACAGAATGGGTATGGCTTAACTCTAGTCTGAAGCCGTTCCCAGCGTGTCGTATGACCCACGGCTTCATCGAGCTGACAGGAAATATACATAACGCGGCACAAGTTAAGGCTGCGGACGTCGACAAGATCGAGCTTAGGATGCCGCCCGTCAACTTTCTGCTGATCGGGGATCCGACACCCAACAAAATCCACCCGACAAACCACATTGATGCTCAGTTCTCGGTATACTTTCAGGTCGCGAATGCATTACTGTATGGCTCCACAACGGGTATCCAGGCGTATCACAAACTGCAAGATCAAGAGATAAAGTCTCTATGCGCGAAGATTGTTGTCAAGACAGACCCATCTATGGACGGCTTCGCGGCTGCACTGAAACTTGTGTGGTCCGATGGCACTTTCGAGGAATCCAGCATGCGATATCCTCTAGGAGAGGTTCAGCATCCTTTCATTCGGGATAAAGTCGATGAGAAGTTTATGAGTCTCGCAGAGCCGGTTTTTGGAGGCGACAAAGCAAAAGCTATCATTAAGCTGATTGATCACCTGGAAGAGCATACCGTTCAAGAGTTGTTTTTGCTTTTAAGATGACGGGCAGAACGGCGAGTAAAGTGTCGTATCCATGGCGCGGACATGAGTGTATCTTGGTACCCAGGGTGATCCAGAGTTTGTCGAAGGAGTTCGCCGATATGCTTTGGACAGCCATTAGCGTCCGTTCAGAGCAAGTAATCAGGTGTCTTCAATATGTCATATCCAAACGTGAAGGTGGTGAAATTTCCTAGAGCGTTTGGGAACCATWCATTAGCGATCCATTCCTCAACGTCGCGCTTCAGTCGCGTTCATTAAAGAGCGTTTAAAGCATGTGTGGGTCTGGCATGCTTCATTGGGTGTCAGCAACCTTGTTACCGGAATATGCAAACCCATACACTTATTCATACCATTATTTGTGAGCGTGTGGCACATAGAGTCTGCTTCATAGTGCGTCGACTTGTCTTGAATAACTTGAATACATTAAACCCCCCTTTTGTGTGGATCATGCCCAGGTGCAAGCCTAGGACTGTACAACTGCAGCATCCCACGTGTGCCGTGCCAGCAGAGCTGTCGATATGAGGATTGTTCGTCGGAACAAGACGACCTCAGTGATCCTCAAAATGTTATAAGGCCTTGCTCTCTGCAGGCTCGACGAGTGTAGGCCTACTAGAACCCTTGCTACCAGCAGAGTAGCCCGTCAATCGACCGAGAGAGCGGTCCGGGGCACTGCTCCTGTTGATGATTACTCGCATCGACAGCTTTGTGACGTGTTCTGCAGCCAGTGGTATTCCCGAACGCGTCGCTAAATTCCGATCTGCATAGCTTTGAGGGCAATGTCATGAGAGTGATCCTTTACATGTCGTTCCGTGTCAAAGACTCTGTTCGCGGGACCACATATCAAATCGGGCTCAAGGCCGCATCGTCTCAAGGCTGATAGGCGCAAGAGTATCAAGTGGCCAGATTCTCCCGAGGGACCGTCTCGCCGACTTTGCCTTGGGCAAGCCTGTGGAGGCTCTTCATTTGCTCGCGCTCGCTGAGGCTTGTGCCTCACTTCTCGCCCTCGTTCTATGCTCCCTGAATCTCTCAGTCGCCACAACATGATCTCTCTGATCGTTTAAGTTCCAGACCAAAATCTCCTTCGCACCCTTCTTCCTCTCAATCCTCCATGTCCCATCCCCCGTCACCACATTCTGCAAGAAGTCCAGGAATTTGGCCGTGAAGTTGATACAGACGCTCCCATCCCACGTTCCCCTGCCTCTCTTTACCACTCCCGGGATGGCTAAGGTCTTGAATTCCTCCATCCGCCTCAGCCACCCATTTCGATCTCTGAACCCAACTACAACGCTCGGAACGCCCAACAAGAAGCTCTGCGCCCAGAATCTACACATCTTTCTCTCGAACTTGACAGCAGATTTCCCGTCTCTTGCATCAAAGTCCTCTGAGGTTTTCAGCTCCACATAAGGAATTTGACTCTCGTCTCCGTCGTCCGGTTTGCAGCCCAGAACAGCATCGACTTCTCCAGCGAGGACCAGCGTGTGGTTGCCAATTCCCGTCCGCGCGATCGAGCAGTATTGCGCGTAGTTGTTTACGACTTCGGACTCTCGTGACTCAATCTCAGTGCGGGAACACTCTGCCCAGGAACGAGGTAGAGTCGAAAGAGTTTCAAACTTGTAGCCCCAATATTGCATCTTCTCCTGCGAGTGAGCGCCATGCTGCAATCGAATATTGTTGTTGGACTGYGCTTCGCGAACGGCCTCGACGGACTTGTTTTCCTCAATGTAACTTTGAGCGATGGGCATTAGCCAGCTATTATCTTTTACCAGCAATGAGGAAGAAGTCACTTACATCGTATCCTGCATCTCGTTTAGCAATGAGACATAATTTGGTAGCATCGTTGATTATCTAGCTTACCTCAAAACGAACGGCATTCATCTCCCACTCCCCGAAGCCGTCGAACGGAGCTGTGAGAATCTACGCCCAAGGTGAGTACATCTTCACATGCTGCAAGACGGACAATCATACTTTGGTCATCATTCCCCTCCACGTAACAAATCCTGCCTCGACTTTCTCGCCACTCTTGCTCTCAAATGCCTCCAAGGTTTCCAGAAGCGGCTCCAGATGCAAGTCCTTTGAACTCTCATCATATTTCTCGAAGCTTTCGAATCCAACGCTCAGATCGATTCCTACATCTTCATTGCCAGAGATCAGGGTCTGTGGTGGGTAGTAATACCTCAGACTTCGCCCGTCGAGCGGGTGGCAGATGTGTTGTTCATCGAAGGAGAACTCCGTGACTTCACGGGGCCGTTTGATGGCTGCCTGTACGCCTCCCGTACTCTCGAAAGGACGGAGGTCATGGAATTTGAAGACTTTTTGCGGTTCCGTCATGTTTGCCGATGAATGTAGGCGATCAATGGAGGTTGCTGGAAAGCGGACTTGCACTTAGCAAACAACTTGCATCTGGTCAGCGGTTCGCATCTTGTGGGCTTCGTTAGGCCTGCGACGTCGTCTTTAAACTACGACCGATGGAGAATATCAAGCCCAAGGAACTTTCTCACTAAGTTCTGATCGATGGAACATTTGACGAAAGTGAAGTTAAGTCGTGAACTTGGTCCAAGCGCGCGCGCCTTCTCCACAAAGAGACAGTCAGCATAACTTAGGCATATGCACATGCAGAAGGGAGCTCTGGTCTTTGCCTCGACATCTTACATCGTCGACGCATCACGAGCTGCGCCAGAGACCAATTTTTCCGCGACTAGCTCTCACTCGACCGATTCTATCGGCCAACGGGGATCTGCAAGCAGTAGTTGTCCTTTGCAAGCAAGCTCATCCCTACGCCCTGCTAACGAGATCCATCCCCGACCAAGTGAACAACAGATTCTCCAACCATCCAAACAATCACCCTCACACAGCCAACAATTGGTCTCCGCCTTCGCCAAGGACACACAGGCTTTCAGATCCTTTCAGCGACCCACCTCATACGACCCGACCTCTTGTTCCCTCCGCTGATACGCGCCTTGTGCGAGCTGCACCTGAATATCACGGCCCGCCGCAGGATCAGACCAATCTTGACTATTTCACGCCCGTCTCACCAGCTTCACGCCCAGCTTGGGAGCCTCCACCGTTCCATCCAGGCTCCGCCCGCGCCCGCCCAAATCGCAGGGGCTCGCATCAAAACGCACGAGGCGGATGGTCGTCACAGCGCGCACGACCCAACCGACCCTACCTTCCTCCCCCACCTGGCCTCACCATGCCGATGGGCCGGATGCACTCGTCGCAACCTTCGAATCCCTTCATCACCTACAACGCGCAGCAGTCGCAGCAACCAAGTTATGCTTCTCAATCAGCCAACCTGCCTCCCTTCAATCTCAATGCTGGCATCACACCTTTCAATCCGAGCACCGCCTCGGCATATGGCAGTGGAGCGTTCGGCGCCGCTGCAGGCACATCTTCCTTCGCACCCGGCATGATGGCAGGCCCGGGCCAAGGGCAGGGACTTGGCTCCGCAGCTGCGCAGGCGGGATTTGCAAGAGGTGCCGCAATGCAAGAGCACAATCAACACATTGAGGCAGGAGGTATGGGCTTGAAGACGGGCGCCGCAGGAAGAATACGCGAAGTGTGGCAGCATAACTTGGAGCCCGAGATGCATATGCTTCGACAGCTCATTCAAAAGTACTCGTACGTATCTATGGATGCCGAATTCCCAGGGATTGTCGCACGCCCCATTGGGAACTTTGCCGGCAGCAAAGCCGAATATCACTACCAGACGCTTCGCTGTAATGTCGACATTCTCAAGCCCATTCAAATCGGCATCACTTTGTGGAATGCCGAAGGCGACCTCTGCCCCCCGCATGATCCCTCCATCACGCAAAGACCCGGGAACAAGCCCTCGGGCTACAACAATTCGACGCTGAACCAACAAATCCCATGTACGTGGGTCTTCAACTTCGAGTTCAACCTGGAGGAAGACATGTACGCCGAATCATCCATAGAACTGCTGAAACAAAGTGGTGTGGATTTTCAACGTCACATGGAAATGGGTGTCTCGCACCAAGCATTCGGTGCTCTGCTCAACACGTCAGGCCTCGCCATCAACCCCGATGTTCATTGGCTGAGTTTTCACTCTGGATACGACTTTGGCTACCTCATCAAGCTTCTCTCGAACGACGCCTTGCCTACTGAACAGTCTGAATTCTTCCAGCTGGTATCTCTCTTCTTCCCAAAACTTTGGGATATCAAGTTTCTCCTCCGCCACGCTCAGCGCATGCGTGCTCAGAATCGCCTATCGGAAAACGGCTCGCGTATAGTGGACTCATTAGGATCGAAGTCCGGCCTTTCGGACCTTGCAGACGAGTTGCAGTGCCAGCGCATCGGAACATCGCATACAGCAGGCAGCGATGCCTGGCTTACAGGCGCAGTCTTTTGGAGCATGAAAGCAGGCATTTTCAATGGGGACCTAGACGACGTACTTTCAGACCAGATCTATGGACTTCACGGTGTCCCCATGCCCGCAAGTCAGCAGTATCGTGAGGAGTTTTTCGCTGCGCAGCACACGCCTGGCGCAGCAGCCACCAACGGAGGTATGGGTGGTAGTAATGCCGCAAGCTTTACGCCTGGCGGCCAAAACAATGGTGGACACAATCCCAGCACGCCGGTTGCGCAGCATGCGGGACTTCATTCAGGCACGCCTGGAGGAGGCAGGGATGGAGGTCTTTACACGGCTGCGCAACATAGTATGGCCGCGGGTTCATACCAAGGTTTCCAGTACTCGCAGGGAAAGTAGAAGGTGAAAAAATGAGAGGCAATGTTTCCAGCGGGAGTTAGGGGGAGGCGTGTTTGATATCCGGGGGAGTTTCAAGGAGGGCGAAAGGAGTGGTGGGAGTTCAGTCGCTGCGCGCATGGAGTAGGACATTGTAACAACACTCACGAAGATGAGGCTGGCTGGCTGTCACATCTGCTACCACGACATTCTTTGAGAGGTCGAAGCCGTGGTTTTCCCATAATCTTCTTCACTTGKAATCTATTCGTTCTCTTTTCTTCGCTTAAAACTTTGAATGTCGTGGCAGTCCAGTTTTTGGTGGAGCCGAGCTAGGGTCTGTGCGGAGAAGTTACGTCGATCTGGACGACCACGGCCACAGCATTGAGGCATCCTCCATCACTTCCAATCCTCGTTGAGCAACCACACACATACACAGTAAGTTTGTCACTCCTAATCACTACGCAACCTCTAATGTAATTGACAGCGATCCCCACCATGCCTCGACCAAACATCACAGGCTTCGACCCCCAGCGCTTCGCGGCTTCGTCCGGTCAACCTAAGAACGATCCATGGGCACGAGCGTGCGTCTTCACCGAAACATCTGCCTGACACAACTTTGAGGTGTGGAATACTGACATTTGCAACAGTGAGGCTTGGCGATACACAGGTCCCTTCACACGCGGCAAGCGCTTCAGGAACTCTTTCCCAGGATTCGGCACGGCCACGGTGCTGTTTGCGGGATACTTGGTCTACGAGCAGATGTTCATGCAGAGCTCGCATGGGCACGGCGAAGCACATGGGGAGGGCGAGCATTGATTGCGGAGGGTCGCGGAAGAGGGATGTATAGGGATATTGCATGGCGTTTGGGGAGTGTTCTTTGGGTGTGGTATATGTGAGCAGTGAAGGAGGACGGAGGATCAGGCAATGAGAGGAAGCAAATATGAGGATGAGAGACATGGGCTGGGGATGAGAGTTCAAGGCAGGCGCTGAAGGTGCTGGAGGTACGCGATTTCTGCCAGAACGGGTGAAAAGTTCACCGCGGCAGAGAGGCGCGTCTTTGAGCAATGCGTCTTCCTCCCAGCAAATTGCACAATTGCCGCATGTGCGGAGCCGTCTTGCGTCTGTATCCTCAGCCAATACCATTCAGAGCCATTGAGAGAATGGGGAAATGGAGGAGGTTCCGCCGCACACAAATCTACGCGGCACCACGAGCTGACGGTGGTACCATCTGCACAATGGCATTCTTTCAAAAGCTGCATCTCTACAGCATGTCCTACGCCTAAGGGCCTGTTTTGCATAAGCTCCCCCCTCAAAACGCCAATCCGGTGAGATGCAATCTCGAGCAGCCGTGAGAGGTCCTTATATATTTGATCACCAGACATGCGTTTCGACGGGATGTAAAAGCTGTACAATCAAATACACACGTCGAAACATCCATCTCATCCATTCCTTGTCCTCCTACAGTGGCCGTGCGCCAATGCCGCTCAAATGTCCGAATGCGAAACGGCAATCGGCCCCCCACTAGCGACCGCCGCCTCTGCTGGAACATTACTTATCTTCCGGGCCACACCTCATTCACTCGCCAAACCCCCGACACGTGCTAGCTCGCCTACATCTCCTCCGGCGTTAGCACCTACATCCCCTCTCCGAAAATGCCAGCATGAGTCGTCACAGGCCAACCACCACATCTCCGCCGTAGCCCACCCTCGATCGCCAAAATGCCCCGAGTGTACCCTCCCCTCGAGGGCCGGCAACCTGCCGTTAACATTTCTCCCTCCCTGGTCGAGTCCGTTGCAGGCTTCACCGCCGGTATGRTCTCCACGCTTGTGGTACATCCATTTGACGTCATTAAGACTCGTCTTCAGCTGAGGAACTCCTCCCGCTCCGCACCCGGAGACACATGGCGCGTAATGCAGAAAATTGCCTCCGAGGCCATTGTCCAGAGTCCGTCCACATCTGCTTCAGCGCTGGTCGCGGGTAATCGTAGGGCAGTTATAACAGCTTTCTACCGCGGATTGATGCCGAATATGATTGGCAACTCCGTCTCGTGGGCGCTGTATTTCATGTGGTATGGAAACATCAAGGATCTGGTGCGGACTGTGCGAGTCAAGACGCAGGGAGAAGAGAAGGGGAGGAAGTTGGGGAGCATGGACTACTTTCTCGCGAGTGGAATGAGTGGGATCTTGAYCGGCATTGTGACGAATCCCATATGGGTGATCAAGACGAGGATGCTGAGCACGAGCAAGGACCACCCGGGAGCTTATAAGAGCATTGCACATGGAACAAAGACCCTATGGGCGAAGGAAGGAATTCGTGGCTTCTATCGAGGGCTCACGCCTAGTTTGTTTGGAGTCAGTCACGGCGCGGTGCAATTTATGGCATATGRGCAACTTAAGAATCGTTGGGCGACTGGCAGGAAAGGAGGGAAGGAGGGTCTGACCAATGTGGATTTCTTGACGCTTTCTGCGATCAGCAAGATGTTCGCGGGAAGCATAACGTACCCATACCAGGTTGTCAGGACCAAGATGCAGCAGTACGACATGCCGGAGATGAAGGCAAGAGAGGTTGTCAAGGGAATCTGGAGGGCCAACGGTGTTGCGGGTTTCTACAAAGGATTGGTTCCTAATCTTGTGAGAGTGGTGCCGAGCACGATGGTCACATTCTTATGCTACGAGAACATGCGTTACTATCTGCCGAAGTGGTGGCATAGCTGAGCAGAAAATTGGAGAGTATTGGAACCACTGGCGCTGAATAACCCGCTCGCCCTGGAGGACGATCTCGAGCACAAAATCTCTCCCACCATGGGCCTCACGCCTTTAGACGATACGGTATGATATTGACGTCCTAATTTGGACTCATCTTTCGGGGTAGCTGAAGGAAGAACATCCCCGTCATGGACATCGCTCTATAATAAGGGATCTAAACAAGAGGCTGGAATCGACTTCGATGGCATGCGGACGGAGATTTTACATCCTCATGGCATACTCAGCAACAACTTCCAAGAGATTGACTCTACAGAGAGACTGGCGCGAGGAGGCTGCATTACCTGGCATTCGCGAGATTGAGCGTTCAAGCAAACTTTTGCATCGTTTTCCTCTGGCTCAACGAAGTGCTCAACGAGCTTAGATCATAGATATTTGTTTGCAGACGTTACAGGGAATGCATTTTGACAGAGTGGTGTATGATTACCTGTGGAGACCTATCTCAATACGGCGTGTTCTATCCTTCTCGAAACCAGCATTCTTGTTGACTCGTTGCCATTCTCCATTTGGAYGCTGGGTATTGCTTCTCGTAGTAGTGTCTTTAAAGGATTGGCTCACGGTCTTCGATTTAATGTTAGGTTGTCACGACCTAGATCTATCAATGTCTTGGCAATCTCCTTCACCTCACTTCACCTGCCCTCTCCAACTTTCACAATTCGATAAACATCGACTACCTCAAGATCTCCATGCAATGCAGCGGAAACCTTTTCCAATAACTCAAATAGCTCGGATCCCTTCAAACAATACTCCAGTCCATGCTGTCACATTCTCCGCTGGAACAGGCCAATACATTCTTACCGGCTCCCAGGATCGCACCGTCCGGCTTTATAATCCCAACACTCGACGGCAGATTCAGGCTTATAACGCTCACGGCTACGAAGTACTCGATCTTGCCGTCTCGGAAGACAACGCGCGGTTCGTGTCGGTTGGTGGAGACAAGACTGTTTTCCTCTGGGATGTTGCGACCGCGACTACTCTTCGACGTTTTAATGGACACGCCGGACGTGTGAATGCGTGTTCTTTTGGCGGAGAGGGAGACTCGGTGATTGTCAGTGGGAGTTTCGATGGGACTGTGAGGGTTTGGGATGCAAAGTCCAGGGACTCAAGACCTGTTATGACGTTATCTGAAGCCAAGGATTCGGTKAGCAGTGTTGCGGTTCGAGGCGGGGAAATCTTCACTGGGAGTGTGGATGGGCGGGTCAGAGTGTATGATCTTGCGATGGGAGATGTTAGTGTGGATGTCATTGCTCCTGGGAAAGGGTGTACGAGTGTGCAGCCTACCAAGGCGGGGGATGGGTATGTGGTTAGCAGTCTGGATTCGAAAGTCAGGTTCATGGACCGGGGGAGTGGAAAGTGTTTGCAGAGTTTTGGGGACGAGGGGTTCAAGAATGAGGAGTATCGGGTGAGGAGTACGCTGGCTATGGCAGATGCCAGTGTGATCAGTGGGAGTGAGGACGGGAAGGTATTTGTTTGGGATGTCTTAACCGGGGAGATGCTGCATCGTCTTTGGCACAAGGACCAAGGTGCTGGAGGTGGCGCTGTGGCTAAAAGCAGTAAAAGGGATGTGGTGAGTGCAGTTGCGTGGAACCAGCTCAGGAAGCAGTGGGCAAGCGCGGGTGGCGATGGAACTGTGGTCGTCTGGGGGCTTGAACAATGAATTCGACAACAAGGTACGTGAAAACCCGTAGTGTTGCTCAATGTGAGATTGTCTCATACGGGCGCGACGACTAGTCCAATGTCCGGAACGTTCTACTGCCTGTCCGCCAGTCGACCAGCGACCTCATGAATCAAGCAGGGAAGCCACCTTCAGAACAGACCAGAACTCCGTGTCACCCATCGCACAGAACATCCCGCTCTCCTAAGTCAACTTCGGCATGCCGTCATCACCGGCAGCTACAACCACTTTGATTCTTCAAGACCTCGGCATGCCGCTGCTCACAACATCACGCTCCAATCATCCAGTCCCCACATAACCCTGTCGCAAAGATGGAGCAAGCCTCCAAGTTCGCAAAGTAAGTGCCGCTATCTCTTCCGCGGCGCCCGCTGACAATGCGCAGCGCATTCCAGTCCGATGCACTCATTGAGATTTCTTTGGCGGATGGCGGTCACTTCACTGTCCAGCGGGCACTCCTCTGTGATGCCTCCGAGTACTTCCGGTCTGCTCTGCTTGGCGGATTTGCGGAAGCGCGGGACAAGACACTTCGACTGCCTGGCTGCGACACCAAAGTCTTCGAGCTTCTGTTGTACTGGATATGCAAACACAGCCTTCCGGATGTGACGCAAATGCGAATCATCTCTGATGAAGACGATGAGAGCGAGCATCGTTGTGATGTTACTTGCCACGGGCACCTTTGTGATGATCCTTGCTACGAGCAACAGGCCATCCTGGCACGACTATGGCATGCGGCTGGCATGTATCTCTTGCCTGACCTTCAGAATGCGGCCATGAATTGTTTGCTCGATATGCTTGTTCACTGCTTTTTGGGTCAGTTGGCGATGGAGACAGCCTTCGAAATGGGTTCATCGAACTGCATCTTTCGCAAAGTTTTACTTGAGGAATTTGTTCACGAGTTCTTCGAGTATCCTGACAGGTACACTTTCGGGAACATCATGAACGACTTCTCCAGCATACCCGACTTCTTCGCCGCCTTTGCTRTCATGATGCGACAGGATACCCAAGATGGCAAGAATCGGAGTACGTGGGGATCAGCAACGACGAAGAAAGCGCTGCGGCTCAGCTGCATGGTGCCCATTGTGCCCCAAACTTTGCGTTAGGAAGAGTTGTGTCATCTACCAACCGAGACCCTCCCAACCACCACAACTGGCAATCTTCAGATGTCTGGACGATGTGCCGGGAATGGCTTTGCCACCGGCGACCATAATCTTCACTCTCAGATTTGCCGGGCCACCCAGGAGCGCGCACAGCGACAGGTTAGGTTTTGAGATAGAACGGAACGGTTCCTTCGAGTATGTACGCATCTGTTGGTTCTACTTCACAATGTGTTTAGCTGAGGTTACGTCTTACTCCACCCCGGTGGTAGCTTTTCCGATCGCCACCCTCTGGAAGGTATTCGTAAGTCCTGCCCAAATCCCACTCCAGATCTTTTGGAAGAAGATCCACGGGATTGTCACATTCGGGTCAGGTCTAAGCCCAGAACCCATCCTGCGCATTTGGTGGTAGAAGAAAGAAATCGCTAGCCCACGCCCAATGATCTGTGCAGGAATTAACTTCCCAAACCACTGGCCTCTTACTATATGCGACATGCCCAAAGCCTGATCATCCCCAACATCTGGGTTCAAAATTGTCTTGCGCGGAAGTTCAGGCTCCAACACTGCTGCCCTCCCCAACCCGATGAGATCGCAAACCCCGGATTCAATCGCATCGGCCATTCCTGTCCTCGACCGGAACCCGCCAGACAGCTGAATCGGAACAGGCGAATCCATAGCTTGGACTTTCTCCGCAAAATCTGTGAAAAACCCTTCGCGAATCCTGGTACTCTCGCTCTTCTTAGGGGCAACACTTATTGTCTTACTCCCAAACGATCCCTGTAGCTTTGAACCTGTTTGCTCTGCATTACCGCCAGAGATCTCAATAAAGTCTACCATTCCACAATTTGCAAGCCAGCGTACTTGTTCCAAGGCTTCGGCTTGTTGGAGGCCTCCTTTGGACATGTAGTCGGCGCTATTCAGCTTGACGCTGAGACAGTAAGGAGGAGGACATCGATCGCGGATCTCGCGCACAAGACGTTTCAWCAAAGCCATACGCTTCTCGGGCGTGCCTCCGTAGTCATCTGTTCGGCGGTTCGTATGAGGAGAGAGAAACTGGGACAGGAGGAAGCCACTGGTAGGAGATGTTAGTTATATGCAGYGAGGGTATGGTTGGCACACCTACTGGGCTCCATGCAATTGACAGCCTGCGAAGCCAGCATTACGGGCTACGACAGCTCCTCTGAGAAAGCATCCGACCATCTCATCGATCTCTGCCACATTCATGGCCTTGGGAGTTCCAAGAACCTTGTCCAAAGCCAGCTTGTCCAGCCAGCCATCGCCTAACTTGACAGGAACTTCACTAGGACACAAAGCTCGCATATCAGTTGGTCGATTCCCGGCTCCAGCAGGACTCATGCGTCCCGGATGTGCGAGCTGAACAATACAGGGTGTACCATTCGCTTGTGCGATGCTTGCCCACTCTCCCCACTTCCTCATACCCCCGGGAGATGTACTTTGAGGATGGACGCAGACATCACCTGCGATCGAGAGAAATCGGATGTCAACCTGGACTTGGCCGGTTATCAGAAGTCCATATTGAGACTCTCCCCAGTTTTTGTACAATTTTCTGAACTTGTCGATTGGAGGGTCGAAGTTTGGGGCCTCCGCGAGTGTTTCTTGCATGGGGCATTTCACGAGCCTGTTTGGAAGTGTGAGGCCACAGGGCAGAGTGAGAGGCTGAGCGATTAAGTCGATTGCACTCTTTGGCGATGCCCTTTGTGGGTTGGGGTCACCCATCGTCTGATGAGATACCCGTGGACACTTGCAACGATAATGGTATAGCTGAGCTGTGCAGGAATAACGTTGAGTCTGTTCTGCAGACCGTCGCTGGCCTGCAAACCATCAGCTTGTCGTGCCCGTGTTGCCGGTCCATCATTGCCGATAGAGCGATCCGAAGCGTGGAGGCGATAAGACAGAGTTTGGCCCAGCGGAAGAGGCAGAAAGTGGCGCTCTCCTGTTCAGTGGTAGAGTTTATCACGCTTGCTCTTTAGTTGTGGTATATCTTGTACTGCTCGCGCGTGTGAGACGCGTTCGTTCTACGCGACTGTTCTCCCGGGTCTAGCAAATATATCATCGACAGCTTCTTAAAATGGCCACTTCACGCACCTCAGGCATCACCTCCTATTTCCAGCCGACACAATCCACCAAGCGAAAAGCTGAAGACAATGGCCCTGAAAAGGAAAACTTCCCCAATGCAGCTCGAAAGAGGGCTAAAGGCCAGACCAATGATGAAGCCAGCACAGCGGAATCCGATGATGCACAGGTCCCAAAGAAGACGGCCAAAGCCCGAGGAAAGCCCCCTGGAAGAGCGAAAGCGATCAAGCCAAAAGCAGGCCCGACTCCCAAAAAGCTGTTCAACGATACAGTAAAACAAGTCGCCAAGCAAGTCAAAGCATTGGACAAAAAGATCAAATCCATGAACGGCAACACACGAGAGGTCTACATTGCAGATTACGCTGATATAGCCGCGCAACATATACCCGTCGTCGAGAGACTGGCTGCAGTCGATTCGGCCCTTGCGTTCAATCTGGCACTCTGCTTGGGCGACGCAGCTTCAACGGACCTAAATGTTACCATAAAGATGTCTGGCTATGGAGATCATGAGAGCTCGTTCGCTGAGCTGGACGCAGCATTGTTACCGCTCATCGAGGCCAGAGAGGTCCCTACCACCAGACTCGAAGTCCTCCCCGCGGTAGCACATCGTTGGACTCGTGCAGATGCCGATGTTGGTGAATTCAAGACTGGAAGACCCAATAAGCAACAGCGAAACGAGATGGCTAATGACAGAATTGATTGGGAGCACGAGCGGCGGGCAGAGCGCATGAAGCGGAGGATGGAGTGCGAGGATTGGGTGACTGTTGCATTGGCTGATTTGAAGGGAGAAAGAGACTACCTCGATGCTTACGGTGTTGAGGGATTCTTCGAAAAAAGTATTGCAAAGCTTGAAGCGATTGATCTGACTCGGAAGTAGGGAGGGGAACTGAAGAATTTGAAATTGAATCTTGCCGAAGCATTGCCATGAACGCGGCAGTGCTGCGATTCATGGGATTGCAAAATTGTTGATTAGCCATGTGCCAGCGTAGAGAGTGCTTCTGAATAATAGATTACAGAAGGCTACGTGGCACGAAAGATGTTTCTTTCGCTGAGCACTTTCCAATCATCGCAGGTTGAACGATTGCCACGATGCAACGCTCCCATATCCTTCACCAATGCATCTTGAACTACCACTGTTCGTTCGGGCGATCAATATCGTGTCGGTATGCTCGCAGCTGACCGCCACGCCCGCTGCGCCTTCGCGGCGGCGCATCTTGCCATCCGGGAGGTCCACCACGATTATAGGTGTAGTTCGGTGAATRTGCTCCGCGCACATCTGAAGTTGCGTTCTGTCCCTTAGTGCTGTCATGATTGGTGCCAATGCCAAACGATGGCTGCGAGTATGGCTTATCATGAGAACGAGCGGAGCTATCTCGCTTCCAGGAGTAAATAGGTCGACCTGCATACCCTTGCCCGTCTCGTGGCTTGGTCGACTTGGGCGAAATGTCTTGACTGTCTTCTTTCCGCTCCCGGGCGGGCGGATTCCAATCGATGCCCGTGTATGAGGGCAGTCTCCGATCAACAGACGATTTTTGATTCATGGAGTCCTACCTCCGGTCCTCCTGTCTGTAAAAATTACGCTCCCGCTCCTGTAGCCTTTCCTTCTGCAAAGGACTTCTACTTCGTGTCCGCCTAGGCTGCTCATCTCGTGGCCGCGAGTACCCACCTCGATCCCGATCCCGATCCCTGTCTCTATCGCGATCACGGTCTCTATATCCTCCTGCGTCCGAGCCGCGGTATTGGCGAGGTGCGTCGTTGTCGCGATATGAGCGTGATGGATCGTACGACCCTTCTCGGTCTCGATCTCTTCCGCGGTCCCGATCCCGCTCTCTGGGTGGGGGTCTACCGTCGTGTCCCTGGCTTGCACCGCCGCCGCTACCTCCCTGGTACGACGGAACATATGTATCCAGTAGTGGGCCACCTCGAACGTTCGCCACAGATGGTTCGCCACGGGGTAGGACATCAGGCGGGCGTGGTGGGAGTGAGTGACCATTGGTCACGGGAGGCGCTGGCCGTCGACCTGCGGGGTCTTGCGGCGGCCATCGGTCCGGCTGCCTGGCGCCAGCGGGAGGCAGAGGCGCGTGACCTCTTCCGTCTCTACTATCGTACTCTCTCGGCAGTGGAGCTCGGTGTACGCCTRGGGGGTCATAGCGGCCACCCCGCCGATCGTCATGGCCATAGCTCTGGTAATTGCCGTTACCATTGCCCTGTCCGTCCCATCCCTTTGGTCCCATTCCGACTGTTCCACCGGCTGGCGCAGGCGGCAAGTCGCGGGGTTTGTCCTGGCCGCGACGTCTGGCATCCAGTTCGTGGCTGTCTTCGTATTTCGGAATGTCCTCCGCGCGAATGGGTAGAGGAGCTGTGGTAAAGTAAGGGTGCTTCAACGCGTCCACCGCATTGATGCGTCTTCGCCAGTCCAGATTAAGAAGCTGCTTAAGCAGGTTCAGTCCTTCGGAACCGAGCTTTGAGCCGAACCTCTGGTCGATGTCGCCTTTGTTGGAGTGCCATTCCTTGTGTCCTTCGCAGCCAGGCAGATCCGACCATCCGGGCATTGAATGCTCAGTCGGGGATCCAACAAGCTTGAAGATTCGGACACACTGGTCGACGTCCGTGCGACCTTCGAGGATTGGCTTACGCTCGAACATCTCGCCAAATATACAGCCCACACCCCACAAATCGATGGCGGGTGTGTACCGCTTGAGTGTAAGTAAGAGCTCTGGAGGTCGGTACCATCTTGTGACGACGAGGCTTGTGTAGTCTCTGACCGCCTGGCCGTTGCCTTGACCGGGCTGGGGTGTGAGTCCATCGTAATGCCGCGCCAAGCCGAAATCTGCGATTTGGAGGATGCCGCGATTTGATATGAGGATGTTGGCAGCCTTCATGTCTCGGTGAAGAATGTGAGACTGATCACAATTAGTACTGGCAGACGACGCCTGCCAAAGACTGCACTTACGTCGTGGAGATATCGCAGACCCTCGAGTAATTGTTGCATGTAGCACTTGATCTGCGGGATGGTGAATTGAATCGCGGGGTTTGTGAGCATCCCGCTGAGATCATGGTCCATGTATGGCATGACCATGTATAGTATGGCCCGTTTTTGGCCTGTCTTGGCCTTCTTGTCCACTACATTGACAAGGTCAGTACCACGCTCGTGAAAGTGTATTGCCTCAATGCGATGCGAACCTTGCTGTCTCTCCACTGCCATTTCCTCCAGGTGCAGAATGTTCGGATGGCTCAACATCTTCAGCAGCTTCACCTCTCGTAGCGCAGTGATTGGGAAACCCTCCTTCTCGTTGTGCATGAGGATCTTCTTCAAAGCGACAATCTTGCCGCTTCGCAACGAGCGCGCCTTGGAGACAATGCCGAATGTGCCCTCGCCGAGCTTCTCGTTCACAATCTCATATTCGCTGATCTTTGCGCTGCCGCGGAAGCGGCGCTGTGTTGGATCTGTCATGACTTCGCAAGTCGGTATCGGAGGTGTTGTTTGCGACATGGCGCCGCCTGCAGTGAGAAAATATGTCTATCAGATGTCGCGACGTTTTTTTTTTCCACAATAAGAAGCGATCATGCGCGAGAATCTGGCAGACAATAGGAAGTGGATCCCAGCGTGGCTGTCGCGGAGGTCATCGGGAAGGCGCGTCGTGTTCGTGTCAGCGAGACGGGCCAGACTCTCAGATGTAGATGTGCTATCGCCACGCGGTGTGGATGCGCGGACGCGGCGGCGACGGGGAGTGCGAGCCGGCTCAGGAATTGGGTAGTATCGCGAAGTTGAAGATCAAGATCGGAGTCGCGATGGGCACACCAAAAGTTCGGCAATCGGAGCCGACGCATGAACGAACCCCGGTCGGGATGATCGTCCGAGCCACCTCACTTGGTCCATCAGTCTCTCGTGTGTCCCTAAGGGAGGCCATCAATACACACTTGTCAAGATCTGTACGGTATCCTCACCTCGCGGTCGCTTCTTCACTGACCAATCGCAGCACACTTCATCCCCCAAAAATGGCAGGACACGGTGCAGGAGGTCCACGATACGGCGGAGCACACCCAATCACAATTCCACCAGTGCGCCCACTCTACAGATTCGCGGCAGTTGGCCTCGGGGCTTCCATGTGGTTCTTCGTACGTGTACCTCACATCTGAGTTGGCCTGTCGGTGGCTTACTGTGTGGCAGCTTTTCTACCGTGCGCGTTACGACCTGCCTGTGCTGCTCGGCATGAGACATCCATGGGATCATTGAGCGGAGGACAGAAGATGTACGAAATCAGATGATGCTATCCTATGGGCTGGTGGAGCTGGAAGGGGGGAGTTGGGACATGTACGACTATTAAAGTCGTCAAAATGCCATGGATCGTGGCAAGCCGACGAGGGAACAGCCCGTTTCACTGCTAGTGGCATCTCTGGACAACTATCATGGTCCGAGAACATGCTACTGCTGCATCAATGTGTCAATATGGAGTCCACGCTAAGTATCCATCTCTTCTACTATTGCTGTCGAAGCTTCAAGCTGCTCTAGAGATCTGGTACTCATCTTTCTGTCAATGCTTGAAGAGTTAATGCTGGAACATTCACTTCTGAAAGAGTGAATGCTCCTGTCGCCTCACCCCTTCTGCCTGCCCCACTTCCACAACTATAAAGCACCTCGTCTTTGCCTCAACAATCTCAAAGATATTCAACAAGCATCTCCAAGCACTCACTACCACACCCTCTCTCGTCATGTCGACACCCAGCAAGAAGACCACTACCAACGTAGTTCTCTCGSGCACCCCTAGCACTAAGAAGTCTCCCAGCACCAAGAAGTCTTCCAGCACCAAGAGGTCTTCCATTACCAAGGATTCTCCCAGCACCAAGAACTCTGCAGACAAGCGCATCATCAAACCGAAGCGTGTCTCCCATCTTACTTCCGCTCAGAAAGCTGCCACCACCCTCCACCACATCTCCGACTACTCGGCCTGGTACCTGAAGGATTTCCCGAGCACCACCGACTCCAAAAATCTCGCGGCACAATGCGCGTCCATCGGCACCAATGCCTACGATTGGCCCACGGCTAGAGCTCAGCACGAAGCGCAAATCGCGCGCCTCAAGTCCTCGCGCGACCGGCCCAGACGTGAGTACAGCACCCCTGGCCCAAAGACTCGTGTTTGGGTTCCAAGATGGCCAAGGGAGAACCCGGCCGTCGGTGAGAACTCCGAGATACCCGAAGATAGGCATGGCAAGTCACGCGAAGCGATTGTGCGAATTGTGCAGGATCAGGAGGAGGCTACCAAGGAGGTGTTCGCGCTAATGGAGCGGTTCGCGAGCTTTGCTCAGCTGTCCGCTGAGGAGAAGAAGGGGTATGTGCGGGAGCATTTTGATATCGCACTGAGGTTGGAAGGCATTGAGGTGATTGATTGGGAAGTTGGCTGTCACGGGTGGGAGATGGAAGTGTTTTTCCAACAGACGAAAAGCTGGAAGGGCAAGTGGGGGTTGTTGTGAAGTGAGGCGGGACGGCGTTACGAAAAAGCAGTTGATACGATGATTATGCCATGACATTATTATGTTCTCCACCAAGTTCTCTGCCAGTTGATGACCAACTGTGCCGATACGGTGATTTGTGGGCCTTTTGATACCGCCGTCACATAATCGAGGGTCGCCCGTAGTGGACGACTTCGAATAGACATCATTGTTCGAGCACCTTTGCGAGAATAGTGGTTTATGCGCTACGGTTGGTTCCCGCTGTATTCCTAGCGCTTGAAAGAATGACAAGGCCAAACGGACGGAATCTAGCCCGTCAAACATTGATCACAGCGTCGAGAGAGCCTACCTAGTAAACGGTAACTACAGAGTAGGGGCACAAATGAGAGAACATTCCTGCGAAAGCATTCTTGCGACGTCTTGGCACAGATATGTTGATCGCGACCTTTCAGCAAGCCGCTGCAGAGAAGTAGTAAAGGTGATATGATTGCATTCGATTATATTCGTACAGCTATCCATCATTCCTAGGTTTGTCGAAATCAGCATTCTCAGCGCTAGCCAGCCCCAACGCTTGCTCTTTCCGACACTTCCCGAATAAACACATTGAAAGAAGCAGTATTGAGGTATCTTCCCACACGAACGGTCTTCACGCCGCACCACCCAACGCAGGACTCTTCTCGATGCAAATCAAGCCGAGAGGTCTGCTATCACCCGGTCACACCTGTGCTCCCGTACGCGAGAACTTTTCTGTGCGCTCTTTTACTCGACCTCCAACTTGAACACAGATTGCGCTTAGCGTCTACCAGTGCGGGACATGCTTCCTTGCAGGCCCTCGACTTCTGCCTCAAGCTGCTTGATCACAGCGTGACTTTGCTCGAGATCCTTGTTCAAGCGGTCGCGCTCGGAGATGAGCTTCTGCTCCCACTGCCTGAAACGCTGCTCTTYGACCTTGACCTGTTCTGTGAACCTCTTGCGAAGCTGCTCCTCCTCTTCCTTAAATTTGGGGTTGTCTAGCTTCCTTGGTCGTGCCTCACCAAACTTCCTCGTCTCCATCTGCTGTGCGCGGTAGGCCTCGTAGTGAGTCTCCTCGGTCGTGTGGATAAGATCCAGCATGTGAGTACGGATCAGGATTGCGCGGAGCTTCTTGAAGTCGCAGTGCTCCTCATTTTCGACCTCGGCGACACCCCATGCGTACTGACGGCCCTTGACGGTGCGGCCGTCGGGTGTGTTGACATCACGCTCAGACCCAATGACTGAGAATGGCATGGCAGAAATCAGGCTGCGGGCGTGCTGAAGACCGGCCTCGTCGTCTTCTTCGAGCGGTGGGGTGTAGATCTTGATTCCCTGGGCCTCGATGACGCTGCGAATCTACGTRGAGGGTCAGTATATGTTCCTTCGCGAACCATGTCATATTCCACGTACGCGCTGCTTGAACTTGGCCAAATCGGCTGGCGAGAGCGTATCCGCCTTTGCGACGACTGGAATCAGGTTGACACGAGTGCACAGTCTCTTCATCACTTCAATATCCAGAGGCTTGAGGGTGTGGCCAGTAGGGCGGATGAAGTACAGGCAGGCATGGACTCTCAGATCAATCTTCTCGGCACGCTTTGGCTGTTGCTCTTGGAGCATGTAGCTCTCATGCTGGTCGTCGAGGAACTCGATAATTGGCTGCCAGCTGTCGCGGTTGTTGACATAGTCGCCGAACCCAGGTGTATCGATGACAGTCAGGCGGACCTTGAAGAACTTCTCCTCGAGTTCTGCCTTGGTAATTTCAATCTCAACAGTCTTGTCAACCTGCTTGGCGTGGCGTCTACGGTGGTCGGCGTAGTTCTTGATGGTTGTGCTGAAGAGGGTGTTGATGAAGGTGGTCTTTCCAAGTCCAGACTCGCCAGCCACCATGATGGTGAAGGCCGCGCCGCGCTTGGCGACAATCTTGTGGCGCTGGTTGGGAAGCTGAAAAGGGTCTATCAGTACCTGCGCGGGGTTGTGAGAGGTGAAGCATGCATGCAACGCACATTGGCAATGCCAATAGGCGAGAGTGATTCGGCCATGGCTGAGAATATGAGCTCTTCCTTGGGAGGCGGCGGGGGTGGTCGCGTTGGCGACGATGTAGTGTACGAGTCGAGTGTTGGCTGCGATGCGCCGGAGGAGGAGTCGTCCAACTGCGGGAAGCTCTCTGTGAGGGTAGAAATCTTAGTTGAATTGTTCAATGCCTGAGCACCAGCGTTTCTGGATTTGCGCTGGGGTTGGGAGATGTTTGTTGTGCGAATGCGCGTTCATGTGCTTTGGGGCTTCGTACCACGTCTGCTGAGGCCGCGCGCGGAACTATGTGACAGAGAGTGCGAGGGATGGGCCGGTTGTGGTGAGTTGTGGATACGGGGCGTCGTGGAAATACAGAAGGACAGACCCTGGCCGTCCCTTCTCCTTTACTCCTTGCAAGTGGCACTTACCGATTTTGGGCTGAGTCGGCACTAGTTCTAGCTCGTTGGGCCGAGCTCCGGCCTGGGGAAGCTTTGCGGACTCCATCGAAATTTTTGTCGACGGGGACTGCGCGTTGCGATGATGTTGATGATGTTGATGTTGTGATTGAGCGCAAAGGTGAACGCGAGGAAACAGATTCGAGATGAAGACGGAATTCAAGGTAAACTGCGTCCGCTTTTACAACCCGGGTAGCAAACACCCGCTACACCTCGACTGACGTTGACAAAAAGTGCAGTTCTCCAACCTGCTGGGCACAGTTTACAGGAAAGGCAACCTGGTCTACACAAATGATGGCACATGTCTGCTGTCGCCCGTGGGCAACCGGGTGACCGTCTTCGACTTGGTCAACAACAAATCGCACACTCTCCCATTTGCGCATAGGCAGAACATCGCTCGGATTGCACTACATCCAAAAGGCCAGCTGCTGCTTACTGTTGATGAGCAGGGATATGCTATTCTCTCACACTTCCAGCGACGGATAGCGCTATACCACTTCTCCCTGAAAGGCGCTGTATCGTCTTTGGCTTTCTCTCCCAGTGGCAACCACTTCGCAGTCGGGTTGGGACGGAAGATTGAAGTCTGGAAAACCCCTTCAACTCCGGGCTCAAGCGGAACTTCCGGGGGGAATGAGGCCAACGGTCTGGAATTCGCACCTTTTGTAAAATACCGCGAGTACGCTGGTCACCACGACACAGTGCAGAGTATTGAGTGGAGTAGTGATTCCCGTTTCTTTCTCACAGCCAGCAAAGATCTTACAGCACGAATATGGAGTCTAGACCCGGAGGAAGGGTTCGCTCCAACTGTGCTTGCAGGCCATCGAGCAGCTGTACACCGCGCCTGGTTCAGCAAAGACCAGGAAACTATCTACACCATTTCAAAAGACGGCGCGCTATTTCAATGGCAATATCTCCCGCCATTCGATGCCGACCCTGAGAACATTGTGGAAGGCGATGAGCAATGGCGAATCAACGAGCGACACTACTTTTTCCAGGAGCAAGCCCATCTCACCACGGCTGCATTCCACCCCTCTTCAAATCTTCTGGTCACTGGATTCTCCAATGGCTTGTTCATGCTGCACGAGCTGCCGACTTTCAGCGAGATTCACAAGTTGTCCATTGCTGCGTCAAATGTCGACACTGTCACAATCAACCAGAGCGGTGAGTGGTTGGCTTTTGGTTCGTCTGCGCTTGGGCAGCTGCTTGTGTGGGAATGGCAAAGCGAGTCATACATTCTCAAGCAACAGGGTCATTTCGACAGTATGAATGCCCTCACATACTCCCCATCCGGGGATCGCATAATAACGTGCGCGGACGATGGTAAGATCAAGGTTTGGGATACCACATCTGGCTTCTGCATCGTCACATTCACCGAACACACGTCAGGAGTAACGGCATGCGAATTTGCAAAGAGGGGAAACGTGCTTTTCACTGCATCCCTGGACGGAAGTGTGCGCGCATTCGATCTCATCCGCTATAGATGTTTTCGCACATTCACTGCCCCAAAGCGACTCAGCTTCAGCTCGCTCGCTGTGGATCCCAGTGGCGAAGTCGTCGCCGCTGGATCGCTCGATGATTTCGACGTGCACATCTGGAGTGTACAAACAGGCCAACTACTCGATCAGATGAGTGGGCATGAAGGACCGATCTCGACTCTTGCTTTCGCACCGAACGGCGGCAATCTCGTCTCCGGAAGCTGGGATCGCACAGTACGAATTTGGTCAATCTTCGGCCGTACACAGACATCAGAACCTCTCCAGCTGCAAGCAGATGTCCTAGCAGTCAGTGTTCGACCAGACGGGCGGCAAATCGCAGTGTCTACTCTCGACGGTCAACTCACATTCTGGAGCTTGAGCGACGCGACACAAGAGGCTGGACTAGATGGACGAAGGGATGCTAGTGGTGGACGAAAAGCGACGGATCGACGTACGGCTGCAAATGCCGCAGGAACGAAAAGCTTCGGAACCATCGCGTACAGTGCTGATGGTACGGTGCTCCTTGCCGGTGGAAACAGCAAATTTATCTGCTTATACGCTGTGGAGACTGGCGTACTTCTTCGCAAGTTCACAGTGAGCGTGAATCTTAGCTTGGAAGGCACACAAGAGTTTCTCAATTCCCGCCTCCTCACAGAAGCTGGCCCACAAGCACTACTTGACGAGCAAGGCGAAGCGTCTGATCTCGAAGACCGTATGGATAAGAGCCTCCCTGGTTCAAAACGTGGTGATGCCGCCCAGCGAAAAACCGGCCCCGAGGTCCGCGTCCCCGGCGTTACGTTCTCGCCAACAGGCCGAGCCTTCTGCGCTGCCAGCACAGAAGGCCTACTACTTTACTCACTGGACGCTGGCGCAGTTTTTGACCCCTTCGATCTTGACGTGGATGTCACCCCAGAGAGCACACTCGAGACTCTCGCACGCGCAGAACATCTCAAGGCAATGGTAATGGCATTTCGCCTTAGTGATCAAAAGCTACTCCGCCGAGTGTACAAGAGCATCCCAGTTTCAGACATTGGTCTCGTTGTTCGCGACATGCCCGATGTCTACCTTGACCGTCTCATTCGCTTCGTAGCAAAAGAGTCTGACGCAAGTCCGCATCTCGAGCTAAACTTGCTATGGCTGGAGAGCTTGCTGAACCAGCACGGACGGGTGCTGAAACAGAAGCAAGGCGAGTTCGCGGAGGTGATACGCATGGTGCAGAAAGCCATTGGCAGAGTGCAGGGCGAGATCATGAAAGTTGCGGATCAGAATCTGCACACGATTGAATTTCTTCTTGCTCAGCCCGAGAAGGAAGCTGCACCTGTGTTGGAACTCAAGGCTATCACAGCTGGAGGCGCAGAGGAGGACGAGGAAATGGACGACGGCGGTGATGATGAATGGATAGGTCTGGAATGAGCAGATCATGATTGTGTCTGTGGAGTGAAGACACACACTGTATCAATAGACTCGTTGCGATGACGGCAAAATAGATCTGCGAGGCTCATATCGACAACCGATCCCTTTACAATAACTAAATTCGAGAGTTGCCACTGYCCGTGCCGAGGCAATCACCCGTGAACTTTACACCACTTCACCTCCATGTCACACTTTCCACGCAGCACTTGCCTTACATCCAATCCCCACCCGATCAACTATGGCTCGCTTCTGGGAATTTGCTCAACTGAGTGACAGCTTCAAAGGCATGAGCTGGTTCGACCGCGTTCCAAAGATGTCGGAGAAGCTGTACATTGGAGGCCTCTCAGCTCTTTACAAAGAACCAGATCCGTTGAAGGATGGAGGCGTCACCCATGTCTTATCTGCCCTGGATTTTGACGTGCGAGACTCCAAGCAACTCAAGGACTATCAACATCTGACCATCAGCGTGGATGACGACCCCAACGAGGATCTGCTGAGCCACTTCCCGCAAACCAACGCCTTCATTGATGCAGGCCTGCAGAATGGCGGAGGCGTCTTCGTTCACTGCGCTATGGGAGTCAGTCGATCGGCGACATTCGTTTGTGCATACTTGATGTGGAAGCACAAAATCAGCAGTGAATCAGCGCTGAAGTGGTTACGCGAGGGGAGAAAAAGAGCCACGCCCAACGCGGGCTTCATGGAGCAGCTCGCTGTGTATGATGCGATGCTTCATGCCGAAGATCAATCGACTAGAGATGCCATTCTGCAAAAATGGAAGAAGAGTAGGAAAGGCTCCTCAAAACTGTGAAAGTACGGAGCGTTCCGGCCTGACGCCGCAGGTAAGTAAGTTTACACTTCATGTCTTTCTTAAACCGTGTTGACTGTCCTTTTACACTGCAGCGATTTGGTAATGGCCGTATGCACTGTTTAGTATCAGTCGAAGGATACCCGCCAGACGTCCAAGCGCTTGGTTCCCGTAAAAGCACCCTTCGAACCAGAGACACGGGCGTCGTATCTGGCCGCGTGATGCCCCTCGGAGCGGATCTTGCCTGATGTCTGTATAGAGACCCAGTCCACAGATGGTATCGGTTCTGCTTCTCTCTCATCTCCGACAATCTTGCAAAGAACAAAGGAAGACCAAAGTCCATTCTCCACCGACGCCGTTTTCGGATATCCTCTTTGTTGGGTTGTGAACAACGCAGGTCCGCTGAGTGCTGGACCTGTGAGAACAAGGCGCAGCCCGGTGACCTTCGTGAAGTCGAACATCGATCCCGTGAACATTGAACACCCGGAGATCAGTCCTCATTTGAGCACTCGGCATCACCAAAGCTGGGCGCGAAGCATCGCAATTGGAGACATTCCTGAATTAGGTGAGTCAGAAGAGCTGCCATGCGGATGATTTCGGATCACATCGCCCCCGAGTCTATCGTCCTCAAAAGTACGTCAACGATCATCCTCGGGGGTAATTCGATGACAGGTGGTGGAACTGTTTTCACCCGTCAAGTCTTACACCATTGAGAAATCGTACGCATTGTCTCAGTGCTTGTCTCGTGGTCCACACTCGTGGCTTCGAATAAAATCACGAATGACGCGCTTGGAGACTGACCCGGTTTCCAGCAAACAGAGTCTTCCGACTCTTTCCACGACTGCCCACCTGCCCACCCCACGCGGCCACCGAAGCCGCCAGCAACCAAACTCCACCGCGTGCCACCTTGCACCGTTCCATCGAAGAGCAACATCGTCTGCAACCAAAGATCTCAAAGCCAATCACGAACTGACAAGCATACGACATCCGAATCTACCTCGACATGGCCCTTCTCAAATTGCTCGCTACCGCGAGTCTTCTCCTCGGCAGTGTACACTCGCACATGTTCATCTCTTCGCCCTCGCCCATCGCCGGCACATTTCCAAAAGACCCCCTTGATCCATCCGGCAGCAACTTTCCGTGCCACGGAGTTTCCCTTCCCACGACTGGCGGCCAGTCGATGGCAGCTGGCTCTTCACAGCTGCTCGCTTTCGAGTTGGATGGCGGAGCCAACACCGCTGTACACGGTGGAGGCTCGTGCCAGATTAGTATCACCTACGAGACCGAACCCGCGAAGCAGAAGGATCCCAGTAACTGGAAAGTCATCTACTCCATCTTGGGAGGTTGCCCTAGCGATACCGTGGGGAATCTCATCTCCGCCAACGCATGGTAAGTTCCGTTGTATAGACCGTGTACATGAGGTTTTACCGGTACTGATTCGTTTTGTAGTACGTCCGAAAACGAAGCCGATTGTGTCAACAAGTTCCCGTTTAAGATCCCAAAGGGCGTCAAGAGCGGCCATGCCATCTTGGCCTGGACTTGGTTCAAGTAAGTTTCAAGGTTGCATAGAATGCGACTTTATGTGGCTGACAGATCCTCTTCTAGCAATGTCGGCAATAGAGAGATGTACATGAACTGTGTCAACACCCAGATCACGGGCGGCGACGGCTCAGAAATGAAGAACTTTCCTGCCATGTTCGTCGCGAACCTCGAGTCTGTCGGCAAATGCCCAACGACGGAGAGCATGAATGTCGCCTTCCCACACCCCGGAGAATACGTCACGACCAAGACCGAGCACGATCCCTACCCGCTTGCGACGCCGACTGGCGAGGGATGCTCAGGCGGCGCTGCTGCACCACCACCCTATGCCCCTGCCCCAACCTCCGTATCTCCCTCGCAGACCACAGCCGCCATCCCAACAACGCCTGTCCCTATTCCGACTCCCGTTGCCTCTTCCACACCCACCAAGACCCCAATCGCGACGGCCCAGCCATCGTTTGTGCCTTCTGGGACATGCGCCGGAAAGACTGTGCCGTGCCCCATACCAGGACAGGTCATGTGCATCGACTCAGCACATTTCGGCATCTGCGACATCGACTTTTGCGCCCTGCCAGAAGATGTCGCGCCGGGAWCAATTTGCTCRAACGGAATGATTGCTAGGAAAGTGAAGCGTAATCTGAGCGATCACAATCACTTCCATCTGCACCATTAGTAGGTGTGGAAATGTACATTTCTTGATCGGCGGCAAGGAGATACGCATGCAAGCGCTTTTTCTTGAGGATCCTCATTGGTTACAGAAAATTGGCGGTATATAGAGAAGTGAGCGAGGTCTTTGGATTATCGAGTTGAGCGTCGCAATTGGAAAGCTAGAGACTTCTGCTGGCTCGGCCTTGGATCAGCATACTGTCGAACCTACATAGAATCACCAAATCCCACTGCGGCTGCAAAATGTACCAATCGCCCCTAAAGTAGCATCACGCTGCCCCGTTTTGCTGCATGTGGAGTGGGTTCCCGCCTTTTTCGGGACTGCCTTGTTGGGCATCCTTTGCCCCGGGAAGCATTCCACTCGCCCTACATGTCTTGTCTGAACAAAGCACTGTATCATTATACTTATCGTCGTAAAGACACAATGTCCCAGCCATGTATCAGCCCTTCTTCAACGTCTCAATGACTTTGGTGAGCTCCTTCAGCCTCACGGGCTTAGTCAAAAATAGATCAAATCCACTGGTAAAAGCTTCTTGCTGCGCAGTCGCGCTTCCCAGACCTGTGAGGGCGATTATGGTGGCCGGCGCAATGCCGCGCTGCTCTTCGAAACCTCGGATCTGTCTTGTCGCCTCGAAACCGTTGAGGCGCGGCATGTTGATATCCATGAGAATCTGCAGAGATAGGTAGATATGTCAGTAGCGTTTTGGGAATTTGTGAATTTTTGGTCAAAGGTATCGTAGTGCCATTCTCATCCGATGACATTCATCTGCACTGTAATGCCCCAGGAATGGACCGGTCCTTTACAATGAGAAGAGCGAACAGACCCCTTTTACCTGACCGTACTTACAATTTGCGGCTTCGAAGACGAAGAAATCGCACTCTCGCCGGCGCCTGGCGGATCTTGAGGTTCGACGGAGTCCAGACACGCCTGTTTGTAGGCTTCGACAGCTTGTAGCCCACTTCGCGAGAGTCAGTGTCCATTTCAGAAGTGCGTATCAAATTACATACTCAGTGGCGACAATCTTGTGGTGGCCATGCTTCTCAGCGTAGGTGACGAGCAGCCTTAGATTGATAGGAWTGTCATCAACAAGCAGCAAAGAGATCTCTGATTTGCTTGCTGCAGAAGCAGTATTTTGAGAACCAGGAGTAGGGATTCCACTGTTCAATGTAGTTTTAGGAAGTCTTTGCAGCCTTTCTTGTGATGACAAGCTCCGCTGAAACTTGAGACGAGGCATTGTATCTGCTGTACCCTGGACATTTGGAAGTCTTGCTTGATGGAGCGGTGCGAGTCTAGCTTCGTCGTAAGTACTGTCGATATCTGGGTTTGAAGGTCGCATGGCCATGATCCGGGACACGGCGCTACGATCCGGATGAGGAGTGACAACGGGTATGTCTTTTACTGCACCTGCTAGGCCTGTGGCTTTTGTGATTTGCCGTTTCTTCTCCATGCAATTCAGTATAGCTTTGGCGAGGCGCTCAGGTCCCGCAGGCTGAGCTATCAGCTCGACGTGCTCGCTTGCAAGCAAGCCTAGCCCAGAATTTCGTAGCCTACGTTGCGAAATTGCGTTTTCGCATAGCACTACGAAGGGTTTGTTGCTGAGGGCATCCGGCGACATCCTCATACTCGTAAAGTGGCCGTCTTGCAATCGTTGCATTTCTTGTAGCACGTCCGCCTCCATGACCAGGTATACGTCGGCCTCCAGGCTGCCATCCCAGTCACACCTCGTCGCGTAGGCACCGGCTTCCTCAAGAGTTCCTTGTATGCTAGACAGTAGGAGATGGCGGCCGCTTTCCACCGAAGTCTCTGTGGAAGCAGTCAAAGGCTCGATGATTGTGACTGAAACCCCTAAGAGAGGAGGGCTTCGAACCGGGTCACGTCCAATGTTATTACGGCTATGCTCCAGGGGTAGAGTGATGGAGAAGCAGGTGCCTACCCCTTGCTCGCTTTGCACATCGATCTTGCCTTCAAAAGCTTTGACAATTTTGGCCACGAGGTTCATGCCCAGTCCGGTGCCTTCAACAAAGCTGTCTTCTTGTTGGAACGCCCTGAATAAGTGGTTCTCTAGGAAGTCTCTTGACATTCCTCGGCCGGTGTCGGTGACACTCAGTGTGACGTTGAATCTTTTCCTCTTCTCAGGGATGGCGCTCGCCTTGAGAGATATCCGAATATGTCCCCTCTCAGTGTACTTGAGAGCATTGGACACAAGGTTTATACACACACGTTTCCATGCTCCGACAGCAACATAGCACTTCCAATCAATCGCGGCCGAGCGGTCAATTTCAAGGATGACGGCGACCTTCCGATTCGCAATGGCGGCTGGATCTCGCGCAGCGGATACTGCAGCGGAATACACTGCAGTTTCCACCACCTCTTCAGTCACTTGATCGAGCGCTATGTCTGCGCTTAGGGTCATCATGCCGCCCATTCGGCTTCGTCTTGCGGCGTTGGAGCTCATCCGACGACCTTTGGCATCAAGAACGCCACCCTTCGCTTTGGCGTGGTGATTGATCTTGCTGAAGTCSAGCAAATGATCGATAATGTCAAGAAGCGTACGGCCGCAGATGTCAACCTGTGAAATCAGGTCCGCACTTATCTTGTCGGTTTCGGTCTCTTGAAGACATTCAACTGAACCTAGGATGCCTGTAAGAAGAGGATGTCAGCAATATGCACACGCAGTCACTCCAGACTCCAGTAAAGGCGTCTTGCAGACGAGACTGGGACACTACGACTGTCTGATAATCTTGCTAGTTTCTTACTGACCCTGTAGACATGATTAGCATCTCCCTTAGCCGCGAATTGGACATACTCAACGTGTAATGGCGACCTCAATTCGTGCGACATTGTGGAAATGAAGTCCGACTTCGCCCTTTCCGAGGTCTGAGCTTCCATTCGATGTAGTTCTGCCAGTATCACATCGCAGAATGCTGACATGTACTTTATTTCGCTCTCCTCGGAGAAGAGTCTCAGGGGTGAGTAGGTGTAGAAGGCGCATGCAGCGTACCATCGCTGACGAGTGTGGTCCCACCTAGTTCATCATCAGAGATTAGCGCACAGCACAAGTTGTATCGGTGACACGCTCGCCACGTACATTCCCACCAGTCCCAGGCTTCTTACGCCAGGGAAAAGTCGTGCAATCTCCTGCGCATCTTCATGACGGCTACGTCGACGGCGCTTCGAACAGACACCACAGGGACGTTTCCCATCAAAAGATTTGTTGACAGGTACGCAGCGGCAGACCTTAGCATCAGCTGAGAGCGAGTACTCAGAAGACGCCTCATCATCTGAAGAAGCATCGCCGTCCTCATTGAAGTTCCAAGTCTTGCCTCGTGGATAGCGTCTCAACAACGAGCGAAGAAACTTTTCTGTGATCTGTGTGGGCGGTACTGAGGTGAAGCGGTCTACCTCTGCCTCTTTCCGGGGACTGGGAACGCAAGACGAGCCAAGCACACAGCATTTCGGCGATGTAACCTCCTCTTTGGCGGAACTTTCGGCCATGATCTCTTCGCCTTCTGTCCCAGTGCCAGTCTGTTCCGTTGCACTACCGTGATCAGAGCTAAGCTCCGTGCTAACCGTACCCACAGTGTCGACCAATCCTCCGAAGGTAGAGACGGCGCTGTCAAAAAACAGGACACCCTCCACGTCCATCGCCTCGCGGATGAGAGTTGCTGCTCGCTTGAATGTGGTCTGAATGTCCGTAGTGTCTGGGTCCTTTATATTGTCTGAGCTCCTCTTACCAGCAAGAGTAGTGGGAAACTGTGCGGAACGTTGAAGAGATGCCCCATTGCTAGCAGTAACTGTTCTCGATCTCTTGTGCTTTGGCTTGGGAGGAGCCGGCGAAACGGGAACTTGATCTTCCTGGATGGTTTCCACGGCAGCAATGGCAGCCTGCGCCACGGCCGAAGTTTTCGGAGAGTGCGTTCCCATCGGGTGATCAGATACAGCGTCATGGTCTTCGGCGTTCCAATCCTCATTCTTTTCGGCCCAGTCCCCCAGGCCCGAAGCACCATCGATAAAAGCTCCCAAGCCCGCGACCATCTGGGTCCCGATCCGATGCTCGGCCTGACCGCGCACCATCTCGAGATGCTTCATTACCGTTGCCGACATGTCTCGCAGGAATAGCATGCTTMTCCGGTCCAGACCATTTCTCTGCTTGTCGTCGAGCACGCAGTAGGCTCCTATGTTGATTCCTTTGGGCGTCGTTATAGGCACGCCAGCGTAGAATCGAGCCCTTGGTCCTGTTGCTTGATTTAGACACGAAGAGGTAAAGCCCATCAGGCACAACTCACCATCAGTAACAAATGGCAGGTCGCAAAACCGTGTGTCTTCACTCAAATCATTGATAATGTTGACCATCGATGTAGAGTCATCTTTAGCTTGATTTGGGGGAAGCAAGATGGTGCTCTCGCAGACCTGGCCAAAGAAGGTACAAATCAGTCTTCGTCGATGAAGGGGCTTTGCAAAGCAAGTCATCTCATCGAGACACGCATCCTGGTCAGACGCCGAGCAAGGCTCGGAGTCAAGCCATCTATGCTCACCGAATAGCCGCGCGGAATCTTGGTATGGCCCAGCCACAAGGAATCTTCAAGCTCGTCTGCTCATGGTTAGCTTGGAGACACCTGTATGTAATAGAGCCCAGAGCACAACGTACGAACACTGTCATCTTGGAGAGATAACGTTCTTGTTGCTTCTGCAAGTACGAAAGCGTAGGCCTAAATGCGAAGATTGTAAGGATTCATGATGTCTGAGAATATTTCGATATGGACCGCAGCCTAGTGTAGTTCGAGACGCCTCGAACGACCCTCTATGCCTTGTGCCCTTTGATAATAACCTACAGCATCGAAAAAGAAGAGCATGCCTAGCGCAAAGCGTCAGCGATGTCTCAGACAAGGTTCTAGAATGCTTCCTCTGGCCTCCTCGTTGACAATGTCTTATGATCCCCAAGAGGAATGCGTTCGCTGTGGAGTGTACTTACAACGCCTGGTTTGCAAACGTAGAGCGCCCAGCTGGCAGAATGCTGTGAGAGCTCGGTCAGGGCATGAAAATGCTTGATGATCTCTGACCGAAGCGGCATCAGCTAGATCGCACAGTGGAGGCCCAGACTTGGTAAGCTCTCGAATAGGTTGGTAGTATCTAATGGTGGCATCAATGTCAGTCAGTCCGAAACGAGGCACGCCAAAGCATCAAATATCGATGTGATACCTGTAAAACTCCCTGGTCCGTCTGGACTCCTCATGTAAGAGCTCCGACCGCGAGTCCTTGGAGGCCATTGTCGATGGAGCGGCCGTCACGCCTGCTTCGTCTTCCGTGGTCGCCAGGCTGCTTCAGACATGGAGTTCAGGAAGGTTCCAAGAACAATGACAGGGATTATAGCTCGGCGATGACGCGAGACCGCTTGGACAATTGACCTCACAGTGTCTCTTGTTGCGAGCAATTGTCATTCATTCCAGCGGTTTTGTGCACACTTGTTCATCCCCTGTGTGTCGTATGTAGTAAGCATGTGCGTCCTCCGCCACTTGAGGCGAGACTCTCGCCTCGATGTTCCAGACCCACCTGATCGACACAGGCCACAACTTTAAACACCTTAAATCCACGTGGCTGCTGTGGGAATCAGAACGCGGCGATCTGAAGAGTATACAGTACAATGTTATTACAACAGAATTTCGTGTAAGGACTTGAGGCATCGATGCAACATGCGTAGCAAAGATCGATATAAAGACCGATGGAGTTGCAACCAGAACTCGGGCAGAGAACAACTCTTGCCTTGGAGTTGTACACGTCGATGGCCATCCTCTGGCATCGTCTTTCGAGCCTTCATGCAAGAGAGGAACGTTGGAGAACCTCTTGACTGCTTACGAGTTCGGCATGCCATGTTTATACAAGCTAGTAGTAGCATACAAGTCCTCTTTCTTTGMAATGTCGCCGTGAGGCGCACCAGGGCAATTCCTGCCTGAAGACTGACATCCGACATCTTGCTTCGATGAGAGAGGCCGAGGCTGCATCAATAGATCGCAGCAAGGCGAGCTAAAGTTCTCGTTGTGAATTTTACTTTACCATAGAGAAGCATTGCCAAGTTCCAGTGCCAGATAAGCTGCCTCTCAGATGAAGATCAGCGCTTTGACTAAAGAAATTGCTCCGTGACAAAACTTAGCAGAATCCTTTCAACAAAGCCCATGGTCATTCTTCTTGCCCACAAAAGACATTTCACCGGACTTCCTCCAGGAATGGAATCGCAGACATGGYGCCAGCCCTTTCAACAGTCTTAGAAGCGGCCAAATTTGCAAACTTGAGCGCTCTATCATAGTCGAATGTTCCATTGATGTTCCGCGCCCGTTCCACAGCGTAACCGCCGACGAATGTGTCTCCTGCAGCAGTCGTGTCGACGACTTTTACCTTGTGAGCATCCAGACGACCAAACTGTCCATCGGCAGTGGCGTATACGAGACCATCTCCTCCTAGGGTGATGATTACAGCCTCCCGGACGCCTTTCTGCAGGAACTGCTTTGCCAGATTCAAGGGGTCGGTTGTACTGACAGTAGACCCGGAAAGAATTTGTGATTCGGTCTCATTCATGATGAGAGTGTCCATATCCTTGAAGGCAGATTCTGGTAGCGCGACAGCAGGTGCCGGGTTGACCATGACATGTTTTCCCGCTTCTCTTGCCTTGCGCATGTTATGTAAAACCTGACCGGTCGCTACAGTCAGTACAAAGTATATGGCAAAATAGGGGGCACCACTTTACCGTCTTCAATGGAATCTCCAGCTGGAAAATGACAACATCCCCTTCCATATTCTCAACAACAAGATCTTCACTCTCCCCAAATTTCTCATTCGCGTTCGCAACAAACAAAATCCGGTTCTCCCCACTGGACTCTTCAACGATGATATTCGTCACACCAGTCTTCTCGCCCTTCAATCTCCGCACGCCACTAGCATCGATCCCTTCCTTTTCCAGGGCTGCAAAGTAATCATTTCCAAAGTTATCATCGCCAACATTTCCCACCATTCGGACTTTGACATTATCGCCAGCAAGACGTGCACACGCAACTGCTTGATTGGCTCCTTTTCCGCCGAATCCTGTATCGAATGATTTTGCCCCGAGAGTCTCGCCAGCTTCTGCCAGACGCGAGGTTCGTGTAATGAAGTCGATGTTCAGCGAGCCAATCACGGCCACGGTGTGCTTTGCTGTCATCGTTCCTGATGCATGTAAATCTTGCAGTGTTGAGGTGGTAGGCCAAGTCTAGTGGGTGTGTTTTGGCAAAAGACTTTGACGAGTGTGGGGCGAGTAGTCCTAACAAAAGTGGRGCAACCATGTGTAGTTTTCCCTCGCGGGTAAATGATGTTCATGGCAATATTGAGATCGTAAACAGCCACAAGCTCATGGGCATGAGAACGCTAGAACCAAGTACATCTCATAGCACATTAAAACTACAGACTTCATCACTAGTACTTTACTGTGCATTGTAACCCACATTCCCCAAACACCACGCTAAAAGCTGAACCTGCACCTGCAACGGATGCTTTTCCCCGGCATCAATACATCTCCCGTCGTTCCCCGAACGCCTCCGCTAAGATAACCTCAATGTCCGTCTCATCCTACGTTTACAGCCATGGCATCCAAAGCAAGTCTGTCTGGCACAGTTTTTCTGGGTTCGTAGCCTTCGCAACTAGGTCAAGTACACTCTGGCTGGCGGGCAAGTTATTCGCGCCAGGTTCCTTTGCAAGGACGWCTGCCTTGTTGACAATCGCCTCGGCATTGCGCTGGACATGCTCACGCATCTCGTTCTCCTTGACAGTGCCTCTGTGCGCGTTCATATACCAGAACTGAATCTCGTCGCGGATAAATATCGAAAGATGGTGCTCCAGCTCGGAGTTGGAGCTCTCCTGGGCTGGTACTGCTGCCGCTTGTCCATTCGCTGTGCTGGCAGGCGAATTGGTTGACGAAGTGCTGTCAGATGTCAAACAGCGCGCAATCGCCATCAACGCACACACAAAGATGCCTTCCGTGTGCAGTGGGCCCATGAGCACCTGCAAGTTGGGTGTAAGTCGGAAGGGCACAGGCTCTGGCTGATGGAGAGTTRGGCGGTTGCCCATCATGAATGGGAGCAGCTCAGAGCCCCAAATGTTGCCATTGCCCTTGGCAATGTGCATCTTGTTGGGGTAGCGCACAGTCATGAACATTGTGAAAGTAATGTATGTCAACGCGGCAAGCTGGTATGAGAACTGTCGGCGGAACAGCCAGAAAGAATCGTAGGACGGATAGGTCGCGGCGAAGTAGTTACGTGCCAGTTCCTTGGGCACGTACTTGTCTTGCACATGGTTGAGCGACTCCATGCGCATGTTGAGCCACGCTTCTTGTCTGTTGGATGCGCCGCGCATCTTGTCCATGGTGAACATGATCGGCTCATCCTTGTCGACTTCGTTGCGCCTGCAATAGTCTTCGTAGACGGCCTGGAGCGTGACGTACGAGGCATCGTCCTGTATCATCCTGATCGCTGGCGACAGCGGAACCATGACCGGCAAGTGGAACTGCAGATTTCGTCGACGACTCTCCTTCTTCTTGGAGAGCGTGCTGTTGAAGATCCTGAACAACTGCAGAATGCGTTCCTCGCGACGGCTGTGGCGAGGAGCGGGATGCTGGATAGCGAATGGATGTACACTGCCATCGTGGCCACGAATCTTGAGTCTGCGGTGGCAGCCTGCGACGCCGCGTACCAGGTCAACGATTGGCAAGAAGCGTTCGATCCTGACAAAGTCCTGGTTCTTGTCCTTGTGTTGCAGGTACTGGCCAGGTATCTCCACTTCATCAAACCACACAAAGCGGAACCCACTCAGATGCGTGCTCTCCGCCAGATGGAAAGTAGATGATCTCCTATCGAGCCTCTCCGCAAGCTTGTCGCGCCAGCGTCGCAATTTCACAATGTATTCGAGCATCGTTGGCTTCTTAGTCACAAAGTCAGACTCAAACGCCTTGCGAATGTGCGGCGGCAGGATGCTCTCAGCAAAGCGAATGATGTTAGCTTCCGTCTGCGGTGGGAGCTTGCTATCTTGGGCGAGCGAGTTGGGGGCGCGTCCCACATAGCTGAGCGCGTCGTTGAGCAGCGCCACGATGAGTCTGTACGCGTCTTCATCAGGTGGACATTTGAAATGACGCTGGATCTGCTCGACCATGGCTTCCATGGACGCGTACAGGAGCGGGAATGCGGTACGCAGAGTAATCACCAGCAGTTCGGTGTGCTCCCATGGCTTCTTTGGCTCGGGCGCTTCCTCCTTCTTTGCGTCTTCCGTACCCTCCATTTTCGTGTCTCCGCCGGCGGTCTTGCTATCATCGCCGGCCGCTGTTCCTGGTCTCGGTTGTTCACCGGCACCTTCAGTCTTGGCCGGTGATTCTTGCTTCACACCCTCGGCGGTTTGCTGCTGGCTGGCCCGCGCAGCCTTCTCCTTCTGATCTTTCATCAGCGTCGTCCTCTTGATGACTTGCATGTCCTCGTGCGAGGTGCGAAGCTGGAAGTGCAGTGCCTGGGGGTATGTCTTGGCCAAGCTCGTAAGTATCAAGTGCGCGATATTGGCCTCACTCTCGGTCCTGGACAGATTGTTGAGTAGCTGAGGGATGAAGGTAACCCAATACCACCAAGGATGATCGCCGTGGTAGTCGTGAAACTTCTGGGAAAGCTGAGAATCCGCGTCGTCCAAGCTCAACAGCCACAGAATGCGACTGAGCAACTTCCGTGACTTGGCGCTCTTGTATTGACCGGCCGCTTCAAGGTAGCAGCTCAGAGCATTGGATCCCAACTCGAGGTTCGTCGGGTTCTCCTTGAAGAGCTTGTCACTGTATCGCCCCCATTCTGCCCACGCCTTGGGAAGTTTGATGTCGAAGAACAGCGCAGTGCCAAAGGCGTCCGAGGCGTCGGTCTCCTGGTTCAGCTTGCTCAAGAACATGCCTTTGAGTGTGTAAAACTCGGCCTTCTGCTGTGGACCAAAATAGTTAAGATTGGTGTTGTTGATGACGTCGAGGCCATTCGTGAGCTCGCTACGATTTTGATAGTGGCACTTGGCCTGTTCTCTTAGCTTCAAAAACGCCTCTTGAATCTCAATGTTGGGCAGAGTGTAGATCTTGCTGAGTTGCGTAATGCAGACTTCTGGCATTTGGTGTTTTCGTGCCACATGTGCAAAGCGATTGATAATCCAAGCAGTCTCGTGGTATCCACGGTACGCGTATGAGTTGCCTGTAGCATTGTTGCCATTGTTCGGCGGAAGCAGCCCAAGATAGGTGCCGTTGATGAGCTGGAAGATGTGCTGGCGCCAAGTGACAAGATCCTGCCAGGCGTTAATGTCGTCCCAGAGATTTGGCAATCTGTCACGCCATGTACTCAGGAGCACCTTCAGCTCCTGACTCTTGCCGTCCAGATTCTGGGCATTGGTTTGCGCCAAGCTCTGACATATGACATTGGCATCGTGAAGCTCGACAAGCTGCTGGAAGTTCTGCAAAAGTCCGATGTGGGCATTGGTGATGCGGCGTGGCAACTTGTGCCAGTTCTTGATCGAAAGCTGAATGTTGTCGTCGCAGACCCGAGAGAATTCCTGGGGTGTCTCGGTCTTGTTGTGCATCTTCAGAAGCGAGATGAAAGCCTGGAAGAACATTCGCCTTGGCGTTGGCGCATCGGAGACTGCTTTGATCGAATTCTCCAGAAGCTCTCTGTTGGAGTCAGTCTGCCAAGACTCGTAGTTGCGCCACATTGCCTCTAGGTAGAGATCGTTGATGTTCTCGTGCTTCGCAAATTCCCCAAGGATATCCCATTGCTGGAGCTTCTGCCCACACAGAACCCATTGATCCTCCCATAGCATATACTCGCCCTGCGAGTAAGGCAGAGATCCAGTTCGAGCTTTGACTTGAGCTTGCTCGTACATAGTCTGGGCCTTGTCCCAGATTCCATTCTGCTCGTATGACAAAGCGGCATTGGTCTCGACATACGCAGCGCGACGGCGCCACGTTCCATAAAAGAGGTCGCTCTCCTCAAGCCCAGCGTACGTCTCGACAAGCGCGTCCAGAACACTTTCACGAACATTGGCAGTATCGACCAGAGGCTTCATCGCCAAGTCCTCCATGAAGGTCGCGGCAATGTACCAGGCATCGTAGGATTTTGCGAGATACTTCATGACATGTGGTGGGAATTTGCATCGCGGACGGGCCTGTGCAATGCCCTCGAGCAAAGTTGACACGCAGTTCGGTCTGCGGTCCACCTGTCTTTGATGGAAGTCTTTGGTAAGCAGCGCAACCAGACCCTGTTCAATGTCTTCACGGTCGTCCTTGGAGAGCGTCGACCAACACATGGGAAAGTAGGCGACCCAAATATCGTGCGCGAGTTGCCAGTCCGTGTGTTGAATATCCGAAAGCGGYACAAGGATCTCTCGAGCTCGAACCGTGCTGACGTCGTTGACGAACTGCTTCTCCTGAGCGAGTAGCTCCTCAAGACCATCATCCACCATGACTTCGCCGASACGCTTATCACCAATGTAGGTGCTGAATGCCCTGGAAGCTGGCAAACATTTGAAGTCTTCATCGTGAAGTCTGAGCACGGCGTTTTGATCGAAGCTCCCAAACATGAGCTGAATGACTTGACTCAGCCAGAAGGTCTCTGCAAGCACGTCCCACTGTTGTTCGCTGATGAGCTTGAAGAACCGGTTACTAGTCGACCGGCTGAGAGCTTTGTCGTAAATGCTCATGAAGCGGGACCGCATCTCGATGTCCTGACTGCGAAGGCCAATCAGGAATGCATGCTCCATACGAACAGCAAGTTCTGAACGTGTGATTTTGGGGTCTTCATAAATCCGAATTACCAAATCCATGAACTTGGTGTACAACGTCGGGTCTGGGCGTTGCTCGAAGAGGAGCATCTTCTGCAGCACGGCGGTCTTCTCCTTAAGCGTCGGCACCGGTTCAGTTGGGTGGAAGACCCAGCTCTCAACCTGGGACAGTATGACCTCGCAGAGCGGAATGTTCTGGGAGCGCTCAACGAGCGAAGCCAGCACACTAAGATATGGCCGTCGCTGCTCGCCGAGAGTGCTGATGCGCATGGACAGCATTTCAATGGTCTTGATGATCATGCCTGCGCTGATCTCTGCTTCCTGTTGTGAAGGCGCGGAGGGTTGCATGCCTGGCTGCGGCGGGGGTATGGCAAGGTGATCCTTGGCAAGCTTGACTTGCAGAGTCTTGAGCAGCGCGTCCTTGTGCGCGTCGACATCTTGGGGCCGCCGCTGTGACATGATCCACAGTATGTTGATGCCAGCAACGTGACCATTCCCATTGAGGGCATCTCCTGCCACTGATGCGAGAAAAGTGGTAAAGTCGTCGGTAGGAGAATCGGCATCTGGAAGCTCTTCATCGGGGGCCTCAACGGGTATCGGCTCGAGAGCTCGCTGCAATATAGGCGGTAATCYCGGAATGACACCTTCCACGTAATTGTCGTTGTGCAACGCATCTTGGATTTCGGGGTTCTCGCTGCGCAATGGCTTTGCGAGCAGCTTTTGCAGCTGTGGCAGCCGGGCCACCACCCAGTCGTTGGGCCTTGAGTGGAGGAGTACCTTGAGCATCTGAATGGTGTTGATCTGGCGGGTTATCCAGACCTCTGTCTTTTCGTCCTTGTTGTCGTGGTAAAGTATCTGCTCGGTGACCTTGGGAAACATGGCATCAATGTCAAGGTCGTCCCAGTATGGCGCGGAAAGCAATTTGAGGAGAAGATCCAAGGTTCTGGTGATGGTTTCTGTGCCTTGAGACTGGTGGGTGGTCACAGCAGGAGGACTTTCTTTAGTCCGTGGCGGCGACACTGGGAAGCGTTCGGGCAACGTCGCAATGAACTGCACCATGTACTTGACGAAAAGCATTCGCAGCGCGGGCGATGCTACTGCAGCTTTCTTGGTCGATGTGCTCTTCTCGCCTGTCGGCGATTCAACACCATCAAGCGATCCTTGCTCTTTGACGGTGCGTTGCTCCCATTGCCATACCAGGGTGAAGAGATTCAGTGCGAGTTTCCTGGTCTCGAGGCTGTTGGCCGGAAGCGACACCACCTTACCCATGGAAGGCAATATAACGGTTCCGTATGCTTCTCTCGCGTCGTAGAAAAGATCCGGATGCCGCACGACGAATTGGTAAATGTTGGTCAATTGAGGCACGTTGCTCATTTCCTCGCCGAGAATCTTCCTTGGCAATCGCGCCCATATGCTGTTGCGTCCGTCTGGCCCACCTAGACGCTTCTTCAGCACTGGCTCCATGACCTCAAGTGACTGCATCACAATGTTGCGGCCTTCCGCCTGGGAGCAGCGTAGCAAAGCATTGTACACTTGCATGGCGATCTTTGGAGGTGTCTCGTAGTGATGGATGAAGTATGCAATCAAACAGTATGCCGAGAATTTGTTGATGTGATCATCCAGCTTGATGAGGTTCCATCCGAATTTGATCAAGTCTTTGCGAGCATCCTGCAGCATGCTGTGATGATACTTGATGAGGAAAGCAGATGTTTGCATGAGCTCCATGCGGCTGTGGTCAACACCATGCGTATTGTTCTCATCAGACAGTTCATCGACCAGTTGCGGCTTCCAGAGCTTGTTGTGAATCTCATCTGTCATGGCCTTGTCCATGAGCTCGGTACCTTTTTGATGGGTCCGAAACAAGATGTTCCAATTGCGCATAGCATCATTCGCCAGAATCGGATTCGACAAGTTGTGAAAGACGAACCACTTCAGTCTCTGCGGACTGTCTTTGGAGGCATAAATGGCAATGCAGCGTTGCAGGATTGATCGTTGATACTCCACCGACTCGTTGGTGATGATGTGTTTGTAGAGGTAAGAGGTCAGTGATGGGCATGTCTGCAACTCTCCCTTGACACACGCATCGAACACGTCAAATAGGGTATCCAAATCCTTTGGGTGTTGCTGCATGTAGATGACCAGTATTTCCATGATCTGTTCCGCGCTTTGCATTGCGGCAAGTCGTAGATTGTTCGGGAGGGTTCCCTTTTGTAGCTGTCTCTGTAATGACTTCCCTGCATCTATCAGAACTTTTCGAGCCTTTTCGTTCTTGAGAAGCTGCATGGCGGTGTCTGGGAAGCGGCAGATGGCTGCTGCTGCGTGGATCACATTCACTGCAGCCTGTGCCTTGTCTATCGCCGGAAGTCCATCCTTGCTGAATGTGTTCACAAGGCCGTCGACTTCCTTGATCACTTTCTCTCGAAGGGGGCCGCTGCCTTCGTCTGCGAGGATCTGGGCAAAGAACCGGCCTCGTGTCTCGTCAATCATACGCTCGCTGAAATACGTCCAAGACTCCTCTGGGTAGTGGTTGAGATATTTGATCAGTGGCTCACGGAATGGACTGCTTCGCGTTCTCCGTAGAGACGCTTCCAAAGACATTACCCGATCCACGAGATCTTGCAGGAACTGAGCTGCTTGACTTGGCAGCAGATGGAACACGCTGAAAATGGCAGTGACCACCTTCATTTTAGGCTGTGCCTCGATGAGCGTGAATGAGACCTTTTGAAGTGTTTGTTGGTCGGCAATGTGCTTCATGTGGTCCAGCAATCGGGTCCCAATTTCAACTTTGAAGTAGTTGTGTAGAAGCTGGAGCAGGGTTCTCAATCCCTCAAGGCCTTCCACTGACAGCTTACGTGGATCCTGAACATTCATGAGGATGGGTCGGAGTCCATTCTGGAGCAGGTCCTTTGGCAGCTTAGAGGTCGATTGTAGCACAATCTTCAATCCGGCGTTTGCGGCTCCAGCCACCTCCTTGTTTTTGCTGTAGAKCGACTTGAAAAAAATGCTGATCACTCTGGCACKGTGCTGGTTGTTTTGTTGCTGTCCTTGGCCCTGACCCTGGCCTGCTGCAGCTGTCGGGCTGAAGCCGGGTAGTCTGATTGCAGTGGTGAGGAGTTTGAGTCCTGCCACGCGCAGTCTGACAATCGACTCTGCTGTGCGGTACTCGAGGGGCTTCGGGGCTAGACTCTCGTCATCGGCGTCTACAAGAGCAAGAGTCTCGAAGAGCAGCCTGTTGAGGTTGTCGTCAAATGATAGAATCTCGTTGTCGTTTGGCGTATCAAGAAGGAAGTTGATGGCATCAATGTATCCAATCTGCGCTGAGAAGGGCAAAGCCCGCAGCGGCTTTATGAATATGTGATCCGTCAAGACATTCTTCACAGGCGAGATCAAGTCGTAGTGAGGCATCTCAAGCTGAATTGCGAGGGTGCGTAAGGCTTGTTGAGCTGCCTCTCGGACGTGGCGATTCATGTGACTGGTCTCAGCACACAGGGTCTGGGTCAGGATGCGGAGSTTGCTCTCCTTGTTCTCCAGTTCGTCCTTGCTCTCGATACCGCTGGATGCGAACCGTCTAGCCACGACAACGATACTCTCCTTCGCCTGGACGCGAATGTTGGCGGGAAGATCCTGAGGCATGTCTTTGATGACAAAGAGCAAAGCTTTGAGCATTTCCGACATTCGCTGGGCAAGCCATGCGTCTGAGAAGCCCATCTTATCTGTGTTCGTAATAATACTGATCCCAAGAGAGCCGGCCGACTTGGTGAACCACTCCTCTTCGTAACAAGCGTGACACAGAACTTCCGCGAGCCTTGCGAAGAACGGCAAAGTTTCCGCTTTTTGCGCAGAGCCGAAGATCGTGGAGGCGACCTTCAGACACGACAGCATGGCGTTCTCCGCAACATCTCGAATGACCTTCTGATCCGATGCCAAGCTCTCGCAAATGGCGTCTGCAAGCACGCTGGTCTCAACGTAGACAGGACCTTCGCCGGCCTTGACGTCAAAGGCCCGCTTCTCGTGCTTCTCTCTCGCAACGGCAACACCGAGTTCAACGAGCATGAAATGGCGATAGATGCCCTGGAGAAACTTTTCGGCGTCCTCCTGAAGGTTGCTGATGCTCGTTGCCCGCATGACTGCTTTGAGGAGTTTCAAAAGCGTCGCTTGCTGCGCGTCCCTCTTAGTGGTCGATTTCGATCGCTCAGACACCCCAAACAAGTCATCACCGTGATCAAAGTTCTTCGCGGTGAGATCGTCAGCTTGCAATCTAACCAAACGTGCAAAGTCGTCGGGCAGATTGTCCGCGCCCATGAGCAGCTTGACATGAGATGTGATGAACTTGAAAGCCTGGCGTTTGTGGAAGTCGTCGGACTTCTTCTGAGCAGCAGTCCGCGGAACTTCCCACAGCTTCTCGATAGCTGTATCAACACCAAGCCGGGACGGCATTGGGCGCTCGCCGCCATTACTAATGGAGCCGATGAAGCGAACGTCGTAGCTGGCCTCATCGTCGGCGTGGCCTCTCCAGTCGAGCTCTGGCGGATTGGTAAGAAACCGACGGTTCCTTCCACCCAGCTTACCCAAGATGCGAACAGCGGTATGCGCACCCATGTGACCGTTGGTGGAGGTTTGCCCACTTGAGCCCTGACTTGCACCGGTCAGACTGGCAGGCTTCAGCATGCGCCACAAGCTTCCCATGATCTCCTCCATCCACGGTTGCATGATGGGGTCCAGGTAGTMCGCTGTCAGGTTATCAACGCAAAGCTCGAGTGTTCTCAAGCCCTGCGCGGTCAATTCGCTAGAGCCGGTGACACGGCTATCACTGGAAGACCTGTCGTTGGAACATGAGCGCTGACTCGCCATATTTGGAAGCTCTCCCGAGCGAAGGGCAACGGTGAGAGGCCGCATGAGATAAGACAAGTGCGGCAGTAGATGACTGAGTCTAGCGGGCACTGTCAGAGAGAGCTCGACGAAGAGATCGCGCGTGCTTCCATCTGGCGCAGCTGCGAGATGAGTATTGAGGACCTCCAGCAGCATCTCGAGCAGTGGTAATATCTCCTTGTACAGATGCTCAAATCGCCCGCCACCTATGCTGCGGAAGAGTGATCTCAACAGGAGGAAGTAGTTTGTGGGCTCCGCTGCGCTGACAGAGAGCTCGATGGACCGTGTGATGAGTTCCCGGACGTGTGGCAGCAGAACGCCTTCGTTGTGCTGGGAGAAGAGCGTGACTGCCATGAACGATAACTTGAACAGCCGCAACAGTACCGACGTCTTGGTCGTATCACTCTCCCCAACCTCCTCGAGTTTGCTCATCAGAAACTTTAGCAGCATACCGCAGAAAGCCGGGCTGGTGGCTTCGCTTGCAAGAAGGAACTGAGGGATATGCAGCAGTGCGGGATATTGAAAGCTTTGCTGGTACATGAACTCAATACCGGTTGGCGTGCCAGACGTGAAAATCTCGTGAAAGGCCGCCGGGTCGAGGTGGTGGAAGATGGTTGCAAAGGTCTCGAGCAGGTCCTTTTCTTCCTTGGAGTTCGCCGTGGTGGACATACTCGGCGGCTCGCTCGTGGCGTTCTCTTCCGCCGGCGGATCCAACGGAGCGTAGTACTGGAAGCATTTCGCGCCCTCGCGGAAAAGCTTGAGCAAGACCTCGATCTCCTCTGCCTCGAATCCTGACGACAACTCGCCCCAATGAGGAGGCGCATTGGTGGTGTCGACTTCGTCCTTGATCCGCGGCGGGTTGCTGTTACGCAACTGGTAGAAGAACTGTTTGAGACCTTGTAGCAGGTTCTTGAACAGGAACTTGTTGTCAGTGACCGCGTCAGTCGCGCGCTCCTTCGGATTGATGGCCTTGATTGGCATGGCGCTGAAGATGTCGGTCTCGTCCCAATCAGGCCGGGCATCTTCCTCGGCCAAGTAATTGTCAGTAACCGTGTCCACTGGAGCGCCGCTCTCCTTTTGCTGGCGATAGAGCTTCACTGCGTTTGGATATGCCCGATTCATGGCGCCGAATTTATCCGCGATACCATTGAGCACACTCATCATGAGGAACCGAGCATCCTTCTTGTCTTCGACCTTTGACATGCACTCTCCCATGTTCAGGAGCAGCTTCGCACTCATAGTTTGGTAGCTGGTTCCAGGAACCTCCACACCATCCTCTCCAGTCAAGTGTCCGACATACACCTGTACCACCTTGGTGATTTGCTGGGGATCCAAACGCTCTCGTACGTGATGAACCAAGTCCGCAAGCATGGTGTATGCGAGTGGCCGCAACGTGACATCAGCCGTGAGTGAATCACCGACCAGAGTACGAGAGTCGAGCAGCGGCAGAATAACAGGCAGGAAAACGTCCCTAAAGTTAAAGTTGATGATGTGCCTGATCGCTACCAGAAGCTCCTTGCGAGTGGCAGTAAAGCTTCGCGGCACATCGCGAAGCAATCGTACAGTGAGATGCGGCATCTGCGGAAGGAAGTYCGCCAGAGATTCCCGATATGCTCGCAGGATGTATGCCAAAAAGGACATGGTCTTCACCTGAGCTGTCACCAGCTGACCGAATGCCTCGACCTGTCCCTTTGCCTTGATCTCTCTCGCGACACCCGTGAAGATCGTATCAATCTTCATAGCTTCCTGGTGGGCCCGCTTCTGTGGGCCGGCCTCCAGTAAAATGGTGCTTCGGATGCGAGGCGTGAACTTGGCGACGTTTTTCGGTGCAAGGTGTTTGTGCGCTTGAAAGATGGACACGACGATGATGGGACATTCGGCCACGACCTTGAAGCTGTTGCATCCTTTGACCAACTGCCGAGTCGTTGTTTGCTGTTCAATGCCCGGGTCGATCGCTAGAGCTTGTGATGTTGAAGTGACGGGTGATCCTGGCGTGCCCGCGTTGTTGGGTGTCCCAGGCCCTCCACCAGCGGTCGCAGCAATTGGTGATGGCGATTCAAATGTGTCCTTTACCGTCTGCTCCATGCTGTCAAAGAGCTCCAGTATKAGGTCCAGGAAGGTCTGAGCCTTGTCCGCAACACCAGCAGTCTTGGTATGGTACCGACAAAAGTCCATGACAATCTTCAAACACAGCACAGAGTTGTCCTCATTCTCCGTCTTGACCAATTCCAAACATTTGTCCACAAGCTTCTCTGCATACGGCTCCATCGCTGCCACATCTGCGGCCACGGGCAATCGATGGAGGATTTCCAGCGCGGTTTGTCGTAATCTCTGCTCGGGAGAGGTAGATGTGAAGACGGGCGTGCCAGACAGAATGCTTAGCAGGATGGGAACGAATTTGGCCAGGAAGGTGGCATATGCTGGGCCTTGAGTGAAGGCATCGAGAGCGTCTCGCAGCTCGTTGAGAGCCGCCAGCTTTGTCTTGACATCCAACGAGCCATCCTGCAGCTTGCCTTCGATGGTGTCCATTTGGGCCATGTCTGGTAGTGGTCGAGCCCGTGGACTCGCGCTGAATGTCTAGCGACGCTTTGATTGTACCATGACAGCCAAGTCGCACTCGTATCAAGGAGGGTGGTCAAGTGGTTGCCTTCGATGCAGGCCGTGTGATGGAATTGACTGAACTCGGATTGGTGTTTGCTGCTGCACGCGCTACTCAATCGTATCGCGCGTTTGTCCCAAATTCCCTTTGTAGAATATCGTCAAGCAAGTTGGAGGGAGTGTGAGTGTGACAGTCGATATCATGCACGAAGAAGGTGTAGAAGCTGTGGAGGAGAGCTCAATCTCGAAACCCAGAAACAGCGCGCGGCGCGAAGGTGACGGGACCTATCACTTCGAAGAGATCTTTTAGGGCTTGTGCCGAATCCCAGAGAAGTGATCYGCACTACCTTACCTACCTACTTTCTCACTGCACAGCTAGGTGAAATTGAATGTTGCTACCTTACCTTACGACAAAACAGTTTGGAAGGAAATTTCCAACGCAAGAATGCGGCTCTCTATAAGCCCGCTGCTTTTGTGCTTACCTGTAGCTACCTACCTGTTCGCGAGCCATGTTATCGAGTTACCGTCCCGCAATTTCCAGTTCCACCGGGCCGTGCCTCAAAGTGAACGTACCTTGGTACCCAGTGGCTACTATATCGTTTGCACCTCGTTTCCGAGTGACAAAACCGTACACACGATGGATCCGGTCAGTCATCGTGCACTGTACGTATACACATTGTCGAGAGTTTGGCAGRGCTAGATCATACCCAAGCATGGGAAATTGTAGTCTTGTTCAGGGTTAGGGTTGGGGTAGTGTAAAATAAGAGATCCATCGCGCATGTGATGGCATTGATCAAAGCTACCTATATGTAGGTATTGTGCAGGAGGTTTACTATGCTCAAAGACTCTTGCGAAGTTTTTTGATCGAAACACGCCTTGAGACCATATTCGACGTTCCTCAAATCACAGTGCGGCCACTCTTGGAATTCCTGAACAGCGCCAAAAATGCACATATGAACGCAACCGAAGCGCTTTTCGACGACCCAGAATCAAATGTTTTGTCACCGTTCGCAACGTCCAGGCGGTTTCAAAGTCCAGGCTGGTGCAAGCTCATAGGCTCCATGAGAAACATACATTCTGTCGAACACGCAACATCGAATCAAACAAGGAACAGAGGATGAAAAGCGGCGCATGAACATGGAAAGTAAGGCTGTGCCCTCTTGTCATTCTAACAATCTATCGTTAGAAGAGCGGGTTGTCTCCCGCTCGACACTTGCGATGCAAGCATGTGAATCAAACAGCAACGCCTTGCTGTGCCACTGCACCTTAACGCCGGGCTTTTTTAGCCACTCAGAAAATCCCAAATCGAGATGCGACCACGCTGTCGAATATCAAACATCTCTCATCCTTTCAATCATTGCACTTTTTTGCTCATGCCCTTGCTCATCCGAGCGACATTCTCAGCAGGCAGATAACTCCYCTCGTCGGAGCCTTCGACCTCGATAACCATCTTCTCCGTTTCCTTCTTCTGTCTTGCCCACTCGTCCTTGCTCATTTTCGTCTCGCGTGTGAAGAGCTCCTCATTGGGTTTCCTGTAGCTTCCTCCCAGACGATCCCAAAGCGTAGTGAACTGGCCGTAGTTGTAGTTGAAGTACAGGTGGTGCATTGTGTGGCATGCCGCTCCATTGATGATTGGGCTGTTGGCCACATATTCGCCGTCGTGGATCATGACCGTCCAAATTTGGATGAATGTGAACAAAGCGATGTAGGCAAACTTTTGCATTGGGAAGATGAACGGGAAAAGGTGGTATGGCACACTCTGCATGTAACCGTCGAAAGGATGGAAGGCGTGGCTTGCAAAGGGAGTTGGCATGATCCACTTGTGGTGCGGCTTGTGTAGACGTCTGTAGAGGATCGGGTGGTGCAGCGCGCGGTGGATCCAGTAAATGCAGAAGTCGGTAAATAGGAGGAAGAGTGGGAATTGAATCCAGTTGTATGAGGTTCCCATCCAGTTTAGCAGAGGGTGACTGAAGCCAGGATCCGAGACCTTGTCGTAGATGAAGGAGTAGCCGCGAACTTCTGCAACGAACCATGGAGCCGTGAGCAGAGCGATGACCGGAATTGCCGAGCAAGCCTGCTTGATCTCCATGCGCATTTGGTCCTTCAGGTACTTTGGGTGGTTGACCGTACTCTTGTCAAACACAAAGATGTAGCTCAAAGTCGCGCAGGAGAGGTAGATCGCGCCGCCGAAAATCCATGCTATGATGTAGAACGATACCAATTKGCGGTATACGTTGTCACGATCCCATCGACTCATGTATGCGTGTTCACTAGGTTGCAGGCTATAGTATTCGGTTGCAGGCTCGTATTGCCATGAGGATCGCGCAAAGGCGCCTTGTGTGGGATCGTGGAATGTGGCATTGTGGTCGACGAGATGTTTGAGACTCGCTGCTATTGTTGAAATGGGGTTGAAGGCGACCACCGAGGCGGATATGGGAAGGATGGTGGCATATATGCGGTCGAAGAGGAAGGTGTCGAAGCCCTCGAGTACGACGTCCATGGCGTCGGGCAAGTAAGTTTCAAACCCTTGTACAAGTCCAGGCGTGGTAGGAGTGCGAAATGTGAGCACTGGCAGTCCTGGAAAGTGATTGAAAGGAAGACTGTGACCAACTGCTAAGAAGGAGGGGGAGGAATTGGGATTAGAGAAGGTCAAGTCAAAGGCCCCATTGGCAAATGCAGTGAGGAAATTGAGAACAACATTGTGGTCTGATTTCTCAAAGCTGATCTCGGATCTCGAACTATTCAGGGTCCGACATGCTCCACTCCCTGCACCTTCCCCTTGGCCGGCTCGTCGCCACTTCCGAGTTGACATTCCGCCGAGTGGCATTCCCAACACGAGCTGCATAACTCCAATCGTATGATTACGGCGAGCTCCACGGAACGTCATTGCTTGTCACCATCTCGATGTTGTCTGTCTACATGTAAGTAATCTCCATCTTCGAGGTTCAAGGATGCAAATGTGGTTCGTCATTGGCAGGGTCTTGATCAGATAAGATGATGCATGTGAAAAGGCAATGCCGGTGAACTGCAGCTAGCCACGAGGTTTGCATAGTTCCATGATTAGAGTGTAGGTGGGCAGCGGTCTTCTGGTTGACAGCGTTCAAAGACGTCACCACAAACACCCGTTTCATCCCACTTCTCACACCGTATTGTAGTATCTATCGTACCTGCATACGGCTTGTCCTCACCTCACCACCATGTCTTATACAGGTCCCTCCAACACGACTTCAAATCACAATGCCCCAGCGGACTTCGCCGCTATCGAACATCGTCTCACATCAACATATGCATATCCCTTCACCCTTCCTCCGAAGCAGTCTCCCCACGACCGTTCTCTCAGCAATGCCATAGCCTCTCTGCACGTCCATCCAACCCTCGAGGCAATCTTGCACATGCTTAACAACGACCTTACCAGCGCGCATTTCCTGTGCAGGCATATGCAATCCCCACCAGCGTTTGAGTCAATGCTCATTCATGGCGTACTTCACCGCATCGAAGGGGACTACGATAATGCTAGCGCCTGGTATGGGAATGTAGAAGACAGTGACGTGTTTCGGTCCGTATGGCCAGATGGACTGGCGTCTGCGAGGGGATTTATTGAAAAGCTCAAGGAAAGAAGGAAGCAAAATAAAGGAACTGGAGACACTGCCAGTTTACAAGTCGAAAGCGAAAGAGAAATGAAGGCATTGATAGAGTTCTGCAAGAAGGAATTTGGAACAGAAATCTTGCAGGATGGCACAACAGCTTGGGTGGAACCGAGTGAGAAGATACGAGAAATTGCCAGCAAGCAACTGGTGGGCGGAGAAGGTTGGCGAAAGTTTTGAAGAGCCGGTCGTCAATAAGCTGTTAGACCTACCGTCTATGCTGCTGTTTGACTCGCTCTCTGTGGTTGTGAAAGTAAATCATGATCAGACAGACTGCGAACCTTGAATTCGTTGTAGCAAGGAAGCATGGGTCGCGTGGTCGCCTGCTCGCTGTCTGTATGCTTTTGTTTTCGCTCTGGCTCGCTCTGGACCATCGTTCCTTCGTGGCATCGTTATTCCACTGGGTGCATCGTAATATTCACATCCCCAAACGCCTCGCTGAAACAAACCCGTGAAAACTTTCCATGAAACTATGTTCCTGCTCTCCACCCGCCCCAGCGCCCGCCCTTCTTTCAGCGATTCTTGCTCGTGCCAAAACTATCTGGGCGGAGTGGAGGTGTTGAAGCCGTTGACCTTAAAGTCACGCCACGCTGTATCATACGGGGTGTGAGGCTGAGGCTGCGTTCGCATTGGTGGCAGCTGCAGTGGATTGTACGGCCCTTGTTGGCTTGGATCGATCGAAGGAGGCCTAAAGTCAAACGGAGAGGCTAGGTTGGTCTGCGCTGGGCCAGTCGTATGCGTGGTGACGGACGGACGGGGGAGGTGGGCCGACCAGTTTGAGCCTGGTTGTGGCGGAGGCTGTCCACCGTATCCTGGGCTTGCACTCGATGATTGTTGGATCGGAGATTCAGTCCGTCCGCCGTAGGCTTCATACGGATGGTGGGCGTGGTAGTAGCCTGCTGGTCTTGCTGCGTTACTCGACGGCCTAGAGCTGTCAGCAACGTGAGTTTGACCAGCCGGTAAGGATGTGAAGCGAGGATCAGAGAAGGAGGAGGGGGTGCTGTAAGAGTGTGCGGAAGTTCCATGATGCGTACTCGTGGTAAGTCTTTTGGCAGACCGTGGAGGCTCGTCCTCATCGTCGGAGAATGTCAGATCAATTACGGCGCTGGCTGGACGCTTACTGCCCGCCTGCGTTGACGCCAGCGAGGGCGCCCTCGACCCGTCTCTTGATGACAAGGGTGGTGTGTTCATGGGAAACGCTGGTGACGGCATTATCGGTGCCGTCCGAAGTGCCGCCACTGTACCGTTTGGTCTGACTTGCTCGTCGGTGATGTCAATCAGGTCGTCGTCGTCGAAGTCATCATCATACGGAGCACGGCCTGCCTTGGGTGCATTGCGCGGTGGAACATCTTCCCCTTCTTTGATGACCTTCCACTCGCCGTTAGGTTCGATGTCAACCTTCTCAATGGAGGCTGACGTCTTCTGCAGTATGTCTTCGAAGTACTTATCAATGCATAGAGAATCGTAATGAACGCTCTTGTTGCACACCGGACAGCTCCATTGTGGTGCTTGGTCCTGAAGTTGCAAGAACATCGATCCATCGAAGCATTGGTTGTGTTTGCAAACGATTGAACGCACTGGCAAAGTGATGCGCAGCGTGGATATTGGATCCTTGAGTGACATGCGCACTGAAGTCGCGGCAATGTCATCGTCGGAGTTGGTCTTGCTCATCTCATCGATCACCTGCTTTTTCGTGATCACGCCGCCAACCCTCCCACTCCTGAGCCGCTCTGCTAGGGTATCGGCGGTCACACGTTTCGCCAAGYACACGACAAAAGCAAACTTGTTCTTCGTCAACGCGTAGGTGACGGAAATCTGGTTCTGATATCCTTGGGTCTTGCGCACGTTGTCAGTGATGTCCGCCGGCTTCGTCGTGCCAGGTTTTCCCTTCAGGCCCTTGTAATTTGCCTTCACGTCATCACCGTTAATCTTGACTTCGAGCTGGTTCGGGAACGAAACGTCAATCTGGGTCATGGGCGTCGTGTTCATCCCACAGTAGAGCAGGAGTCGTGTGTTGGGATCTTCTCGGAGCTGCTTGACATGGTCGATATTCAGAGCGAGAACGGCGCGCACGGTGTGGCGGTTCTGCGGCATTTCTGGGCCAACTAGTTTCAGTATCGTAAGTGGGCTTCAATGGAGGACAGATAGAGAAATGTGTATTTACCAGCGAGCTCCTGCCGTGGCAAGACTGTGTCTTTGATCTCGTAGAAAGGACTAGACTTGAAAACTGTCGACGAACACATGGTCAGCGGCACTGGACGCGTGAGTGAAGGTGAMGGACACGACACTCACAATGTGCGCTGTTCACCTGCTGGGCCTGCGGTCGTGGATAACCTGGCGCCATTCCGTATCCGTGGTGAGTGCCGTTCATGCCGTTCATGCCGTTGCTATGCGATGCTCCAGAAGATGTGACTGGTTTGTTGGGTGGGGCCGCTCCGTGATTGGCGACGCGATAGGAAAGGTCTTGGAAGCCCTCGACGTTGTTCAGGCTCACCAAGTCGTCAAGAACTGGCGATGCAATATGTCAGCCTGCTTRTCTTCACCCGCCACTTCACTCGGAAGCCATCGCGTGCGATTCCCTCACTTTCAATGCATCTCTTCTGCAGGACAGCCTTAGTACCCGAGACTTGATAGTCGTATGCCTTGCAAATCTCCTTCAGATCATTGTTGATGAGAGTCTTGATCCGCGTTTCCAGCGAGCCTTTTTGCTGCTGAATGCTCTGGCCTGCAGATGCCATGCTGTTTGGCCAAGCGTTTATTCCGAGACGGACGGGTCCGTCAGCGCTTGAGGTGGTGGTGATGGGGATTGTTCGCAACACCAATTGAGGAAGATGTCTCGCGTTCGCGAAGGAGGGGGTGTTGCCCAAAGAGAAGGAGCGACAGAGGGCGAGGTCGTTCTCGCCAAAGTGTCATGGATTCATTCACTTCAGCCTTCCTGCTGATCGCGACGTGGCTAGGTATTCCCTCGGTTGTCACGAGAGGTGCGCTACTGACGAACGGCGACGGCGACGGTAGCGTCACAGAGTTCGTCGTCGTCGTCGTCGAAATGCTCGCTCTCTGTTCTACTGATTTGCGCAGAGAAACCGAAGAGACGAAGTCAGGTCCAGGCTCGGACGTCTCGGACCTATCGATTAGGTACGCTCGGACCAGCGTGCGCGTGATGAACATTTTGTTTTCTACGATTCGAGAACTTTGGAAATACTCGTCTTACATCGAATTACATCGTACCGCCTCGCACAAAATGGCCAGATCCGCACGATCCTCTGCTATCAAGAAAAACAAGGGTGTTTTGAAGAAGCGTGTCTTTGGGCCCGTGGAAAGTGAGCGCAACGATCGCTTATCCGCAAAGCTGCTTCAGCTCGCCAAAGCCCCGAAAGAAAAGATGGAGGTGGAGCAGGACAGTGAGTCGCCAATGCATACACTGCACATGCAGATAGAGAATCTCGAGGAACAAATCGCTGATAATGCCTCAAGGTGCCGAGAAAGAGGCCGCAAAGGAAAAGGCGGGCGCGAGCRCAACGGATGATATTGACATGGAAGCTGCGGACAAGCCTCGACGGAGCAAGCGTGAGGTTCAGCGTCGACAGATCGCATCGGCCGCTCGGTTCGAGCGGAAGAGCAATAAGAAGCCACGTAACCAGGTCTCTTTCCCTTCGAATTCGCGGAAGAACAAGAGTGGCAAGGGTGGAAAGAAGTGAAGAAATTGCTACGACGGAGACGAAATACCATTCGATGTACCGATTCCGGACATACAGCACGAAATTCCCGATGGTGCCTACATTGGAAGCGAATCGGCCTAGACCGGCGCAATCCTCCTACACGCCCGCAGAGAAGCAGCGACATGTACGACAAGGAGGACCTTTGGTCATTGAAGCGCCGCGTGGGAGTTGTTGCACTGGGCACGGGAAGACGTTTGAGGGAGAAATGCTCGGGTTTGATGAATGAGAACGCACTCTTGTGGGAGGCAAAAATGTCGTTGTATCATGATCCTTTCTAAGTAAAGACCGTGGCTTATTCTGTAAGCAGTCTCCCAACTCGCCCTATCCTCTATGTGTATCATAATTTGCTCCGTCAAAAATGTGCGTGACTAAGCGTGTTCGAATCGAAGGTGGCATGCGTGTCATTCATTAAAAGAAGTATGTCCTTTGCCAAGCCCTTCACTGGACCTGAGCGTTGGCTTTTCCTTGCATCTTGGCCATGGCAATTCGGTGGGCATCGTTCATGCCTCCCATCCTCATGTGAGCATCCATCTGCGCTTGTCTGGCTTGCGCATCCTGCTGCCGTTGCTTCGCTTCTACCTCGGACTGAACACGCATAGCACGCATCATGTCCATCTGGCTATTCGGTGTGTCAACAGGGTCTTGCTGCTTGATGTCCAAGCCGGCGCTAGAACGCCACGTTGACCAGTTCATGGCTTGTCTGGTTTGGTCGTGAGATGACATGTGTTGAGGCTGATGTGTGTTTCCCGTGGGTCCGGACATGCGAAGTGCTCTGCTGGAAGAACGTGGTTGATTCGATGTCAGGTCGACCATCGATTGTGATACCGGCTGGGATGCATGTCTGCTGAGAGAACGTGGTTGATACATTTGCGAGCCCTGCCGGCTTATGGATTGCATGGAGCGCGGCGACTGCATGGAGTGCGGCGATTGCATGGATAGCGGCGAATGCATGGAGTGTGGCGATTGCAGCAGGTCCAGCTGAAGTTGTTGTTGAACGAGTGCCTTGCGCTGTGCAAGTGTCATGTCTTCACCATCCTGCTCGTCTCCAATCGAAGTGTTTGTGGACGGTTTGGTGTGCTCCGAGAGAGAGGTTCGATCACCCTTGCTGCTTTCGGGAGCATCCCCAGCGTCCTCGCTGATGGGTGGCACCATGAACGAAGTGCTGGTGATCTTTCTGCCGATCATTTCTCGCCTCTCGTCGAGAAGGTTGGGCGTGTTGGACATTGCCGAGAGCGAGCGTTTAGGGATCGGCCCAGCCTGCTCTTGAGTCAAAACCGAGGCATTCATACCATTCGCCGGGATTGGTGACAATGGATTGCTACTTCTTTGCTGGCCAAGCGGAATAGACCAGCTGCTATCGTCCTCCACTTGCACTTGTGTGAGTGCAGGGTTTGGAGGCGACGATGTCAGATTCTTGCTTCTTCGATACGGGTTCGTGCTGGGGGACTGAGGAGGCTCCTCGACAGGAGCAGGAGCTGGCTGAGGCGCGATCGGCGGCGGCGGTGGTGGCAGTGGGGCAGCGTTGTTCTGCTTTGCTCTAGCCGCGTCCGCAGCATTGCAAGTCTCGATCCGGACAGCATCGAGGGTGTGGTCCTCGACTTTCTCAATCGGCTCAGGCTCTGCTCTGCCAACTTCCTTAGCCCACTCATTGGTCCTGTGGCTGAGGGCAGCCCTTGAGAGTCGCAATGGCAGCTTGTCAGTGAGAGATGCCTTCACCACGGAGCCTAGTGAAGGGGAAGTGAGGTGGGAATAGCTCGCGCGAGCTCCAAGGGAGGGACTCCTCGGCATCGATTTGCGATGCTTGCTCAATGTAATCAATGCTTCTTCGTCCTCTTCGATGAACTGCTCATATGGTAGCATGGGAGAACCACCATGTTGCGACAGAAATGCGGATACAGGTCGCGATAAGGTCATAGACAAAGTGTCTAGGTCTGGGGGCTCCGCGTTGGTCGCTGCGATAGATGATGCGAGGTCCCAGTCAAATGGTTCGTCGGGCTCTTCATTCGTCTCGGGTATTTCAATAGCCGCAAGAGATACGCTCGAAACGTGTTTGGCTGCGGCCGTGTCTCCTTCTTTGCCATCCTGCTCGTCGTGAGGCAAGGCCGGCGATGAATGCAGAGCAATTGACTTTATGGATGCTTGACTTTCACGAGCTGGCGACTTCGGGGTGCCGAGACTCGCGGAAGGAGGACTTCGTAGCTGTGCGGAGGATGGCGAAGTCTGGCCTTTTAGATGTCCAGCTTCGAGAGGAGTAATGCTCGGTACGGTGGATGATCGTTTGTTCTCCGTGATGGCGAGGCCGTTCGCGGGTGAGATGTGATCTAGGCCGCCTGACATCTCCTCATCTCTTGTCGCGGGCCGAAGATGAACCAGAGGAAACGATACTCGCCTGTCCTCATTCGTGTTGGTGATATCGAGTTCAGTGGTTGCAGCACCATAGGCGTTGACAGAGGTTGTGGACTCCACAGTCGTCTGCGGCATCTTCTTATCGTCATAAGCGCCTTCCCACTGCGCGATATCATGTTTATTGCGCTCTTCAATCCCTCGACCGAGCTCTGCTTCCTCGACTTCTCGGGCCCTCTCGTAAGCGAGACGGTCTGCGTCTCGTTTGGACTTGGTCTCCTTCACAATACTCCAGATCTTGATCTGTGACATGGTCCCAAAGAACGCGATGATAACGATTCCCGCGATTTCAGCACGCATGTTCTTGGTCATGGGGTACGTTTCAGTGAAGAGAGGAAAGATGTCCTCATTCAGATCTGTCAATCGTCAGTTTCGGATTCGTTGCAACATCATGTTTCCCTCTACTMACTCCAGATGTACACCCAAAACTCCTTGAGCCMGGCCCTTGCGAAGCAGTCAATGCCAAGCATAAATGAAGTAGCTCCAGCGAAGGATGTGCATATGATGATACCATATATGCGAGTGTACCGGGAAAGGTAAAGGCAGAAGCAGGCCGCACAAAAACAAGATAGAAGGACACTCCGTCCAACCTGATTCTTGATTATGCCGCCAGGAACGAGCACGAGAAGCCACATGGCGAAACAGAAGCCGCCGAGAATACACCCAAAGCCCTCTGACACTTCCTGGGAGATCAAAGCAAGGCCACCGAGCAGGCAGCCCCCCAAGACACCTGCGACCAGGAATGCACCTTGCGCAGCATCTGACACCGGTGGGTTCATCAGGTAAATAATGAGTACCTCGCATCCTAAGGCTACCAACAGGGCCGTGCTGAGGAATGTCTGAGTTGCGCGGTGTTTGATCCCAACGAAGCCAAGGCCAATGCCAGCAAATATGAGTAAAACACCGCCGACACCCAGCGCGGGTGTGATTTCCGGTTCTATAGGCAAGTCGTTGTCGTTGGTAGTGCCGTTCGTGGCCGTCGGGATGGGGCTCTCCGTCATGGTGGGAGTTGAGGATGCCCCACCCGGCGTGGTTATGGGCGATGTCACGTCGCCGGGATTGGATTCAGTGAATGTTGGCACATCCTCGCTGCTTGAGGTTACAGAAGCCGATTCGGTTACGGTGGACGATCGATCATCCGCGGCGGTCGTTGTCAAAGGCGCGTCCGATGTGGCAGTAGCCACGTCGTTGCCTTCCTGGCGTATTYGTAGACCATGGCGGGCATTGAATGTTTCTGCGAATGAAAGTGTGAAGAGCAGTGGAAGGAGGGCGTGTTGAACACGCATGGTGGGCGTCGACCCTTCCGGCCTGAGAATGAATGCGGGAATGTGGCCTGGTCGCGTTATACAAAGCTCTCAGCGCATGTCGATCTGGCTTTTCCAATGTGTAAATGAGCGTCGGGGGAACTAGTCCAGTAATGCCACGATAGGGCGTGCTTGTAAGAGTACAAATCGATTGAAGGGCCCAAAAGAATGAAAGAAGGTAGCAGTGAAGAGCGACAGAAACCGAGCCGAGAGAAGTGAGAAGGTGAAAGCGCGCAGCAGCGGAATGGCTCGTAGACTTTCCCCATGACTGGGTTTCCTAGTCGAACTCTAGATGAAGGAGCGTTTTTTTGATGCTTCTAGGGATGCTCCACTTCCAGGTTCACGAGAACTGGTGCGGGCGTTTTAAACGCACGCGAAGACATCGCCCGCGAACCGTACCGGAGTGGATAGCCACTCGCACATGTCGCAAGCATTGGAGATCGGCAAATCCCACACCAAACCAAGTTGCAGGACACAGTCGGCGTCGCCATGTTCTCGTCTTGCTCAATRGAGATCGGAATCAACATCGATTCGCGGACAACTGACTTTGCATTCGAGTTTGCCTCCGCCATGTCACTTCAGATGATTCCTTCGCGCGCAGCAGTCCTAGCACCCCTGTTTGACGGTCAATGTCACGACCATCGAGTCGGAAACATGGCTCGCTCTTCCTGAGATCTGCCTCATCCGCTCGGGGGGATGTCATCTGCAGCCGGTCGGTAGAGCCCTGCGTAGAGCGGCATGATGGCTGCATTGCATTGCAGTCGCCAAGGTGAAGGCGGAAGCCGGGACGTGCGTCGTGGACTCGTGGATGGCATCAGAGTGCAGACCGTGTCCCGATTCAGACGATTGGAAATGAGATGCGGGCTCCCGAGATGAGGTTGAACGAAAGCGGCGGCTCTAGCCGGGCGGCACGGGTGTTGATCTCCTGACCTTGGTCCAGGGGCTGCCTCCGAAGCACAAGACTAGGTAAGGTACGAGTACCGCTATAGGCACGTTCTACGAATAATCGCCGCAAACGCCTCTTCTGTGGTTTGAAATCCTCCGCTGCCTTCTCAAAAGAGAGAGAGGAGCGTGGGAGATGCTTAAAGCTACCTGATTATCGGCCAGACCTAGACGCTCTTTGACCCTTGTCCCAGAGCGTTTGCCGCCAATGCTTCTCCAAGCTAAGGTTGTACGGAACTCACAACAGGCAACCCCACACGCTGTCCCGCTCCATCTCATCATTTGAGCACACGCAATAGATCATCTGGTTGGTGGCTCATTTTCCCTGCACGTGGCGGAGGAGCGGATGAACGCACAGGGTGTATCGATTGACGAGATAATTGGACAAGAACTGCCTCATCATTCTCGCGTTGCACAAAGGATTCAGCTGAAGATTCCGAAGCTGCCCTTCATGAGAGTCAGGTCTGTCAACTTTGACCCCACGTTGAGAAATGCGGCAGTGTACACTGAACCATTTGTAAACACTCACTTGATTTACCGATCCCTGTAGCGTGCATCATCTTGTCAATGGATCGGATTGACAGTCGTTCTCCGGGCTGGCAGTTGCCGCAGACCAGCGCCTATGCCTTGTCGTACAGAAGGGTGAGTAGAGTAATACCTCGCGAGTCGTCTGTCACCTGTGCCATTTCATAATGCGTGTGCGGTATGAAGCCAAATTTCAACGCCGCTTGATGGTGCAAGACGGCCGTTGAGATGTCTCGAGGCTCCGTGAAACGCATGACACATGGCCGCCACCGCTTGCATCTCCCGAGTCACTAAAGATCCTCGCCGATCACAATTCCGGCTTGTCAAAATTATGATGAAGCCAGCTTATCATCATATGTCTGAACACCCGCGAGTTCTGGGCGGCAGGTCAGCCCCGTTTMCTTTGCATGGACGCTTGATAGTCTATATAACTTTGCGTATAGTGCAACTAATATAGACATGGGCTGTCGACACTTCCAAAGCCAGCTGCAACACCGCCTTCTTCACTCTGATCGCCTTTTGTGCGAAGCAGATAGCCAGCCTCGAAATTTTCCAAGACGACTCTTTTGCCGTTGTTGCGAGTCTCCCAGAGACAAGCTCCATAGATCCCCAGCTCACATATCACGCCGCCAGTGTGGAGCTCGCCGTTACGAAAGATGGAGTTGCTTTGCTCTGGGGGCTCGATCATCTCCATCAAGATGTGTGCCGGCCAGTGAGATTCAGGCAGACTTTTGAGGAAGTCGGGAATCGCTTTGCGATATACATTGTTTCCGCCACCTTCACGCTGTGGCTTGAGAACGTAGCGAACTGCGCTCTCCGGACTGGTCGCCAGCTTACGAGCCTCAAGCCCAGCCTCGCTCTTGTCGAGTGGGTGTATTGGGGCAAATGTGTTGAGCACTTCTGACGCCTGCACTTTGTCTGGCAGGAATCGGGCGAGGTGGGGGGAATGTGGAGTAGCAAGGACTTGCTGCACCTTCTTAGTACCTGCCAGCTGCGTGAGTACAGTAGGACACTTGATCGCAGCACTTCTTTCGATTTGGAGACGACCATCCCAGTGCGATTGGCTTGTGTACTCTGAAGGGGCGTATCCAGCTCGGAAGTAAACTACCGAAACCTCGTACCGCTTTGCCGGGTTCTGTGGAGGTGAGTAGATGAGCTTTCTTTGGTCGTCGACTTTACTGTCTTGCAAAACCCGGTCGAATGGAAGGCGGAATGTTCGAACGTGGTGTTTCTCATTCAGCGAGTACTCCACATGTCGTTGATCGAAGACGTTGCGCYCGGGGTCCTGCACCAAGAAGATTACACAGACTGGAAGTCCAGTGCTCGATGGTCCGTAAGCTTGATGTGCCTTCGCCATACCGGTTGCAAGAGCATCGGCGGAATCGCTGCTGGGTAGGGATTCTTGTGTTATGAGAGATGATGTGTTCTCAGGATAGGCATCGATGGAAAGAAGATGGCGGTGCAATGCAGAAACCTGGCTGGAGAGCCCTCCAAAGGAAGAAGCTATTGTGTTGAATTCGACTTGCTTTACAGTTGTCTTTGATTCGTTGGTCTGATCGATATGAACCATATAGTCTGATCGGAATAGGCCAAAGGCAAGGGACTACCATAGTCAGCGAACGAGACTACGATCGTTGAGGGAGAACGAACGTACCTGAGCATATCCTTCAGACTTGACGGCAAGGTGCACTTTCCAAAGCCCGGCCATGAAATCGTCAATCTCGACAAGCCTAGTTGGCACTTTCATCAGCAAGCCATTCATGTGCAAATGTGCAACTAGCGAGACCAGAGACCAGGATGTCCTGCGTGGGAGGAGAGCATGACGAGGCGAGGGCAAGTGAAGCAGATTCAATATATCAGCGTGAAAATGAGAAAAAACCTACTCTTCAACGATTCCTGTGAGCCAGGCCTCGTCACTGGAAATGGCCGAATAAAGTTCATTGTAGGCCTTGACCACGGACTTGGCCTGTTCAAAACATCCTCGAGGGAATAGAGAAGGAAATATGGTCACTGGCGCAGTCGTCGCCAATGCTCCAGCAGGGTCTTGCTCGGATGGCACATATGTGCTTGTTGGTCTGACTGCGAGGCCGTGGGCAATGGACCAATCCTTGAGATTTGAAAGCAAATATCCCTTCTGTTGCTCGTTGAGGCTCGGCGGATACGATGAYGATGCGTTTGCCGACATCTTGAATCGACGAGTGTGTGTGTGTTTGTGTGTAGGAAGGAGGAAAATTGTGCTGACATATGGGGGGGCAGTCGCGATGAGTGGATCCTCGTCGTGTTTCGGAATTCACCGACGAAAATCCACAATGGCACACCTCACACCTCGACACCTGGAACTCCTCTGGACAAGCCCATTGCACACGCATAATTCAAGACAATCGCTCAAAGTTTGCGACGGCTTCCCATGCTCTGTAAGGCGGCGCATCTGTTCACCGTATCAAGACGCTCCTTCAGCGGACCATACGAGTCCACCCGGGCGCGTAACTGCTTGCGGAACAGCTAGAGCAGCGGAGAGAACATTAAAAGACGCGTGGAGAAGGCTTGAGGCAGGTCGTCGAAGAAGCGCACTACGCTCCTAGCCGACTGACACGCATCTACGGACTCTCTCGTCCGAGCTGCGAGGTGTGCTGCCATCAGCTAGCAGACGGTAAGCCTACCTTACATTCGCCTGTTGTGTGTGGGATCGTCTGCGCGGCTTTCGTGGACGCTCGTTCATTCACCTCAGCAGCGTACCTCACATCCGCCATCAATTTYTCTTGCAATCATTGTCGTCGCGTCACTGTCAGAAAACATCGCGAACGCGCTACAAAAGTGCGTCTCGGCACATCGCGTAGTTCATCATCACGACATCAACCACCGCGCGTCATTCTCACCAACAACAATCGTGCGCACCAGACCGGCACCGCATAACGGAGGTGCACGTGGTAGTTTTCGGGCGTTTCCTGCTCAGGTGCTGCAAGCGCATCTCGAGGCCGGGATTGCGGAGCCATCTATTCGACGAGCACCATCCTCGATTGTGAAAGCAAGTGGAACCTATGCAAGAAGATTATGGATTCCGAAGATCCATACAATTGGAGCGTGGAGCAAGTCTGTCGCTTCTTCCGCGACGATGCTCAGGATTTACTCTCAAACCTTCCCAATAATCCCCAGCTTCCCACACTGCCACCTTTTCTGGAGGCACTCAAAGAAAATGATGTCTCAGGCTTCGTACTCTTGACATCTGTCGGCACGGGCGACCTTCGCGACGATTTTGGCATTCGCTCCTTCGGCCAAAGAAGCACTCTGCTCCATTGCATCAACAAGCTGAAAGAATGTTCATCTGCACATCGGGGCCAGTATGACAAGAAGGAAAGCCCACAGGCATCTACCCCGATGCCCAAGATAGAGCAACCGAACCCATCAGAAACCACACCTGCGGAAGCAACCACGTTCGCTCCTAGTCGTCCTGGCGAGGTGCAAGTGCAGGACGAACATGGTCGCAAGCGGCGGAAACTCAATCTCACCGCCAATGCTGCCGCCATACCTATCACTCTCCCGCCAAACACTGAAGGTTGCTATTTTGGCGAAGCAAGCAAGCCTGTTGATCGACTCTTCTTCGACAAGACCCCACTGGGCAGAGAAATCGAGCATCCTGCGTCTGACGAGTTCACCATACTCGAGGCCGATCGCGCGAATGACTCTGCCGAGCACAACTTCCAGTTCCATGCTCTATCAAAGCCCGCTGGAGAAGCCCAATACGTGTTTCGTCAGATCCATCGATGCCTCAACCAGGATCCCATCGATCTCATGCGTCGTGAGCAGCCCGCCCTTGCGATCGTCCCATACCGCGAGGAGCTGAGTCGTCTCGCGAAGAAGGTGCAATCCGCTATCGTGGTCCAGTATGCCGGCGACGGTAACCTACCGGTTGCGATCAAAGAAAATGTTGCGTTTCTTGGAAACAACGGCGACTACAACGGAATCGCACAAGAGTCGGCGCTTGGTCAGTTCGACTACCTCAATGAAAAGTATGGAGGTGGTGAGCAAGGCGACGCTGACGGCGACAGCGATGTCGATTCGATATCATCTGCTGCGTTTGATCGGATGCAAGCCGAGATCGATAAAGAGTGGCAGGACGAGCAGGCGGAACTTGCTGCGAGTCAGGCCACAAGACTCCTGGCAGAGGATATCGAAAATTTAGTCGACGACACTGTCCAGAGTTTCGCCCACGAGTGGAATGTGAGCAAGCGCCCTAGCAGGGAACAACGTCAGGCGTGGACTGTCTGGAAGATGATGAAAGGCAGCAAATCTAGGCAAATCAGTCTCATCCAGGATGCGAAAGCTAAGATCGACAGCTACGATCGCCGATTGTTGGGGCAGAAATCACACGTCGTCAAGGCCGAGTGCGGGTCGAAAGAAGAGGTGGTCAAATTGTGCGAAGCCTTGAAGATTACGGTCTTGGATCGGGAGGAGGTGAAGTGGAAGATCGACGTGTGGCGGAGGAAGCATGAGCCGGAGCACATCGTCCGTCACCAAAAACACACCCGCACGAATGCGAGCGCTTCCGCAGCGCATACCATCCCTGCGTTCGTCCCGCAGCCAGAAGATCGCTTGAGTATCGAGCCGGGTCCCTCACCAGCGCTCGAAGGGCAAGAGGATGTGTTCGTGACTCCGCAAGGGAGCCCAACACCTCTTCRGCGTGAGATTGAAGACGCAGGTTTTGACGGCTCTGATGAGGCATCCAGACTGGACGACTTTGTGGAAGAAGACGTGCAGTCTCTCAGCGATTTACCCCACAGCCACACCACCGTGGTCTCAAACCTTGGAGAGGACGACGATGACGATGAGCGTGAGGACGACGCCGCATCGCCAGTCACGCCGCAGTCTGTTCGTGCCGTTCAAGAACTAGGCGTACGCCCCTCACCCAAGTCTTCATCCACCGACGGTTTGCCCGGGATGGAGTCATTCTTTGCGACATCTTCAAATAAGAAAGCGAAGAAGACGTCGAAGCACAATTTCACAAAGCCCTCGGAACCAGCCTCTGCGTCAAGGCTGAAACATTCAACAGTCATCGAGATCTCAGATGATTCTACCAGTGCCTCACAGTCTCGCAGCGCGAAGAGTGCAGGTCGCAAGGCAAAGGACGGACTGTCGCAGGATGCAGTCGTGAACTCAAAGCCCGAAAATTCTTCCGTGTATGATGTCGACTCGTGGAATATCGAAGAACTTATCAACAACCAGGACCGAAAACGCGTCATCATCAAGCTGCTCCGCGACGAGGGTGTTCCGGCTCTGTTCGCAATCAAAGCGCTCTGGATGCGCCGAAAGTTGGTCGGAGTGAAGGAAGATGTACAGAAACTGCTCAAGACCCTCCGAGATGAACCGACAAGCAGCGATGCCCGACCAGGACCACTTCTCCAAGTTACCAGGCTCGCTTTGGTCTGGTCGTGCCTTCGACCTGAAATCATGAAAGGCGACTATCCAGAAACAATAGAATGGACTCCGGTGGGCCGAGACATCGAAATTTTCATGCCATTCTTTGGGCTTCTAATGCAGAAGAGCGACAGCAAACTGTTCATAGAGCACGAATCCCCCTCACCCTCTCCCATCCCCAACAAGTACAGCGAAGTGGACATCATCGAAATCGACTCCGACTCTGACATTCCCGTGGAGACTCCGCACGCTAGGCGGAAACGGAAGTTCAAGCACAGTCGCAAGGCAGTCGAATCACAACACACTGCCATGGAGCGTCAGGCGCGCTACGAGGCGGCGGAGACTCAATCATCCAATTCACGGCAGTTGATGGAAATGGTTGGCTCTGGCAGCGTCCTGCTTCCGATCGACCTCTTGAAACAAGACAAAGGTGTGCATCACATACGACCAGCCATCGCCTCGATGATGAAGGAGCATCAGATCGCCGGTGTKCGTTTTATGTGGCGCGAGATTACCGCAGGCGCGGATGCCGATGAAGATGGCCAAGGATGTGTGCTGGCTCATGCGATGGGACTGGGAAAGACGATGCAGACGATTACACTCTTGGTTGCCGTGACTGAGGCCGCCCAGTCGGAAGATCCCCTGGTCTCATCCCAACTACCCCAGAACCTCCGACCTGCGGGCGTGGTGAATCAAGAACGGGCGCTTCGTATTCTCATACTCTGTCCCCCTTCGCTTCTCGAAAACTGGCGTCGCGAGATCCACCAATGGGCAGGTGGCATCCTCGGAAACGTTTTCACGTTTGTCAAATCGAGCAAATCGGTTCAGATGGAGGTTCTCAAAGACTGGCACGCCATGGGGGGCGTGTTACTCATGGGATACAGCCTGTTCGGGCTAAGAATCAATCGAGCAAATGCGGAAGAAAAGGCCGGCAAGCCGCATGAAGACGGCGATATGCTCGATGAGTATCTCCTTCGAGGCCCAGAGATCCTGGTCGCCGATGAAGCCCATTATGTGAGAAATATTGGAGCTGGAATTTCCATTGCAGTCAACAGGATTGAAACCAGAAGCAGAATTGCGCTCACCGGCACTCCGATGAGCAACGACGTTAGCGAAATGTACGCTCTCATCTCTTTTGCTGCTCCAGGGTTTCTCGGCGGGCCACTTGACTTCAAGGTCAGATTCGGGGAGCCCATCGAACAGGGCACCTACGCCGACAGCTCGTCATATGAGCAGCGGAGAAGCAAGGTCAAGTTGGCGACACTGAGTAAGCTCATTGAGCCCAAGATACACCGTGCGGACATTACAGCCCTCAAAGGAACCCTTCAGCCGAAAGTGGAATTTGTCATTACCCTTCCTCTCACCGATTTGCAGCGCTCAGTGTATAACAAGTACATCGAAGTTCTGCYAGGAGGAGGTAAGAACGACGAAGCTAGCCAAGTGGCGATTTTCTCCTGGCTCTCGATGCTGGGGTTACTTACCAACCATCCTTTGGCCTTTAAGCGCAAGCTGAACGAGGTGAAGAAACCACGAAAGACAAAGCCTGGCAAGACATCCAAGTTAGACGGTGGTGCGGCATCGCCCATAGCTTTGGACGATGATAGTGCCGAGGCAGTGGACTACGAAGAGGAAGCCGTGAAGACTCAAAATTTCTCAGAGGAGACGGTCAAGCAAATCACAGCAGATATCGAGGACTCCACCAATCCTGAATTGTCGGCCAAGATGGAAATACTCATGAAAATTCTCGCGCTTTCCAAGCGATGTGGGGACAAAGTGCTGGTCTTCAGCTCGAGTATACCAACGCTGAATTATGTTGGTGAACTACTCGGCGAGCGCGGTGTTCGATGTGGCCGGATTTGCGGCAATGTGCCTCCGGTGCAACGCCCCAAAATCATTGCAGATCTTACTGAAGGCCTCTGCGATGTTCTGCTCATCTCAACAAAGGCTGGTGGAGTTGGACTGAACATCCAAGCTGCGAACCGCGTGGTGATTTTAGACTTTGGATTCAACCCGTCGCACGAGGAACAAGCAATTGGCCGCGCTTACCGATTCGGACAATCGAAGCCTGTCTTTGTGTATCGCCTCATCAATGGTGGAACGTTTGAAGACAACATCTACAACAAACAGTTGTTCAAGACCTCCCTTACACAGCGCGTGGTGGACAAGAGGAACCCTCGTCGCAATGCRGCGCGGAATACACGCCAATATCTCTATGCACCGACTGAAGTCTCTCAGCAGAATCTCACCGAATGGCTGGGCAAAGACCCAGACGTATTTGATCAGATTCTGAAGCCTCAGCTCTCACAGCCGGAAGGAATTGTTCGCAAGGTCACCACCATTGAGACCTTGCAGAGGGAAGGTGACGATCCGCCTCTTAATGCGGAAGAGCTGAGACAGGCCGAGGAGGAGTATCAGACGAGCATCGCGGCAGCCATGGGTCTACGAGGTCAGATCCCGAACACGCAGAACCTTCCGCCTTTTGTGACAGCGCAGGCTTCGCAGCCTCGTCGTCTGATGTTGAAATTGCCCAGCCCGCGACAGCCCTCGTCAACGGCGCCCGGTGGTTATGTGCGTCCTTCGCCGACGATTCGCATAGCGAGCACCGTTCCATCKAGCACCATTCCACCAAGCACTTCTACACTGATGCCACATGGTTTGCCGAGCATCCGATCGCCATGAGCAGGGCCCGGCTGCAGACGAAGGTGTGACAAGACAAGGCGTGAGAGAGGAGGGATTATGTGATGAAGCAGTACATATGGGAGGGAGTTCCAGTCGGTGAAGGTTTTTTGCTTGCGATTAGCAGTACGAGATACCCCCCAGAGCGCTGCGTGTTAGCTTTGTGAGATGATGAATGACAATTGACCAGTGATCACATGTGCACTCTCAGGGACTTTCCTCTTACCTCCCTCTGCCGTGACACGTATGTAGTGTACTGTAATCTGTAGCTTGCGAGATTTCTCAAATCTCATCCCCGAGACTCTCTGCCAATTCATCCATCTGCTACTCTCCTTCTGAGCACAGTGTAGAACATAATCGCCGAGATACCCCAAGAGCGTCTCGCCTCTTCAAAGCTCACGCCAGCGAATTCCTTTGAAAAGTCACTCACGGTTCGTGTATTGTAACCTGACAAGAACCAAACAAAATCTCATCATCGATCCATCTATTTTTGAAGAAGACAAAAATTTGCAACTTTGCCTTACTTACCTAACTTACGTGTATGATGAACCATCGTTCGTTCGTTAATTCGTTCGTTCATTCCCCGCTGCACCAAAAAAAATAAGGTAATTTTAATTTTACATATGTGTGAAGATGTTACAACGGGCTCTCTTAGCGATTGATCGTTCAACGATAAGGTATTCAAACGTGTGTGCCCGATTTTGAATCATCACTAGTTGTCCAAGCGTGTGCCCGAGGCGCGGAAGAGATGTATCCGTGGATGATATCTGTGGCGGATCTGATAAATTGTGGAGATGGGATTGTATGGTGTTGTGTTGTATAGGGGCGAATGCATTCATTCGTTCGGTCGGCTATCGATGGGGGAGTGTATGAGGTTCATGGGCGAGAGAAGACGAATGKCAATACCTTACAATTGTCGCAGATTTAGTACAGGTACGATCTGATTGAGAAGGCTGCACAGGGCGTGGAACGAATTTCTTCATACCACAGTCCAACAAATTAAGCAGTCTATCCACTGAAACCCAGCCAAAGCTCGTATCCAGCCGCAAAATAATCAAAAACCATCCACTCTCTCTGGTCATTCTTGAGGTCATTCTTGACGACTCCCTCCTAGCTCCTTCCCCCAACCATGCCATCAAGCAGGAACACTTCAGCTTGGGATATCCGCACTGAGCCGCGTGAACGAGAAACAAGTTTCATAATCTGCATATTCCGTATTCGCGATCATTTCCATCATTCCAGCGTGTGGTTGTACTTTTGGACATTTCGGAGCTCTTTACTGGCTCTTGGCAGCGGATTCGACCTTGCTGCGGACAGAGGCCTCGTCGCTGAAGAAGCGGGCGAAGAGTGGCTGGAGGAGGGTACGGAAGACGATTTGGGCACCACTGTTCAATATTGTCAGCATTTGTGATGGCGTGCGAGAAGTGATGGAGCAGTAGCTTGCGCCAGGTACAGTTGCGAAGCTTCGGCCGGCCCATCCTTTCATTCTCATCTTTGAAGCGACTTACGCAGTCTGAGGGAGAGCCATCCAGAGCACCAGGATGAACTTGAAGGTGTAGTAGAAGGGGAACCAGTAGACGGCGTTAATGGCAGACTATCACAACGTCAGCACTGCTCCAGAGTGAAGAATACATGGCAGCGCATACCTCGAAGACGGTCAAAAAGGCATATGTGACCCAGTACTGTCCACACTGATTAGCGCCGTTATGCCAGGACCCCACCATGGGGGATCTCAACGTCTTTTTCGAAAACGCACGGTGAGCCATTGGGTGTCATCAGCCTTGCCGCTGGAGAACAGGGCCTGGAGAGAGTAAAAGGCTGGGATGACGAATCCGGCAGTGTTGACTAGGAACTCGCCGGCGATGTTAAAGAAGACGAGGAAGAAGTACAAGGCACCGAGCCCAAGCACGACGTAGACTTTTGGGACGCTGGTTTGCTGCTCGAAGTTGTTGAGGGCGGGGTACTTGGACAGTTCCCTGCATGGCGATCAGTATCGATAGGACGGAGATGATGGTGTTGTATCGAGGATGACTGACTTGTCCAGCTGCGAGAGGTGGTATTGTGCGCTGTGATGGCCGTCAATATTCCTTATCTAGCGCCATGGCTGTTCCAACCGTTGACGATGCTCTTACCGCTCCTGAACGCTTCCTTGGGCATTGCCTGACATTTTGGCGGGTATTTGCAGAGGTTGGTGGGAATGAATCTCGTTACTGTCGATGTTGTTGAGTGGTAGGGGAAGTTGTTTGCGAGGTGTTCAGACGTCGGTGTGCTATGGAACTGGGCAGGGATGACGTTTCAAGAAAGAACGGCTTGGTGGCCTGCATGTTCCGACCAGAGCCTACTCCGTGTGGTCATCAATTGATGCACGGAATTGATGCGAATTGATGACCCGGACCCACTATCATTGGTGAGCTCATCAGCCATGGAATTCACGATTATTTCATGTGTCAAACATGTGTCAAGCATGACAAGTCAATATCTCATCACCAAGGCCCGCCACATGGATCGGTATAGTAAGACGGCCAGACTTCCATCTCCTGCGCGTAGATGCAGACGCGTAGAATAGTTTAAAGTGAAAATAATTGGTGCATTATCCTTCAAAGCACTTATCAATGCTTGGAAAACTGGCCGGCAAAGTAGGACTAGCGTCAGCGCGGATCATGTCTCCGGTTACGGGAAGCTGCCGGACTGCCTACTGGGATTAATCGCCTCGCATCATACGAAAGAGGAGCCATTTCCAAAACGAAGGTTGGTATTTCCCCAAACGAGGCAATCGGCACGATCGAAAGCTCGCAAGACCGTCAACGCAGACTCTGGGTGTTGGCATTCGCAATCCCTTTTGCCTGTCAAGTAACGGCCATACCGGATTTCGTGAGAGAGGTGTGATTAGCTCAGCTGTCGTTGTTGTTTACTTCGGTTTGTTGTGCATGCACCCAGCCTCTCTTCACTTCAACCCTCGACAAGCCACCACCACGGCTCAATCMCCCAACTCTCCGCGAACCCTCTGCCGCCGACTTGCTCGCACGATTGGACGACTCCAGGGATTAATCGCACCGCCGTCCTGGAAGTTGCACCGTGTGGAAATCGAGAGGCGCCCGCGCCCGCAGCGTCCAAGTTCATCTGCAGATCTCGTCTCGCGCATATTCCACCTACCATACATCGCCTCCATGTCAAATACCCGCACAGGTACTACTCCCACTTGAAAGAACGCGCCCTCGAATATTACAGAGGAGTCGCCTGCATCGCACTGCTGACTCGACCAAGATCAATAACCACAGTCGCTCCCGCACCCAAATCAACAGCATCATAACATAGTAATTTTCGGCCTGCTCGACGAATAATACACCACCCAAATGTCGGCTCGCCATAGCCACCGGCCTGATAGTCGCGCGTCGACTCAGAGCGCGGCATCTCATCACCACGATACCTCGGGACAGGATGTCAAGTCTTCATACCTAGTGCCAGGACCCGAAGCAGCACTGCTAGAATATCACGCGAATATGCTCCCCCAGCAGATGCCGCAGTATCAGCAAATGCATCCCCAGCAGCAGCAGCAACAACAACAAACACAACAACACATGAATCACCAGCACTCGCACTCGCACAGCGTACAATACCCGATGCAAGCGCAATACACTGCACAGGATTCGCCGTATATGCAGCAGGATATGACCTTTGCGCAACATACACGAGTGGGCTCGGTGCCCGCGCAATTGATTCCCGACATTGCCGATGACAAGCGGCGGAAAGGCTCGGCCGTCACGGCCACCAACGACAAAGAATTGCGCGAAATGCTGGTCAGGAATGAAGGTCGGCCGCTGAGGGACGTGGCACAGGAGGTCATTCAGAAGGAGAGGACTCCCATGGCGGAAAAGACGAAGCAGCTGTTTGCGATGCTTTGGTGAGTCCGTTGGTGCGCGGACGGTTATGTGGTGATTACAAACTCTAACGGCTTTTCAGGCTCCGCGCGGTCTGCAAACCTGCAAAGACTTCCGTCCCGAGGAATCGCGTCTACTCTCAATATGCCACGCGCTGTGGGACGGAGAGAGTGGTGCCTCTCAATCCGGCATCTTTCGGAAAATTGGTTCGAGTCATCTTTCCGGGCATCCAAACTCGGAGACTGGGAGTGAGAGGCGAGAGCAAGTACCACTATGTCGATTTGGCGCTGGAGGAGGAGCAGCCGAACATGCCATCAACATGGCAAGGGAATGGATTCGCCCATCTCCAAGACCGACAGCGGTCGCAATCTGCGGGCATAAATCACATTGACTTTAATAACATTCCACGACTGCAGGCCGACACTGCCGCCTTCCCCACAGCTGATGGAGGCTTTGATGTGCCGACTACACATGTTCCAACGCCACGCGGGCCAGCTTCCAAGGGACAGTCCTTCGTGTATCCGGAAGCACGTGGCATGCAGCCTGGGACCGCCGAGTCACTGTCTTACACTCACACGCTCCGCTTTCCCTCAAGCAACATGCCGGCATTCTCCGAGAATGAATCAGTCAACCTCCCCTCAATACATCCATACCTCCCACCACGAACCGACAACGATACAGCCGAAGCACTTGCAGCACTTTACAGGACACACTGCACATCGCTCATCGACAGCATCCGGTTCTGCAAGGAGAAGCAGTTCTTCCGACTGTACACTTCATTCCACGGCACACTCACAGTACCTGTACAGAAACTGTTCACACACCCTAATCTAGCTCACTGGATTGAGCAATGCGATCTTGTCATGTACCGGACCATGGTGCGCTTCGTGAGCCGTCTCACATTGCAAGCTGCACCAGTGATTGTCATCAACATTCTTTCCAACATTTCCGCAACCCTCCACAACCACATCGCAAAGACCTTTTCACAACAGCCGCCTCATGTTCTTGAAGCCAAGCTACGGCCTGCCACCATCTTCGCTGGATTGTTATATCGTTTGATCCGAGTCAATCAGTCCGCCCACGCAGCTGCAAACCTCCTCACCATCGACCAGAACCGAGAACAAATGTGGCAGGAATGGGTGACCATGGTGAACCCCAAGCGTGTCATGGAGGCAGAGCTACCTGACTGCGGATATGATGAAGTGTACAAGATCATGACAACGGAGATGCGCAGCTTGTTGGAACCCCTGCAAGCCCCGTCTTACCAAGACGATGCCTCGTACTACAATTTCGAGGCAGATAATGGTGGCTTCGCACAATTCCTCCAAAGCCAAACTACCCACCCGAGAAATCCAACCTCTGCAATCTCTACGGAGAATGTTTTGGACAGATGGCAGGCCTTTCTCGCATCGGTACCAGGACGCTTTCCACAAGCACCGGCGAGAACAATCCTGCATTGTATCTCTGCTGTTGGAACGGCCGCGTTGCGAGACATTACCATCATGAGTGGCTTGTCATACGGTCACTGGTGGGTGTTGAAGATCTTTGTCGATGAAATGGCGCTTTGGATGGCTGAGATGGGTGGCTTTCTCGAACCCACCATGAGCGCCACTCCTCTCAACAATAACAACATATACCAATCCCCTGCGCTGGAGAATTGTAATGGAAGGAGCCATAGTGGGAGCCGGATGAGCAGTATGGGACCGAATGGCGCCTCTAATAATGGCCACGACGGCGCATCACAGTCTGGATACATGGCAGATTCCCAGCAATCACAGAATTTTGCCCAACAACAACATCATCTCCAGCAGGTGCATCAAGTTCAGCAAGTGCAGCAAGTCCAGAACCAGAGCATGTCCTTTCTAGCGCAGCATCAGAGTTCTGGTGGCGCCAAGCGACAGTCACAGTCCCAACAGCAGCAGCAGCAGCAGCAGCAGCAACATCACGAACCCGATGTCGATGATAGTGGGATTGGCATGTCGTTGATGGATGATGATCTGACCATGGCCAAGTTTGGTGTTTCGGGGCCGCATATTGGGATGGAGGGTGCGGGGATGATGGACATGCGGATTGAGACTCTATGATGATGGGAGGGTACAGGAGATGAAGACGAGAATGAAGATGAAGATGAAGACGAAGATGAAGGAAGAGAAGATCTATTTTATGACGTTTACGCAGCAATGGTGTTTTGCGAGTGGAAGTGACGGATGGGATTCAATGGAATTGATGGATGGAATTGCATGGCGGTGTTCATATGCTCTCGAGGGAGCTGCATGGAAGGGATGATTTGAAGGCGTTGCTGTTGATGTGGTCAAGGGATTTTTTCTGGGATCAAGAGCGCGCTAGCTAATCACTGCGCCAGGTCTTTTGGGAGGGGGTTCTGGATACCACTTTTTTTTCTCTGTCTTTGGCATTCCTCACTCCCGTCTTTTTCGGGAGGGAAGAAGAAGAAGATTGAGTGCTTAGCATTTTATTACTGGGGGGTGATAATTCATCGAACTTCCACACAATTCTTTAAGTCCACTTTACCTTTCGTTGTTTTCGATGTGTTCAGAAGGTTTTATGGTATTGGAGTAGTTACAAGCCCTTCAGACTGCTGAGCGCCATGATAGCCGCCGTATCAGAACATTTCATTGAGACTGAGGTCGAACAATCAGGACAAGTGCCAGTTAGTATGCGACAGTACAACTCTGGTTTCGTTCCTTTGCACAGAGGCTTCCCACCTCTGTCTCTCCTTCTTCCGTAATCTTTTTTCGTGTGAGCAGTTAGTTCCACTGCATGACATCCTGGGTGCGTGCACATTCTCGATCGATACCAGGGCAGTCAGTGTATGCATTTTTACCAATCAATTGGAACAAGGAGTCTCCCTCCAAAATGCACCTCGCATCGTACATCGTGCAAGCGCAGGACCCTGAAGGCGTCGTGAGGCAATATCATATCATATATATGTATCAAATGATGGATGGATGGATGGATGGATGCATGCACTCGAATCTAAACACCCCCTCCTCCTCGATCATGTCCCTTTCCCCCACCACTTCCACCACCACTCCCACTTCCACTCCCACCACTCCCACCCGGATCCAACAACAAATGCGGCTTCAAGAAATTCTCATCCAATTTATTGAACAACGTCCCCGCATCCTCACTCGTAGCATTCAGCAGCGAAGTAATCGCTCCTCGTGCCGTTAAATGTCCACGTTCTTCCTGCCGGTCCGTTCTGTGTCCCGATTGGGGGTATGCGGCACTACTCTCCTCCCCACCACCATTCCATCCTCCTCCGCCACCAACAGAACTGCTCTGTGCTCGTTTGGCAGCGGGAGGTAAATCCAAATCCATATCATCGTCGTCTTCATCCCCATCACTCAACCATCCTGACTCTCCACCTTCCTGGACTAATAATCCCCTCTCGGCGGCATTCTGATCTCTTCGCACTCGTGAACTATTTCGCCGTTCCAGTTCCGGGGGGCCGTACAGGGGGGATTTACTCCCGGAATTATAACTCGCGGTGCCGGCTCGTGGACGATGATGATCATGTACATCATCCAGACCGATGCCTCCTCCTCTTGCATAGCCATTCCCACTACTCCTCGGAACATGCCCGAAAGCGGCTCCGTTCTTTCTCGCGTACGCTCCTGGTCCGTGGGGGACGGGTTCAATGTCGAATTCATCGTCGGAATCGATTTCCTCGACCACTCCAGTGCGGATGTTGAGGATTTCGAGCATGCGGGCGGTGGTGCCTCCGAAGATGATGACGGTTAGGACAACTACGACCAAGACGGTCGCTCGCAATGCTTTTCCATTCGCACCGGAAAGACCGGCTGCGAGTGCAACACCGACCGCTCCTCTCAAACCCGCCCAGAAGAGCATGACTTTCCAATTCCAAGGAATCTCTTCGGCCACACTTTCTTGCCCTCTTCGTCGTGCACGGTATCGGATGAACCAGTTGATCAAGGCAGCCAGCGGCCAAACGGCGCACCATCTCGCGGCACAAATCCCAATGATGGTGATGAGGATGAAGAGGGGTTTGTATTCCAGTACCCTCTCCGTAAAGAGGGACAAACCGAGGTAGATGAAGATGAAGTTTTCCATCAATTGCGCCATGAGGGAGAAGACGAATTTGGTGGTGAGTTGGGTGCGACGGGACATGTTGTGGTAGGCGTAGTGTTTGAGGCAGATGCCGCAGAAGAGGAGGGCGACGATTCCTGGAGGTGTTAGCAATGTCGATATGATGTAGATATAACCGAACATACCGCTCATGTGAATGGCATTGGCGAAGAAGTAGGAGGCGTAGGCGATGAGGAAGATGAGACAACTCTCAGTCTTGGGATCGCGGCGGACGTGGGTGAGCTTCAACAGCAGACTGGTGGCAATACCAAAGACAATGCCAATGATGAGACTTCCAAAGAAATTGAGCAAGAAGATGCCAATACTCTCCACCAGACTTAATAAAGTCAAACTGCCTCCCTCTTCACCCGCCTTGTATTTCTGGGCCGTCTCGAACAGGACAATGGCAATGGCATCGTTGAGGATGCTCTCGCCGAAGATGACAGTGTAGAGTTTGGGGTCGACTTTGTAGGTGTTGAAGATGGCGAGGATGGTGACGGGATCAGTGGCAGAAAGCGTGGCTCCGACGGAAAGGGCCTCGACAAAGGTGATGGTCAGGCCTTCGAGGGGAATTCTCGTCCAGACGTAGAGGATGACGCCGAGGACGATGGCGGAGATGAAGGTTCCGGCAAAGGCAAAGGTGAGGATACTGCCGATGTTGCGGAAGAAGTTGGCCTGATGCAGCTCATATCCACTGGCGAGGATGATGGGCGGCAGGACGAGGTTGAAGAAGAATTGGTAGTCAAAGGTGACGGCATCCAGCACCGTCTCCACCGTCGTCAGGCGCAGAATCAAGCCAATGACCATTCCCGCGAAGATGGAAATGACCGTCTCGTGCACCGCCTGGATCTTCTTGGAGCGCAGGAGATAGCTGGTGAAGAAGGCCAGGATGAGGAGGGTGATGAGGATTAAGAGCGCCCATGAGGAATATATCTCCTTTTGTCCCGCTTCCTGATCTTCATCATCGTCGCTGTCGGACGTCTGTCGGGCGGCGAGGGCGGCGATTTCCACGCTGCGGCGGGCAATGTATTGGTGGGAGAAGAAGCCCATGTTGGGTGGTGGTCTTGGGCGGGATTATCGCATCGCTGGGAAGCCGTGGTATGGACGTGTGTCGTGGGGAGTTGTGGTGGGGAGTTGTGGTATGTCGTGTGTCGTGTCTGTCGGGTTGGTATCGTGTTATGGACGTGAGGGTCAATCAACAATAATCTCCACCTCCATCAACAAGCATGCATGCATGTGTTTACTATGAACAGGTGGAGGGCTGGGCTGCTCCAAGGAGGCTAGCATGGATGGAAGCTTAATCGGCGCGTATCGCATCGCATCTCCGCCGGCGCGGCAAGTCCAAGGCATGTGAAGACGATCTCCACGTGTGGATGAAACGCACCTTTTATTAGAAGAATGACAGCATTTGTTGAMTATACATGACATGACCGTGACCACGAGATGATGATGAACATCTTCCTTTCCATCTAGATATCCTCACATCACTTGCACATTCATCTTCCCACATCCCCCACGCATTGTACATACTTCTAATTCTACCCCACCTCCCGACAAGGCGGATTTCTTGTGCGACACACGATGGATCGACATGCACGGAGCTGGGAATAGCAACGTGCGCCCTGACATGAAAGCTTCCAGCATCTCCAAATATCGGGCATGCATCGGTACATGTGGCTGTCAACATGAATGGTATTGTATTGTTGCATGCCCTCTCCGATGCATTCCCCGCAGATTCATCGGCATGTCTATCCCCAGGAAAGTGGACGTCGTCATCCCCGCCAATAAACACCCACACGCCACCCATCATCATCTCGTGTTCGCGCGTGATGTCCGTTCCTTGGTCCATCTGACTGCCACACATCACACATCACACCAACCTACCACCTGAATCCATCCATCCTCAGGGCATCTCCACAAGATCTCCCTCGGCGTTGGTGGAGGATGCGGTCAACGAGACTGCCTCATCTACCTTCACTTCCACTTCCACTCCCACTCCACTTGGACATCACCGAACAACACCATGGACCCATCGCCTTCGCCTACCTCCGATCCATCCCGACCTGCTGACACGGACACGTCAATCTCCACCACCACGACCCCTCCCAAGCATGTGCAATTCAAGAGATTTTCCGCGGAGAGTAATCGCGACATGGCAGGAATAAAGTCAAGTTTGGACAATGATACCCTCGATGAACAATCACCACTGTTACCCGCACGCTTGAGTGACGATGTAGGACCCGTTCCTTCCCTCTCCACCGTCATGAGCCCCGATGATAGTAGTCAGGGCGAGGCATGGAATGTCGATGGAGGGAAACAAGAAGAGAGCAAGAGTAGTTGGWACCTCCTACTCTTGACCATTTCAATCGGCGGGTGCRTGGGATATACCCATTTGTTTCCTTGTCTTTTCATCCCCCGCTGATGGTGTGTTTTGCAGCCTCCAACTGGCCTGGTCGGTGGAACTCTCCAATGGATCTCCCTACCTCCTCAGCTTAGGCATCTCCAAGAGCTTACTGGCCATAGTCTGGATCGCCGGTCCTCTCTCCGGTGTCTTGGTCCAGCCCTATGTCGGAATCAAGTCCGWTCGATGTCGATCTCGCTTCGGCAAAAGACGCCCTTTCATGGTTGGAGGAGCTGCTGCTACCATCGTCTCTCTGATGATCCTGGCCTGGACAAAGGAAATCGTCGGTGGCTTCCTCTCAATATTTGGCGTGGATGCTGCAAGTCAAGCGGTCAGGAACTGCTCTCTCGTCCTCGCTATTGTCATGGTCTACATCCTCGATTTTGCCATCAACGTCATCCAAGCGGCAATTCGAGCCTTCATCGTTGACAACGCCCCAACCCACCAACAAGATGCCGCCAACGCGTGGGCCAGTCGAGTTTCGGGGATGGGGAATATCATAGGCTACCTCTTTGGATATGCCAATCTCCCAAAGTACATGTGGTTCTTCGGAAACACACAATTCAAAGTCCTCTGCGTCATCGCCTCGCTGGGTTTGACCATCACTCTAATCCTCACCTGCTCATCCATCTCGGAACGCGATCCTCGATTGGAAGGGACTCCTGCAAAGGAAGATTCCGGAGTGCTGGCATTCTTCAAATCTCTCTTCCGGTCCATCCAACGATTACCCTCCCAAATCAAAGCAGTTTGTGTAGTCCAACTGGCAGCGTGGGTGGGCTGGTTCCCCTTCCTGTTCTATATCACCACCTACATTGGAGAGCTGTATGTCGAGCCCATCTTCCGCGCCAATCCCAACATGACCGATCAGGAGATTGATCAAGTTTGGGAGCACGGTACACGGGTGGGAACGTTTGCATTGTTGATCTTCGCCATCGTCTCCTTCACCTCCAGCGTCGTCATCCCATGGTTTGTGTCCAAAACCTACGAACCTCCCGCTCCAGCTCTCCGCACACCAATGCTCACCCCTGGAACACCCACGGCAACCACCACTCTCGCCGCCTCTTACTTCACCTCCCGATCCGAACCCTCCGATCTCTCCACCAGCGAATCCTCGCTTAAAAAATCCGCCTTCCACAACTTGCCTCTCATCAAACAGACGCGAAAACTCAACCTTCAAATTCCCTGGCTCACGCTCAAAAGAGCCTGGCTCCTCTCCCACCTCCTCTTCGCCCTCCTCACCTGGCTCACCCTCTTCACCACCTCCCCAACCAGCGCCACTATCCTGGCCGCCCTCATCGGCATCCCCTGGTCTTTAACCATGTGGGCGCCCTTTGCCCTCATCGCCGCCGAAGTTTCCAAACGCGAGAACATCCGTCGCGGCCTCTTGCGCGCCCCACCCACCCGCGATGGAGAATTACTCGCTCGTGGGGAGGACGTCAGTGCGGGTGCCGATCAAGCGGGAGTCGTATTGGGAATTCATAACGTCGCGGTCGCGGCGCCGCAGGTTTTTGCCACGGTGGTTAGTTCGGGGATTTTTTGGATGTTGCAGAAGGAGAGGGGGAGTGGGGAGGGGGATGATAGTGTGGGGTGGGTGTTGAGGTTTGGGGGGTTGGCGGCGCTTGGGGCTGCTTGGTTGAGTAGGTATGTTAGGGAAGAGGGGGAGGAGGAGGGGGTTGGGGGGAAGTTTTAATTCACTTTTTCTGATGGGCGAGGATGATGAGAGAATGGGTGGAAAGAGGATGAGGGTTAGGAATGAATGGGAGGAAAGAGGATGATGGCTAGGACTGGGCGGGAGGAAAGAGGATGTGTGGCGTTTTCTGGTTTAGTGAGGGTTTGCTTTTTATGAGGTCTATTATACCCCCTTTTGTGAATTGGACTGGAAGAATTGGGATTGGATTGGACGGATTGATGAATGGAATGAAATTAGGAATTAGGATTGAGCCAGGAATGAATTGTGATGATTGCATTGGCTGTTTTATTTCCATGGATTGATGGATGGATGATGAAAGATAGTTAAGATGGGATGGGAATGATGTAACGATACAATCAATCAACCAAATCGGCAGAAGTTGTTAACAAGAAGCGGAAGTTTGATTTTCTGCCTGCTTCTTCTTGGGCTTCTTGGGTCATGTCTTCCTTTTGAACACGGGGAGACTTAGGTATGGGTGGATAGGTGGATAGAGGGATAGATGGGTGGATGGATAGATAGATGGATGGAATAGGATAGAAGGGATGAACGGGATATCTAGGTAGAAGAGGATGGGCAGAAGAGGTTGGAATTCATAGATGGAAATGCAGATGATATAAACGACACAAATGACAGAAATTTGTACCTATATTAACAAGTAAGTTGTATTGAAGCGATTGAGGATCTTCTGCTTTTGATTTTCGTCTGCAATGTGCTCTTTGTTAGATTTGGGTGCGGATGTTTAGTAATGTCCTCTTTTTGGAGGTGTTTTGTTCGTTTATTTTTAAACTTCAAGTCGGAAGGAAGGAATTCTCCGGGCTGAATTGAAATGCGAGGTGTGGACATATATACATGTGTGCCGAGATGGATGATGTTGGAGATGTTGTTATATGCGTCAAATGATGATGCTGGTAAGGAAAGGACGTGCGTGCGTTGCCCCTCCAAACAAACACCGACGCTCGCTTAGGTCGACTAGTTCCCCCCACCATGAATAGTTAGATGGGACCCTCTTTCACTTCACACATCACCACCCGACTTCATTTCCGCTCCGCTAAAAGGACACACACATCCCCCACCCACTCAGGCCACAAAATCCCCAACATCTGCCGCCTGATCAACACGTCGCATTGATTGGTGAGTGAGTGAGATTGGGAATGACGACGCATTTCTCGCCGACTGACATGTTCTTCATCTTCAGCCCATTGATCGCACCGGAAACATCTTCCATTCTCCCCCCGAAACATGGTATGCTCGACCATGCCACCCTCTATGAAAGATTCCACCCAACTGACATGTGATTGACACAGGCCTCCTCCGGGTATGTCCATCATGGCCACCACCTCCCCCTCCATCCCCCGCTAACCCCACCAGCGTCTCGGTCGCACCCGAGTGCATTTCCAAGTTCAACGAGCTGAAGCTGGGCAAGTCGCTCAAATGGATCATCTTCAAAATCAGCGAGGACTGGAAGGAGATTGTGGTCGAGGAGACGTCGACCGACCCGGATTACGCCGCCTTTCGCRAGAAGMTCGTGTCGGCCAAGAGCAAGAACAAAAAGGGCGAGGAGGGTATTGGCGGCCGATATGCCGTCTTTGATGTCGAATTCGAGGCCGAGGGCGGCGCGGGAATGCGCAACAAAATCACCTTCATTTCATGGGTGCCTGATGATGCGCCGCAATACGTGAGTTTTCTTGACATCTATCCATGGATGAGATGATTGAGGGGGAATGTTACTGACAAGATGTCATGGTATAGCCCCGCATGATGTACTCGACCTCCAAGGACGCCCTCAAGCGCGCCCTCAACGGAGTCGCCGTCGACATTCAAGCCAACGACGCCGACGACATTGAACACGACTCGGTCATTGCTCGCGCCTCCAAGGGTCGTTGAACCCCGTCCCGTCCTGAACCCATGCAGCATCGACTAGTCGCCATACTCGACTTTCAGCAGTAGCCAGAACGAACAAGAAAGATTTCAGACGAGCCAATTGATGGGGTATGACATGCGTCAGGATGATGATCATGTTCTCCATCCTTCTTTTTTAACTTGCGTGCTTTCGGCACCCTTGGCGTATAGATATCCGATCACGTTATGAATAAGGATCCATGTGTGTTGTTGTTGTATCAATGTCGGAATGGGATTGGAATGTGATTGATGTCTGTCTTTTTTGATGGGAAGGATTGCCTTGCGACTCCCGTGGTTCGATGGTCGTGTACCTGATATTCTTCTCGTTGATATTCAAGGTACAGTGCACTTTTGTATCCCTCTACCTCTCTCCCTCTTTTCATTGAATGTTCTCAAGAAATGATTTGATGTGCCATATATCATATCATATCAAAGGTACAGTCAAAAGTTTACCGTCGAAAAAGAATAACTTGCCAGCTCAAACTCTTCCTTCTCCACCCCACCCGACCGACCAACCAACCACTCCCACAGTCCCTCTCAAAAGTCAAAGCCATCCGAAGCAGACCGACCGGGTGCCAGATTTCTGAGGACTTGCAAAGTACCGTACCGAGGAGTTCCGTTCCCTTCCATCCCGCTTGGGAAACTGAAATGTAAACCGAGAAATGATATCCGCGAATTCTCTTAATCTTCTTCTTCTTTTTCTTGGGAGAAATCATTCTTTACCAAACATTTTTGAAAGTACACCACTACTCGACTCGAATGAAAAAAATTCACGACAACAAATCCAAGAATCCAAGACTACGAAGCCTCTCTCTCTCTCTCTCTCTCGACGAAAGACAGATATGATGAAATTCTCCATTGCCCTCTCGATGCTTGAAAGGGTGCGAGGGATTCGAGATGAGGAGACGAAGATTCCCTCTTCTTCTTCTTCTTTTTCTTCTTCTTCTTCTTCTTCTTCTTCTTCCGAGCATAGCAATTTTTCAATCTGGCGGAAAATCATCCTCCGCGTGACAAAACGAACATCAAACCAGGTTGAAAAGGAGGAGGAAAAAGAAGAGGAAGAAGAGGAGGAAGAAGAGGAGGAAGAAAAAGAAGAAGAAGAAAGTTGGTGGTTCATACCCCCCGCCCCGAAATCTCTCATCAGGCAGGAAGAGGAGGAGTTGATGGGGATGTTATTGAAGGAATTGGGGATTCAGGGAATGAGGGAGGAGATTTGTAGTTTGGGGGATTTTGGGTTGGGGGTTTATGCTGCTCATAAAGGTGAGGGGAATAAGCATTGGGATGGGGATGGGACGGATGAGGGGGATAAGGGGGAGAGGGTGAAGGATGAGAGGGGGAAGGATTCAGGGGAAAGTGGGTATGTGGAGAAGATGGGGGAGAGGAGGTTGGAGGCTATGAGATTTGGATTTTGGGGAGTTCGGAGGGTTCTGGCAGGGGAGGATGGAGATGATTTTGAGGAGGAGGAGGAGGAGGTGGAGAAGATTGAAGGGGAGGGGATGGAAGGGGAGGAAGAGGGGATGGACGATTCGGTGGGAGATGAGGATATGTGGAGTGATGTTGGAGAGGAGGGCGATGATTCTTCTTCTCCCTCTCCTTCCAAGTCGACCTTTTCTACGGCGTCGACTTTTGGTGCATCGGGATTGTCGACGCCGCCGCCGCCAGATTACTGAATTGTTCTTTTCTTTACTTTCGAGTCGGTTGTGCCGTGCGTCGTAATGAGATGTGCTTCGGTCTGCTTAGTTAGCGTCCCTGTTATACATCTTCTTGGAGTGTTTGAATCGATCTTGCCTCTTTGCTTTTGGTCTACTCTCTTCATTGTATTGATAGTCATCGAGGGCCTTGTAAAATGGGGCTCCTTCGCTTCGCTACGCGAGGCATGTCAGCGATTATTGTACCTTGGCGAACAGCTGATCAAATTTCAGCCTCAGTCTTGTTGGCCACCGTCGGCAGTGCTCTTCAGCTGACTTTTCCTCCCACCACATCCAACCGGATCCTGAAAATCTAAGCGATTGACGGGGTAGACCGTCATGGATTACCAGCGAGTCCTACAGCCAGGGGCAATTGGAGATTCACCCAATTCCGACACTCTTGAGGACAGCAGATGGACAACATATCAATACACCCCATTGAATGAAAGGAACCGAGAGTTTCGTCTGCTACGACTTCTCCCTCTACCAAAATCAGCACAAGTACCGCTTCAATGTCAAATCCTACACGTATCCCTGAATCGACACGAGAAAATCGAAGCCTACGAAGCAATCTCCTACTACTGGGGAGATCCCACCCCGAATTCCACCATCAACATCCAAGGAACTCGTCTGAATCTCCCCAAAAGTTCAGAAAGAGCACTCCGACGCCTAGCCCTTCCAAATACCGAACGACTCCTCTATCTAGATGCCGTCTGTATCAACCAAAGCGACTTGTCAGAGCGAGCAACCCAAGTCCAACTCATGGGAGATATATATCGCAATGCTCAAGCCACCACATTGGTCTACTTTGACGAGGGGACTTCCCAAACGGCCAGCCAAGCTCTCACTGATTTACGACTTCTACATCTCGAACTTCAAGAAGATTGTAAGCCCTACACTGCACTCTGGGATCTCGCATGGCGGGATGGAACAGTGAACAAGGCACGCCATCCTCCCAAAACACCTGTAAATTGGCACGCCATAATGGAACTCTTCCAATATCCCTGGTTTCGGTGAGGAAAATCCCCTCCCCCCTCTCCTAATAATAAACGAGAAAACTCACCCCAGAAATCCCTCCCCAGTCGAGTATGGGTCGTCCAAGAAATCGCCCTCGCAAAGAAATCCCTCCTAATCTACCACAACTCCTCAATCCCCATGACCTCCGTCCTCGACATAGCAATTTATCTCCGATTCCACCACGCAGACCACATCCCATCAACCCTCCACGAAACCCTCCAAACTCCCTCTCACATCTGGTTCATCCGTCTCAAACTCGCTCGTAAAACTCCCTCCTGCTGCAATTTACTCCTCAGTGAAATTCTCCCTTACTCCCACGGATTACAAGCTACAGATCCCCGGGATAAAGTCTATGGAATTCTAGGACTTTTATCAAAGGAAGAAGTACAAGAATTGCCCGTGGTGGATTATACGAAACCTATTGAGCAGGTTTTTCGGGATGCTACGAGGAGATGTTTTGCCGATCCGGATTTTCCTCTTGCGGCGTTTTCGCGCGTGTGGATTCGTGATTGGGAGGAGCTTCTTTGGGGGAGGAGGAGGAAGGGATTTCCTACTTGGGCGGCGAGATTGGAACTTTCGGGTAGGGAGAGTTTCGTGCCAAATTTGTTGCTTGAGCATGGAGGGGTTGGTACTGCTGCTGCTGGGGATGTGGAAATTGCGAGACGGGCGGTTGAGGTGGTTGGTGATGAGGCGGATGTGATTGTTTTGAAAGGGGTGGAGATTTGTCGTGTTGTGGAGATTGGTTCGTGTGCGTTGGATTGCTCGAGAGGAGGGGGGTTTGAGACTTTGAGGAGGTGGATCAGGGAAGCTGGGGGTATGGGGGAGGAATTCCGAGGATGGGAGAGTGGATTTGCGAGAACGTTGGTTGCTAATACATGTCATGTGGATAAACTCAGCGAGGAAAGGTATCATGTTGATCTTATGGCTTTGCTTGGAGAGGATGAGGGGATCCTGGGTGTTGGGGAGGATATTCAGGAATTTCAGAAATCGATTATAGGGGCTTGTCATATGCGGAAGTTTGCGATTATGAGTAGTGGGAAGACTGCTTTGGTTCCGGCTTTGACGGAAAGGGGGGATGAGGTGGTTATGATGCATGGGGCTTATATGCCTGTTGTGTTGAAAGCTGATGGGGAGAGTGGGGATTGGCTGCTTTTGGGGAATTGTTATGTGGATGGGTGGATGATGTGGCAGGAAAATGGAGGGAGACTTGAGCGGAGGTTGGAGGAGGAGAGTACGTGGTTTAGAATTCGATGAGGGTGGGATCAAGTTCTCTTTCGTTTTTTTGTGGAATGTGACTCTGATTTGAGAGGATCGGGTATGGAGATCCTCTGTGTAAATCATCCGGGTAATGAGGGAGCGAAGGAATGGATACGATCTAGCAGCTGCAAATACGTGTCGGAATGAAGCCACTGCGTATAGATCTACCGGACTCATATGCTATGCAATGAATGGATGTGGTCGTAGTAGATGGGTCGATGGCCATGTCCCTTGTACGACGAGCTGGTAGTCTAATCCCTCAGCTAGTCAATGTGGCGGCTACCCACTTCTCCATCAGCCTTTGGATTGCCACCCGGTCGCTTCCGAGTCTCTTGTTGATTGGTTTGGCTTCCTTGGCTTGCTCTAGAAAGACCTACGCATAATATGTACATAGGATAGGTACCCCCTAGATTACTAAGGGAAGGCGCAATATACACGCAAGGAATGAACATAAGAGCGTCTGAGAAGGAGGCAGTTTGGCGGTTCTAACATCTATTAAGACGGATTACTAGTAGTATAGTTCGGGAGGGGTGGACCGAGGGATATGTTTTCTTTGTGATACACAGGAAGATCCGAGCAATGTCTTGGCGCCTCTCCTCTGCCCCTAGGGCTTCTTCTTCTTCTTCTTCTTCCCAAAACGACAATGAAGATTGTTCACACCGCCCATTMTTCCGACAGAGTGCCTGAAAAAATCCTGTCAGCCAGGCGGACACCACATGGGCAACGAGCAATGGCAATCTGTCGTCCACGATGCATGTCTAGGTATGTCGAGATACTTCTCAGCCACCATGATCACGCTCTCGTCGTATTTCTTGACGGGTAGCTAGAAGTACCATCTGGACTATTGCTTTGTTCAGCGCTTCATTCAGAACCAGTGGATTGATAGAGTCAGTCGGATACAAAGAAGACAACAAAGAAGCGGTCCTCTATACAAAGGAGAACAAACACGCTTGTTCTCCAACAATGCCTACAATGCCAGCGAAGGCGAACAATGAAGCATCTCTCGCACTATAACCAAGCTCCCTTGTCCCATCTCGATTGCTCCCCCCTACAATTCTTCATTCCTCTCCCCTTCTCATACAACCCCCCACATCTATACACCACAATGACCAACCGCATCAACTTCGAAAAGGACAACTACATCATCAAAGAGCTAGGAGAAGGTTCCTACGGAAACGTATACGCCTCCATCCCCAAACCCCTCGCCGATCAAATCCTCGCAGAGCGAGCACAATCATCCGACCCCCTAGCAACCCAAACCGCCCTCACACAACTCCGAGCGAGCGTGGAAGCAGCGAAAATTTCAAAAGGCGGCATCAGCTTCGGTCGTAAACTCAATTGTATCGCAGAAGTTGACGTCCTCCAGACATTAGAAGCAGGAGCCCATCCCAATATTGTCCGTCTACGGACCGCGGATCCTTCATCTTCTCATGGCTGGTTCACCCTCGAGCCCCTGGCGGGCAAGACCTTTCTCGAATTTCTCCATCATTTCGATGGCGCCAATAACTCTCCTCCTACTACTACACGACCGCCACCACCACCACAGGTAAGTCTCGGCTGGCATATCCTCTTCCAACTCGCCGAAGCTTTTCTCGCGCTACATTTCGGATACAAAGGGCAAGGATTTCTCCCTGGAAGTAGTAAAAGAAGAACTTTCGCGCATTCGGATCTATCCATGTCTAATATCATGTTTCGTCCGCGAGGGATATATCGGGATTATCCCGATGTAGTACTTGTTGACTTGGGTAATGTAGTAGAATTCACGTCCGAGGACGAGGGAGGAATCCCATCCCCTTCTTCTTCTTCCTCAAGAAGAATCGCATTACAATCCCGAGACGTCCTAGCAGCCGTACGAATCCTAACGAGTATATTCAATCGAACAGGAAATATCCCCCTTCGAAATACTCTAGAAAGACATATCTTCTCAACGAGCACAGGGAATGGTAAGACCTCGAATTTCCAAACTTCAGCGGAATACTTACAGTATCTGATTGATATGCGAGACGAAGCTTTTCGTGAACGAGAGAGACTTTATGAACCTCTTGCTGAGGATCTTGTTTGGTATTTTGAGGCGGATCAGGAGATTGTTAGTGATGCGTGGTTGGGGAGATGTTTTCCTGTGCTGGCGCAGGGGAGGAGGGTGAGTCCGCGTCAGGAGGCCCTAAGGGTTAGGCGTGGGTTGGGGTTGTGAAGTGATGTGCCTCCGGTAGGTTCGTCATGTGTGGTGAATAGGGATTGGTGGCTGCTGGTCAGCTGAGTTGGTTGATCCCACCAGGTAAGTAAGTAATATTTCAGTTCTTTACAATTTTTTCTTCACAAAAGAGCCGTTATCATTTCTTGATTTATCTTTCAGTCTTCCGAGGTATAACGCAGAAAGAATAGCTCTAAGTGATGTGAATTTGGTTACCTCGCTCAATACTTTGCGAGAATAGGGGTTGATCAGTTCGAGCCATCTCAGGATAATTGCACCATGAATTTTCTTTTATGTGGGAAGTGAATAAATGGTTGCATGACCAGAGGGACACAACCTGCAATATAGAAGCCGAGTTTCTGCAAAATCATAGAGGCTGGAGAAGAGCGAGGTAATAAAGGTGTCGTACGCGAGGAACGGGTGATTTCAACAAAGGACAAATGGATAGCGGTCGTTATACGTCTTCCCTAGAGACTCATCGTTTTCCTCGTCCTAAAAATCTCGTTTACCTCGTCGCTACTACTCAGTGCAGCATGACCCTACTATATAATAGCACTCTTTGTCTTTAGCTTCGTCCTCCTTATCCCTCCTAGGCTCTAGCACTATATTCTTTAACCCTACACTCCTTTCCCAGCTCTTCATCCCCACCTTTTGCTTCCTGCCAACCATATCCAGAATCTACAACAACACCATACTTTTCTCCTCGTGTCGCTTTCAAAATTCGTTCATTTCCCTACTAATATACATGCCTCCTACTAAGCCAATTCCATCTCCTATATCGACTTCCAATCGAGTCGGCTCATTAAAGTACTTACCTTTTTATACCTCCTGAGAATAAATTCTATGCTCGACTAGAGGCTGTACTCCCATCTTCTATCTTCCTCCTCTTCCTCCTCCTCTTCCTCTAACTCCCTATATTCCCTCCAAAAATCCCTTCTACTCAAAAAAACCCTACCTCCTCCTTCTTCCGAATCAAAGCCCAACCCAGGCAAAAATTACACTCCAAATTCTGCCTGAGCCTTCGACCTTAAATGCCTCGTAGGCCTCTTTAAGATATATCGGCATGTCGGCATGTTGGCATGTTGGCATGTTGGCTAGAGACTATAGTTATAGTGGTGATTGGATGTAGCAGCGGTTGGATATTTCTAAGAATATCAAGGTGCGGAAAATATGGGATATGCATAAAGGGCGTGTGGATTGGTGAGTGAGTGATCAAGTACCTACCTCTACTAGTATCGCGTCTTATTTGTACATACCTAGAGATTTCTATAGATCAGACAGGATCACGAGAGGAATACCTACGTTATAACAAACAGGGACCCTTGAGGGAAAAAGGAAGAGGTATGTGTGGAATTTCGTGTGGTATGTGTACTTATACTGCACTATACTGTATGTAGCATGGATTATTTGCAGTTGAGTTTGTTTCCGCTGCAGAGCACCTATCTACACGAATGGAGAGTCTTCAAGAGATGATGAAGATTGCATTCATTCGGTGCTTATGTTCCGGCGTCTTGTCTTCTATAGACTTCCTATCTTTACCAAACACCTCGAGCTCCACCAGAACAGCGCGTTCCGTAGGTCAAAGATCACACATCCCATCCCATCCCCTCCCTCATCTCCTACTTGACACTCCCCCGAAACACCCTAGCCAACCTCTCCCCCYCCCCCTCATCCCTCAACCTCTGCGACAAAACCCCCCTCAAATCCTCCCAAAACTCCTCCGTCTTCAACATCTCCTGCACCCCATCATCCTGATGCAAAACATTCTGCTCCTCAGCCTGCGCCGCCACTTCCTCACTATCCGGCGCACCTGTCCTCTCAGCTGAATCAATCTCCATGGCATCTCCCGTCGTCGTCGCAGGCGCAGGAACAGTCGCATCAGGAGTAGGAACTTTCTCCACCACAGCAGGWCTCCCCGATCGTGACACCGCTCCAGCCATCAACATAACACTGAGTTCTACATCCCCCTCAACACCCAAATCCTTCAGCGTCTTGAGATCTCCCGCGGGTTTTTTATGCAAGAGAAGTTTAATCTTCTCCTGTTGTAAACCTGATTTCGCCGCATATTCAATTTTGATTTCGTGGATGGTAGTATCGAGAGTTATGTTCGGGAGAGTGACTGTTTCGCCTGATCGCATGGGTTTGAGGGAGACGGAGATGGATTTCGATTGCGCGGTTTGGGTGGATGTTGGGCCCGAGGTGCGGGGGAAGGGGTGGGTGGCGCGGGGGAGGGTGTACTGTATAATGCATTGTTAGATTACTTAGTTGGGAAGGGGATGGGGATGGGGGATTTCAAGGACATACGGGACTTTGGTTGGGATATTTGCGAGGATCACTGATGTGGTCTGGGGCGAGTTTGATGGGTCGCTTGTCTAGCGTTGCTAGGAATTGTTTGGCAAAGGTGATTTCTGACATGATGTGCTTTTGGAAGGACGAGTAGAGGGTGGTGTCCAGGTAGGAATCCAGTTTGGCGGTGGAAGATGTTGTTGTTGGTGATGTCACGGAAATGTACGGGAGGTGGAGGTGGAGGTGGAAGTGAAGCTGATGATGGATGTGGAGTCATGTGGCCCGAGCTTCGAGATATCCAAGAAATGAAATGGAGTACGTGGTACATGTCATCTACATGATGAAAGGTCGAAATATTCAGCCTTCAATTGTTGTTGACGGCTCGTCTTCGCCTACATGAATACATTACAGTGCGTCATGCTTCCATCAAGACTGACACGAGCACATCATCATCGACGTGCCACATGCTTCACATCATTCCCATGCCCCGTATTATTAAAATGTCTCTTCAAGTCCTTTCGAAACTGAAAGATATGCTCACACTCATCACATTGGTGTTGCCATTGTTCTCTTCGATGCACCTTTTCATGCTTGGTTCGATGTCCAGCGAGAGAAAATGATTTGTTACATCCATCAAAAGTGCATTCGTATTCTCCAGGTGGAAGTCGCTTCCTCTTGGAGGCTTTCCTTTCGGTGCCATCCTCGGCATACACWTCAGATCCGCGGCTGGTATTGGAGGAGGAAGAGGATGCATAACCGGATGGAGACGAAAGCGACWTGAATGCGACCTTATCACAGCAAGGCTTTCCGGATTTGATTGGATCCAGTTTGGTGCGTGGGTTGTGACACGACCGGGACTGATCAAATGTGACGGTTTCGCCAGATGTAGGACAGGGCTCTTGCACGTGGACATCGGCGCACAGGCTAGCCATGGCGAGTGGACGACAAACGTACTTGAAGCAGTCAGGCAGTGCAGACACCGCCAATGCTGCATGAGCAGGATCGTAGAAGCGTACTCTAAGCTTGTACCGGAGTGGATGTGGGCACGGTGATACAATCGCCGAGGACGTGTATGCGCCAAGCTCGAGAAGTCGCTGAATGAGACTTTCATGGAGGGTAGTCAAAGTCGAAGGGTCTGAGATTGAAGTGCTCTGATAAGTGACCAATCTTGGGTTGATGGCCATGTGGTAATACCTGCCGGGTCTGGCCATATTCCTGCAGCCCTTTTGGTGGGTGAATGGAATGATGTCAGGTTTGGATATGAGTATTCGCTTGCTCTTCCCTGTCCCCAAACTCATATGTGACAATCGTCGGATGTGTGCCATGGTGTGAATGGCATTGCGTTGCCGGGAGTTTAGAAGGCCAGTGAGAAACGTCGAGCGGGAATCGTCGGCCTCGAAGCATGTCAACTCTTCATGATATCGCGTTTGCCAGTCTCCGACATCTTCGGCTGTCCAGGAATCGTCCGACGTATCAACAAGATCAGAGCTCACTTCCTGCTGTGGAACTTTGAGATCATCCACCACGCGCCATGGAATGATAGATGGACCAGGCGGGGTAGCAACAAGTCGGTGGTGTTGGGCCATGATGTGAAGAGTGCGAACTTTGACAAGCTCGAGGATCGYAATTCGAACGAAGCAGTCGGTGACTGTGGCATCTTGAAAGTCCCCTCAAGCATTTATATGCATGCTGCCGCCATTTGGAAGCATGGTGGCGGCCATGCAGCTTCCCGTGTGAGCTGTGAGCTGGCAAGAGACTGACAGCTAATCTCAATGCACCATTGCAGCGCGATGCAGTGACTGAGCCGAGTGTTTGGGAAAGCTAACGGCGGGGTACTGTGGAGTGATGGGAAGATAAGGCGTGTGGTGGTATGCATGGACAGCTGCTAAGGATGAGAAGGTGCTTCACTGCCCCGTCCACTAGCCTGGACTAGCTCCGCCGTCAACGATGCACGCTTCGTAAATACCTATGCACCTTCATGTCAAAGGACGGACGACGCGAATATTGATCGTCAATGGAGTGCAGGTGACGCCTTCTTCTCCAGCCCTCAGCATGAAGCTGGCGGAACTGATGAAAAAAAAGTGAACAACACGACTTAGAGGGACGCTCCCGCGACCTCGTCACCCAAGCCACGCGAAAGCGCAGACGACAGGCATGGCAGACATAACCCGTAGTACCGTCCCACGAGCTTCTAGGTTCCTACGGCGGTACCAGACCGTTTTTTGCGTCTTGTTCTTGTTGATGTTGAAAGTGAAGATTGCATGGGAAGTTGGGTCTTTTATGTTCGACGCGCCAGTAAGATAAGGTTTGAGCTAGCGTGCTACAGCTCGCGCAAACGTGATCAGATTACCTCAACTCCATCCATAGCTTCACATGAAAAACGAAGGGAAGTTCAATCGCTTCCATAGTCATCCCCTCCAACATGGCGGCGCTTTACAACCTCGAACCGCAACCTACAGCCAAAGTCATCCTTCGCACTACCTCCGGTGACCTCACCCTCGAGCTCTTCGCCAAACAAACCCCTCTCACCTCGCGCAATTTCCTCCAACATTGTCTCGATGGCTACTACACCAACACAATCTTCCACCGTCTGGTTCCGGGCTTCATCATTCAAGGTGGAGATCCCACAGGGACAGGATCAGGTGGAATCTCTGCGATCAACGACGGGGATGTCTTTCAAGATGAATTTCACAGTCGATTGAAGTTCAATCGGAGAGGATTGCTGGGCATGGCGAATGAGGGAAAGGATAGTAATGGGAGTCAATTCTTCTTGACGCTGGGAGTGACGTCGGAGTTGCAGGGGAAGAATACCATGTTTGGGAGGATTGAGGGTGATACGATTTATAATTTGATGAAGATGGGTGATGCGGAGTTGGCTGAGGGAGAGGGGAGTGAAAGACCTTTGTACCCGACGAAGATTACAGGCACGGAGATTTTGGTGAATCCTTTTGAGGATATGGTTGCGAGAGCGAGGGAGGCGCCGAGGAGTGCGGTGGAGGAGGGGAAGAAAGAGGTTAAGAAGAGGAAGAAGCCGGTAGGGAAGAATGTCTTGAGCTTTGGTGGTGGGGAGGAGGGGGAAGAGGTTGCTCCTGTGTTGAAGAAGGCAAAGGTGAATCCCAACTTGGTGAGGCTTGAAGAGGATGCAGAAGAGGTCAAGGAGAAGTCTGCGCCAAAGAAGAAGAAAGAACAGAAGAAGCACGTTGAGGTGGAGCAGGATGATGATGATGATGATGTTGAAGAGCAGCCCGCACCAGTCCGAAAACCTGCAGTTCCATCAGAAACCAACCAAGAAGACGAAGACATGGACTCTGAACCAGAAGAAGTTTCCAAGCCCTCCCGTAGCAAATTGGACTCCACAAACGCCGAAATCGCAGCTTTGAAAGCAAGCATGAAACGTACCGTCGACCCCGAATTCAAAGAGAAAGAAAAGCCAAAATCCGCACTAGAATCACTCATCCCAGAGACATCCACGCGAGGCCGCAAACGAGGCAAAGTAGCAGACGAGCAGGGCGCCATAGACCTCTTCAAAGCCTTTAAACAACGCCTAGAAACCCTCCCAGTAGATGACAATCAAGAAACACCCGCGACAAAACTAGCAGAAGCACCCACAACAACAACCACCACCAACAACAACAACGACGATCAAGCAGAAGATGACGAGGAAGCAGCACTCTGCGACCTACATTTCATCGCCAATTGCCAATCCTGTAAAATCTGGGACGAAGGCGACCAGAAACCCGAAGGGGAAGCGAATGGAGACGGGGAAGATGATCCCGGCTGGATGGCGCACAAGTTATCTTTTGCAAAGGATACTTTGGGCAAAGATTTGGAGTGGAAGAGGAAAATGGCGGAAATTGAAGTTATTGATCCGAGGGAAAAGGCTAGGGTTATTAAGGAGGAATCTAAGAGGAATAAGAGTAAGGGGAAGGGGAAGGAGGGTCGGTGAGATTTACCTTCGTCTTTCTTTCCTCTCTTCTTCTTCTCTCTCCGGTGTTTTGATGTGGTTTCTGGATGATTGAGATGCTTTATCGTGGGGTCTACTTGTTCCTGCCTCTGAGTTTACGCTCCTCTTTGGACTTGTAGCTTCAGAGTCTTATCATGCCGAAACAATGAATGATGGGATTGGTAGTAGGAAGAAGTAAGTCAGAATTTTGTCAGATCTCTCACAAATCCTCCTCTATCTACTCAATGTGTCCTTTGATATGTTCTTTGAAGCTTTCGTTCCTTTCTTGTTCAGGATTCTGATCTTTYATCAGAATAATGTGCTCTGAATATTAGATCGGATTACTAGCGATATCGAAGATGTTTATCCTTGTAAGCGTTAATGGGGGGGTTGGATAAGGGTGTGGGGGATGTTAACGATATCCATATCTCCTTCGTTTCGAGTGTTATGCTTAAGAAGTATGAATTTGAATATAGTTCCCTAGACTACCAACATGCGTAGGATTTTCCATGGCATCTTCCGACGCTTGATTTGGCGAAGACAAGAGCTCTTGGCGCCGTTTGATATCGACGTCATCGCGCATTTCGCAAGGCTGGATTTCTGAAGCATCGACGTTTCTTGATGTCTTGGGACTTGGTCACCTCGAATGGCCTGGCGGGTGTAGTCAAATGGCATCGCGGCTTCTTCAGCTAGCATGAAGAAGGGATAGTCTCGGCGACCTGGACAAGGTAAGATGTATGCACTCGCTGCGATGCCCAAGTTCCTCCAATCTGCTTTTTACGCCCATAAAGCGTCTTTCACGTGGCAGCGAGGACGCGTCGAATCACGTCTCGGCATTGACTAGGCATGCCCAGAAAATGCTGCAATGCTCAGCTCATTGCTCCGAGGAGCGCCAAGTTCATCGTTCAAAAAGTCAAGTACATGTCGCGATGATGTCCCCCATAATGCTCTTCCAAACAAGATCTCTCCTTCGAAATCATGACAGACTCCAATCGTCCTAGTGATTCAGGAATTGAGAAGAAGGACTCTGACCTCTCAGATGAATCTCAAACACTCCATCATCTCGGCCGAACCACCACCTTACAAGATCTCGAACCCGTCATTGACGACGACTTCATCCCATTGTCCGACGATGAGATCAACAAATTCTTCGACGCTCTAGACATCAACAAGAACGGCCTCGTAAACTTTGAAGAACTCGAAGCGAAACTCCGCCAAGCACACCAGGAACTCGCCCCGGAACCCCAAGCACACCATCTCCTCCACCCGTCTCGCCGCGATGCAGAAAAAGGTCTCTCTCACAAAGGAGGCGATGGTTTGCACAAATTTCTCTGCCACATCATGCCCGAGTGCGGTTCGGAATTGAACCGTGAAGAATTCGTCAAACATGTTCGAAGCTGGAATGTTCCGAGCCAAAAGGGCGCGAAAGATGCTCATAAAGAGGATGTTGAGCAGGAAAAGAAACTTCCTTTTCGACGTCGCGTTCGTGCGTACTGGGCTGTTCATGGACCGAATATTATCTTTCTGGCGATTGTCGTTGCGTTCATCATTGCTGCTGGACTCTGGCAATGTTTGATCTATGTCACGAATCCTGGAGCACGCGCTGCCTTGGGCTGGGGAATCATCGTGGCGAAACTTAGTGCTGGGGTGATATATCCTGTCATGGCCTTCATGCTTTTGAGTATGAGTAGATGGTTGAGCACATTTCTGAGGAGATTCTGGACCGTGTCGAGGTTTGTGAATTGGGATCTCAGTCAGAGTTTTCATATCTATATGAGTTGTGTTGGATTGGGGTTTGCTACTTTACACGCCATTGGACATCTCACGGGCGATTTCTTATACTCGACGAGATCGGGACAGCAGGATGATCTGGTGGATTACTTTGGTCCGGAAATTCTACCATTGACGTATGGAGACTGGGTGCGAAGTCTACCGGGATGGTCTGGAATTACCTGCATTCTTCTCTTCTGGACCATCAGTCTGATGAGCTTACCCATCATTCGAAAGAAATCCTACGAAGCCTTCCAATTGGCTCATCTGCTCATGTTCCCATTAATAGGTCTCCTCTGCGCACATGGAACCGCACATCTTCTACAATCACCAATGTACGGCTACTGGATCGTCTTCCCAGCCCTTCTGGTCATAGTAGAGAGAAGCTGGCGCCTCATCTCAAGTTTCATCCGCTTGCCCGCGGAGCTGAAAATCCTAGACGACGAAACCGTCGTCATAACCTGCAAACACCCTCGAGGTAAAGACTACAAGTACGCCGCCGGCCAATACATTCTCGTCCAAGTCCCGCAGATTTCCCTCTTCCAATGGCATCCCTTCACTATTTCTTCCTGCCGTGGCAACGAACTACAAGTCCACATCAAAGCGGACGGGGACTGGACGAAGAAGTTACGAGATGTAGAGACTGATAATGGATGCTGTTCCATCAAAATCGGTCTCGATGGGCCTTATGGAGCTCCCGCTCAAAGGTTTTACGATTACGACTATTCCATCATCGTAGGCGGCGGGATAGGAATCACGCCCTTTTCCGCCATCCTCACCGATCTCGAAGAAAGCTTCTCCGAATCACGCGATCCTTGGGATGATGATGATGATGATGGCTCCCGCAGAAGAAAATCCAGAGATAGTCGCCGAAAATCCCTCTCGCGTCCAGGCTCCCGCACAGTCTCTCGACTCCGCTCTCGCCATTCCAGCCGCACTGGCCATACCCGCGGCCCCTCCCCTACAAACAACAACAACAACAACACCCCCCCTCACCACCATCTCCCTACCCCAACCCGTCGAGTCGACTTCCACTGGACAGTCCGCGAGAAGAACAATCTCCTCTGGTTCTCCTCCCTCCTAAACCGAGCCATCACGAACGCAAATCCACTCGCTCAACAAGGAAAATTGCATCTGAATATCAACACACACATCACTGCGAAAAGAAATGATCTCTCTGTGCATATTTTTCGATATATCCTCGATGGTTATCGGACTAAGGAGGCTCCTTTTTCGGCGTTGACGGGTTTGAAGCAGAGGAGTCATTTCGGAAGGCCGGATTTTGGGAGGATTTTGGAGAGGCATTTTGAGGAGGTGGTTGGGGAGGGGGGGTGTAAGGTGAAGAAGGTTGGGGTTTTTGTAAGTTTTTTTTTCTTGTTCTTGTTCTTTGTCATGGTGTTGATGTTTGTGTGCGTGGAATGGAGAGAGGATGAATTGCTAATGTTGGCTTTTTTTGGCAGTACTGTGGAGCGCCTGTTGTGGGGGAGATTCTTTCGGATACTTGTCATGAGCTTACTGTTCGTGCCAAGGGCGAGGGATTGGATATTAGATATGATTTCCTCATGGAGGTTTTTGGTTGAAAGTTGGATTTTTACTGTTTGATTTGTGTGGTGAATTGCTGCTGTGTGTGTCGATGGCGATGGCGTTGTGGAAGCTGCATTTGAGCGTGCGTAATAAATACTCCTTGTAAGATGTATGAGGAATCATGAACCGTCATATGAACGAGGGATGGACTGCAATGCGGACATCCATTGGGGGGGACCTCTGACTTGTTCGCTTTTGATGTTTGAATGTAACATCCTGTCCCATCAACAGCAAACTCGAAACTCTCCTAAAGTATCCCGCCGAGCTCGATACCATGCCAGATAAGAAGTCCACGCAGCCAGAGAGATTCCAGAATGTACCAACTCGTATCCACACATCGTCGTCGTCGAAATCGAACCTGGAATCCTCCGCATCATGAGCATTGTCTTTTTTTTTTGTCTCTCTGCACTTATATAGCAATAACCAAGTTATCGGATCTATCATAATCCTCCGACCGCTTTAGATCCCACGTCGAAAAGCATCGTAATATGTTGGGAAGGCAACGATGTTGGAGTACGATAATGTCTAGAAGACGATAGTATAAAGAGGTGTGTAGGGTCGGAGGAGAAGGTAAGGTATTTATTTTGTAGTATCGTGCGGGCCGTCGGTAGTTGTAATCTAACTAACTAGCGTAAACCTAGCGGGAATTCAAGTGAATGAATATATTCTAGTTTGCACATCTTTACATGTATGTTGTCTTCTAAATAAAACGGGAACAAGAAATGAGACCTAATGATACTAGTTTTCCGGTGCATTGAAGAAGGTGCGCAAGAGTAAAAGAACATAGATACGAAAGTCGTAAACGAAGACCTTCCTATAGTCCAATTCTAGCTACGAATGTCAAGGAGTCGGATAGAGCAATGCTATAACAAGCAGATAGCATCGAATTTAAGAGCCGGCTTACATACATACCGGTAGAAACGACTTGAAAACAAAAACACAAAGCAGTCAATGTCGGAAAATTTTAAGCCAACTTCGCGTGACATTCTATAAACCTTTACAGTGAGTGTCCTTACAAATCGCCCGCTCAAGCGTAAATAAGCACGGAAAGGTCCTTCTAATAAGGGACTAGAAGACGTATAGTACTAGCTTAGAAGCCGCCTCGTTCGTGCCTAGTAATCCGACAAGTCCCTTTTAATAAATATAACTCGTTTATCGACCGACTAGATAGGCAGCCAAGCCTCATCAATGTGTTGTGTGTACCGAGATTCAACAGACAAGTGTCGGTAGATGAGTATGAGAAGAGCCGGATGCAAGATACATACCAGGAAAGACTGTTGCCGGAAAGTATTGAATTCATCAAGAATTCATTGCGGTGTTGTCATCGAAGCGCCTCTTCACGCCGGCACAGGCCAAACAGCAGGACTTTTCCCCCCATCCTTCCCAACAGCCCGAACACCAAGCTGAACATTATCCTTATTCAACGCAACCGTAACATTACCAACCTTCCCCAACTCCATACTATGCGTCCACTGAACATTCGTACTAGGTCTCCATACAAGCTCATATCCCTCAACCAGGGAATCATTCCCAACATTCCACCTCAACATACTATCATTGTTAATGAGTTCCACAGGCGTATCTCGGCTGCTCGCGGGAAATCCCACGGTTCTGGAGATTGTGACATTCGTGGGTGCTGCGGGGGAATTGGCAGCGGACCACATGCTCGCGAGGTTCACTTTGCTCACTCGCGCGACGTAGTGGAAATCGACGAATTCGAGTAAATCGCCATACACGATGCCGTCTTGTTCCCGAGGATCTTGGTGCTCGTGGACGAAATTCTCCACGGCTTCTGGTGAATCGCACGGCGGGAAAATCCCTCGAGTAGGAAAGATTGATGGTCACCTCCACGTAGGTAGCGGTCGGGACGATAAATGAGTGCGACTTGCATGCCGACATACTTTGCAGCCCCTGCGGTGACTTCGGCGATGTATCTGCCGAGGTTTTTGAGCAGGAGRGTCGTTCCAGCCTCCAGTTTGAGCCACAGTCCGGAGTGCAGCGGCGCTCGAGGCATTGGGGAGGAATTGAGAAGCGCCAAAGAGACGGATGGTGTAGTCGTTGATGGGCTCAAAGGGTTGAGACTTGCCCGTTCCTACAATGTCGTTGTTCCAATTGCCGGCGACATAGACGCCTCGTTGTTTTAGCGTTTTTGCGAGATTAGCAGAGCCGTACAGACCCTGCTCTTCTCCAGCTACTGCAGCAAAGATCATTGTGGCTGCAGGCCTCTTCTTCGCGCATGCACGAGCCATTTCAATCACGACTGCTACCTGTAGAAGAACCACGAGTCAGCGAGGAATGATAATAATTTAGATCTACCACTCACTCCAGTTGCATCATCATTCGCACCAGGAGCATCCCCCTCATAATCCAGCGGGTCAAGACGCCGACTGTCATAGTGTCCAGTCACCACATAAACGCGATCCGGATCGACAGTGCCCCGAACTTCGGCCACGACATTACTAATGTTGACCGGGAAAGTGATACGATTACCATCCACTGGCTGAATGTAGCTGTTGAGGTAAACACTCATGCTACCATTCGAAGGCTCGGCTATTTCTTGCATCTCCTTGTAGATCCAGTCTCGAGCGGCGCCAATACCGCGTGTACTGGAGTTCTGGGAAGATAGTGTGTGTCGAGTTCCAAAGTCAACCAGACTACTGATGATGTGCTCGATTCTATCCTCATCGATTTCGGCCAGCATTTCCTGAAGCTCCTTGCTTGGTGTTTGAGGCTTGATAGGTTTGCCTACAGCAGGTGTTGGCGGCCAGCTCGCGACTTGAGAGGATCCCCATTGTCCAAAGGGCTGGTATATGCTGCCTGGTAAGCCCATCCATGTTTRGCTGTAGCTTCCAAATAATGATTGTGCTTCCAATATGGGAGATAGGGCCGCAAGCACAGCCAAGTGTTGCAACATGACAGTCTTACAGCAGATGGTCTGTCGGGGTTGATATAGAGGAAGAATGGAGGATTCGAAGGCAAGGGTACTATGTAAAGGGAACCCGTTTATACTTGACCCAGTCGGCCGATGTCACATTAGCCATGTCCGGGATGTCTGGATAAGGTGCTATCAGCTAGTCCAGCACTGGAAGCAAGCGCGTACTTCTCAACGGAACATCCACAGATGTTGTTGCATCATMGGAAGTATAGCAAGGTGGACGACTGCCTACAATGGCCTAGTAAATCATGACACTGCTACCTGACATTGCAAAACGAGCCACTCACCGCTGGTAGAGAACATCCGCGAAAGCGGTGATCCCAGTCGTCTAGACTATTCTACTGGATCGGCCGTCGGTCAAAAATCGTTGTCATCGGAGCAGAGGTTGCCGGTAACTCCATCGAAGTTGAATACTTCCAGGTTGCCACGAGGTGCCATGTAACGAGCGGTCGCATCTGTCTAACGAGCTTCCTATTTGGGCAGCCAAGCGCGCTGCTGATCCACACAAGCGTCTGGGCTCGGCGGGTGCTTTGGCATGATTATTACTCCACCTTGCTCGGACGCAGCAGGCGATGAAGCGGTCCAAGATAAGAAGCAACCTCAGCGGGATAGTTCCAAGGCAGACGTCATTCCTTTGCGGTGTCAGATGCAGTGGGTTGAGCGTATGATGTGGGTTGTGGTTGTATATTTCTTGACCAGAAGACTTGAATGTAACTGCGCTGTACTTCCTTTCATCTTCCGTTGGGCATCTCTACATGCTCTTCATGTTAATATCAAGATGATACAGTTCGAAGTACTGTACTCCGTACCCTGACCTCGGCCAGTGTTGGGAGCAAGGATGTTGTCGTCAGCATGGTGGGATCAAATGAGGGGAGCCCTCGCAGGGCATCAAGACCCGAGCCATGGTCCGGATGGCGTTGACGCGAGAATTATCGATATTTTCATCGTGCAGATGTCGGAGGGATGGATATATTTGATGCTCGTAACAATCTGATCAACAAGTTGAATGTGAGTGTCTTTCTTTGTGTGAGGTTGTAAGGTGGAGTGACTGGAGCTGAAAGGAGCGTGGGAAGCGGGAGGTCTTCCGTCTTCTTCGTCATCGCAGCCAAGGTCCATTCCGAGAGCATCAAGATTTCAATTAATCACCCAGTACATCGGCGTAAAACGGTGCTCAGTACCACGCCTGCTGGACATTACGAGGGAGTGTCTTGAGCGAGGGTATCGTCTGGCCACCAATGTGCTAGCCATACACTTCCCCTTCACGCCTCCGGCGGCATGTATCTCCCAGCATCGTCCGCGTCGGCGGCATTACCCGACCTTGTCATCGCTATCCAGAGGAGCGAGATTGGCGGCTGGTCCAGCCTGATAGGAGTCGTGTCTGCCATTATTGGGAATATTCTCATCTCCTTTGCCCTCAACACCCAGCGATATGCGCATCTACGATTGAGCAGAGATAAGGAAGCGGCACGGCAGGAAAAGCGCAGGGCTGCGAAGAAGAGATCCCTCCACAATTATGGGACCACGACTCCGACGAATGGTGGAGGCGGAGGCGGAGGCGGAGGCGGAGGGAAGCATGACGGCAAGGACTACGCGCTGGGCCGCCGCATCGACAACGACGAGACGAGGCCGTTGATGTCAAGAAGCGACTCTCCATCGTCGACTCTAGCTTCCTCGCAGCAGGATGAGAAGGATGACGAGGAACCCAAGGAAAAATCCTATCTACAATCGCCCATCTGGTGGGTCGGCATTGGCTTGATGGTGACGGGAGAGATTGGAAACTTTTTGGCGTACGGCTTTGCGCCTGCATCCATCGTGTCACCACTGGGCGTGGTGGCGCTGATCTCCAACTGTCTCATTGCGCCACTCTTGCTGGGCGAGAAGTTTCGATGGCGAGACGCGATTGGCGTGTTGATTGCCGTGGGTGGATGTGTTGTTGTCGTGCTAAGCGCGAGCGACAGCAATCCCAAACTCACCCCAAAGGCCATTTGGCATCTCGTCACCCGATGGGAGTTTGAAACATATCTCGGAGTCACTTGTGGCCTCATCGTTGTGTTGATGCTGGCCAGCAACAAATTTGGAGAAAAGACTATTCTCATCGACATTGGTCTGGTTGGTCTCTTTGGTGGCTATACGGCACTTTCAACAAAAGGTGTCGCCTCGTTACTGACCTACAGTATCTGGAGAGTCGTCACATTTCCCATCACCTACCTACTTGTGGCTGTGCTTGTATCGACTGCCATCATGCAGATCAAGTACATCAACCGGGCACTTCAACGCTTCAATGCTACCATGGTCATTCCAACCCAGTTTGTAATGTTTACGATATCTGTCATTGTGGGAAGCGCTGTGCTGTACCGCGATTTCGAACGACAAACACCCGAGGACGGCATCAAGTTCGGCTGTGGGTGTGCTCTGACATTCTTCGGCGTCTGGTGCATTACATCCGGGCGGAAAAAGGACGGCGATGAACAGGATGCGAGGATTGAAGAAGAAGATGAGGAATCACTGCTAGACGCGGAGAGAGCCATGTCTGAAATCCGTGATCATGAGGGAGGCGATGCAGCGAGACAAACATCAGTCGCGGTGTCGTCCGATGGGGCGCCGTCAATCCGGCGTTATCATTCAGCAGATGTCGGATCCCTCCCGAAATCCCTCGCAAAGGTCCCGACCTTCAATACTCCCGTCGCAACGAAGGATGTTGACGTCCAGCCTCTTGCCGACCAGGTTCATGACATGCAACCTGCGAATGAGAGCGCCGTTCACGTCGAGTCTGCTGCACCTCTTCTTCAGCATACTGATCCAAATAAACGACCTCCACTGCATGCCACCACTTCCGCGCCCATGCAACCCACAACGTCCAACTCCAACACCGCCTTACGACCGAAGACTCCCTTAACGAGAACACCAACAGGACCAGCTGAAAGCCCAGCAAGAGCCTCTCCAAGCCGCACGCAATCCAGTGCTGCTCCACGACTACTATCTCGACGCTCAGCGGTTGGTCTATTCCCCAGCGCATTGACAAGTCCGCTCAGCGGATCTTTGAGTGCCATCGTAGCGGATGAACTTCGTCGTGGGATTGACAGATCTCCCTTGGCTAATGTCTCCATGGCAAGGCGGCGGTCCGCAAAGGGAACAAATCCACCTCGAAGAGCTACGAATGAGTATGGTGATACAAGGCCAGACCTAACTCAAGGCAGACCTGCACACAGTAAAACTAAATCCATGGCAACTGGTGGCACTCTGCTTGATTTCGAGCAAGGCACCACCGGTTTGAATATCAACGGAAGGAGACCGAGTACAGCAATGTCTGATGTATTCAACTCCGGTGCAGGCGCTTCTAGTCTTAAAAAGCAGCGTACGTGGGATGTTCAAACCTCGCAGAATCTCGCTCCGGCGTTTGAGGAGGAAGATTCGCGTAATTCGTGAAGTTGTAGGATGGTCGAGATGGTGTGGATGTGGAGGATGAACGATAGCTATTGCTATGGAGGAGTCTTGCGTCGCTATGATTGATATCTTGTAACAGCAATACACAGACTCGTGACAGAAGAGTGAGGTGCATGCATGGATGGAGGCGTTTGAGGCATTCATTATAGATGGATTTTTTTAGTTGGTAATGGATGATGTGATGTGTACGAGGGGATCTACTTTTTGTACAGCGAGTGTTATGATTAGGAAGGAGTACGATAAACCTATCTCTTGTATAAGCGAATCCAGCTACATGCTGTTTGAACATTAGTCATCGTGCTAATAGCGTGCAATCCCTTCTTCCTTCCTACCAGTCATCAATCAATCAACTAGGCACATACGAAGCATCCATCCTCTACCAACACAACTCACCACCACCAATTTCCACCCCACCTCCCTTCCTACACCCCACACCACAAAYACAATGTCATCATCACCACCACCACAAAAATTCCAAATCCTCCCCCTACGCGAATCAGACATTCCATCCTGCGTCTCAATTTACTTTCAAGCTTTTACAAACCCTCATTCTCAAGCTTGTTGGCCTCGAATTCCTTCTGTGAGAAATTGGTGGGAAGGGATGATTTCTTCGGAATTGCATGAGGATGGGGCGTTTTGGATTAAAGTCATTACTACCACGGGGAGGGAGGGGAAGGGGGAGGGGGAGATTATTGTTGGGTTTGCGAAATGGTGGGATTCCTTTTTTCTTTCTATTCAACCCTTTCTTTGATGGATGGATGGATTGTGTGGATGGATACATGGACGCTAATTTTGCCATATAGGATTGAACCCAAACCTGGAATTGAGCCCGATACGACTCTACCTACGTGGCCCGAGGGAGCAGATACGGAATTATGTGATGAGACTTTTTCGGCGTGGTTTGATATGCATAAGAAATTGTTTGGGAAGAGGGGACATTGGTGTACGTTTATTTCCTACCTCGCCTTCATCTTTATCCAAGAAACTGACTGCGTTCAATCTATACAAAAGATCTCGAAATAATAGCCGTAGACCCAACCTTTCAAGGTCTCGGAGCAGGTTCCCTAATGCTAAACTGGGGAACCTCACGAGCCGACCAGGAATCTCAAGAAGCATATCTAGAAGCCTCACCGGATGCCGTCTCTATATATGAGAAATTTGGATTTCGAGAAGCTGCGAGGACGGAGACGTGGATTGAGAATGAAAGGGTCAAAAAGGGAGTTTGGTATAGGAATTTATTCATGATTCGTCGGCCTCGTCCTTCTCCTTGTGGAATGACGACGACGACGACGACAACTGGGTAGCTTCAAACCGCAGCAGATTCTTTTCTCGTCTTATATTTAAGGARAATGGGCTTGGTGGGTTTCTCACTCGAGTGGTTATTGAGGTCGCAATCGGGGACTCGAGATTGTGGATTTCCTTTTGCGTCTGTGAGTTTGATTTCCTCGAAATAAGCCAGGAAGAAGGCGACGATGACTGTGGTTTCGAGTTTTGCGAAGCGCATTCCTGGGCATGGATGGCGACCGGCACCTAATAGGATAGTCAGTACGAATGAAGCTTTTCGCGTTCGCACGTCAATGAAATTTACTCACCCCAGCCGACGAAAGCATGTGGTACTTTCTTGTCTTCAGCCCGATCGGGGAGGTATCGTGCTGGGTCGAAGTCTCGAATGTTGCTGTAGATTGAGKGGTTGTAGTGCACATCTACTGTGGAGTAGAGGACGTAAGTGCCTGTGGGTATGACTTCCTTGCCATCCTGATGTTGAGATCATGTCAGCATCATGTTCAATCGCCGCTGGATCAAGTGGTTTCACGGCGGCTTACATCAATGGGAATATCCGGTCCGTTGTTTTTACGGAAGGATGTGCCTGAGAGTTGTAGTCGAATGACTTCACGGAGACATAGATCGATGAGAGGGAATTCAAAATCCCAGGCCTCGAGTGGTAAGCTCATAAGTCGCTCCTWTAGGGGTATCGATTTATCCGAGTGGTATTTGTCTGCGATGGTGTTGACTTCTTCCCAAATGCGGCTCATCTGGACTTTTATCAGCTTGTTGAAAAGGAATGTTGAGTTGGAAGAGACATACCCAGTCATCATCTGTAGCGAGATAGCATAGAATGTATGCAGTGTTGATGCCGCTGTTGATTTGGCCTGCAAAGAGGGATCCCAGTACGAACTAAGAAATATCATTAGCTCCGTGTTATGGCAGAGTACAAGGTGTCACTCCTTACCGAGATGATGTCAAGAAGTGTATCATTCTGATCCAACAAGAACTGCAGCGCATCGTCTTCTCTACGACCCGTCTTCTTCCTATCATCTACAATTTTCTTGATGATCATATAAAGTTTCYCGCCCTGTGAAGAAGGAAGGTCAGCCACAATCTCCCTTCAGCTGAACTTGACAGCCTCAACATCGCGAACAGACATACCTGATACGTGGTGACCGCTTTACCAATAGTAGGGACCCATGGGTACATGACAGTAACCGGCGTGATGGATTGCTGAATCGACTCGAAATAATAGAGACATTTCGCCAGCAATTCTGGATCATCTGCAATCTCATTACACGCGACTGTCCTCATGGTGAAGGCGAAAATGGTCTTGTAAATCGACTTGAAAGGATCCGTACTGTCGGAATCGAGCAAAGTGTCAAGATTTGTGCGGGCGTCTTGGAGGATCTGAGGTAGGCCTTTTTTCAACATCGGTCCTTTGAGTAATGCCACCAGTCTTTTGGTGAGATAATCATTGAAATCTTGTGAGAATGGTGTTAGAAAAAAATGCTTGGAGTATGAATTCACACATTCATCATCTCACTCACCAGCATCAGCACCATGCTTCTCCGCCAAAACATTCTCCTTCACTTCCGGAGCACCGGAGAAGAGAGCAGCATAACCATCCTGGAAATTCAACTGCCTAGAATCAAAGAACAGTTTCCGACTCGCAGTTCCACTAATGGCAATCACAGGCCATTTGCCCGCCCAGAAGGAAAAGCTGCCAGTCGAAGATTTCGCTAGGGAATCTCGGACGAAATCCCAGCGATTGGTGAAGAATCTGCGCGATCCGATGAGTGGAATGGCATCTTCGGTGAGCTTTGGTGCGTTGGAAGGTAATGCTGGCTTCCAAAAGGCGTAGAGAATCAAGGTTGTTATAATCGCCAGGGCGGTGAAAGCAACGGGCACAGCCAGTGTATCCGACGCCAGACTTGAAAGTGCCATGGCGGAGGAGTGTTATTAAGGTGATGGTATGATCTTTCAGTGGGAGGAAAAAAAGTCAGACAGAGGAGGAAAGTAGATGGTGCTTGGATTAATACATACCTAGGTAGTTTAATAACTACTGTTTGATTAGTTGACGTGGAGATGGAAGCAGTTGTTTCCGCTCTTACGCCGTACGTTGTACGAGCGGGTCAGAAAATCACGACTCACGAGACTCTTCAACCTGATCTACACCTGTTGAGCCAATCAAAACGCTCACATCCATCAAAGATCAACCCCGACTCCTGGTCAGAGGTCGGAAGGGGCAGATCCCGAGCAGCTGGTGGCCGGCAAAGTTTGTTTGGAACAGGACAGGACAGGCGTGCCACGGGTTGATTCTAGCCTAGACTTGCTCGCTTTTCCCGGGGTGCGAAGTTTCATTCTGGGAATCTGCAAGCCTACTTGATACAATGATACCTTCTCAAACATTATATTGGCTCACAGACGGCAGCGATCCATTTCCCTAGATGCAATGCACCATCTACTCCTCATCATCTTCCTCTGCTTGTGCCTTGTCTGTCGCTTGCTGTCGCTTATCTTCAATCAAAGCTTTTGCCCAACTTTCCGCCCGATCAATCGCAACACGAGGTTCCTTCTTATACATCATCAACAGATTCTGAATCTCTGCAGGAGTAAAAACATCATCTTGAATATGCCCCGCGAATTCAACAGCCAGCTCCTCCAATTCAAGCCTCGAAGGTCCACTCAGAGACTTCTTCTTCTCCGCTGCTTTTCTTGGTGATGGTAGTATCGTACCATTGCTCGGCTCATTCGACAGGATCTCACTGAGATGTGGCTCAATATCACTGGTCGGTTCACCCGCCGCATACATTCTGACGAAAAGTTCACGGATTTGTTCTTTCTTGGCTAGAGTAAAGGCGACTCTGCGGTCCACCCTACCAGGACGAACCAAGGCCGCATCGAGCTTCTCGGRGTGGTTGGTGGTCATGATGAGGACTCTGCCCTCATGTGTTGCAACTCCATCGATTGCGTTGAGTAGACCTGAGAGCGATATTCCAGTTCCAGGTGCTCGGTTAGGATGACCTGCTTGAGTCGTGCCTTTACCGACAGGCTTCCGAAGTTCACGAACGACATCTTGGAGGGTGATGTTGGTGTCTTTTTCCGTCTCCTTTGCTCCCTCTTTCGATTTCTTTTCCTCGTTTTCCTTGTCGGTAGATTTCTTCGCGTCGCTTTTTCCTCGTTTGCCACCCTTCTCATCACTCTGTGTGTCTCTGAGCAACCCAGCAGCATCGACATCTTCCAGCAACACAATGCATCTAGCTGGTAAACCGTTGAAGAGTTGCATAAGATCACCCTCCGTAAGCGTTGGCTCTTGCAGACTGATGGCGTAGATGTCAAGTCCAAAGATGCCCGCCAAGGCAAACGATAAGCTGGTCTTGCCGGTACCTGGAGGGCCGTGAAATAGATAACCCCGTCGATATGGTATACCTCTGGTCGCGTACCATCGCGGTGAAGCTGGATGCAAGAAATCGTTCATATCTCTAATGATCATACTTTTCTGCTCAACATCCAAAATAACAGTATCCATTGGCCGGGATGGCCTCGAGAATGTCTTGCTCCAAGCACCGCCGTAGCGTGCTCTGTCTTTTGGTGTCGGATGTCTGATGGTCGTGGTGTTGCGCTGCCTGTTCAACGACCAGATTTTAATTTGCCGCAGCATCTCTCTAATCGGCTCCGTACTTCGACCTATACAGTCGAGCTGGAGAATATCATCATCCCCACTACTGTTGAAAGTCACCTGCATCCGCTGCGTCGTGGGCTTGGGAGAGCGACGGAAGAAGAAGAGCCGACCATTATGCCACAGCATATTTCGGCCATAATACGGTTCGAATCGTGGAGGAGTTCTCGCAGCCCACCTAGTATAATCAAAAAGTCCATTCTCATTCAACGCATCCAAAGGAGCTCCAACGTCCGTTTCAAGAGAGCCACGCTGCGTCTTCGCTCGTACGGAACGTCTTGATGTCGGTCCTTGATGTTCCGCCAGCCATCCCATGACCATTTCAAACAAGTCGTCGTGTTCATCAATATGTACCGATGACATGAAGGCTTGTCGAAATATATTCTCGGCTTGATCGAATAGGTATCGTCCTCCTTTGATCGCTGCGAATAAGATGAGGCAGATGGAAACGATGACGGAAATGTCGAATCCAAATGATGAGGATATTGCTTTGGATATTAGGGAGTATCCTGGAATGRGCGCTTCGAGCAAGTTGGATGGTAGGTCCATGAGGGTTGGTGTGCTGTTGGCGGTATTATTTGAAGCTGGCATGGCTTTTGCAAGTTTGCGAAAGTCCATCTTGTGCGGCGTCTTGATGACCAGAGATCCGCTTTCGCTGTGGTGTTTCTAGAACTGGTTCGTTGCTAACGCATCAGAGCTGGAGGAATCCGTGGATTTGAACAATCTCGGCTGCAAAGAGATGATGTATGAGCAACTGCCTAGAAAGTATCGGCAGAGCAGTCCATCGAGAGTGGAAATATCTAAATGTACCTCAAAACGCGTTTGCCGGAGGATCAAGAGTGTACAAATAATGTGGCGAGCGAGTTTTGGTGTTTCAGAAAGCCAAAGAAGGAAAAAGCCGCAAGTGAATTATTATTCAAAAGAGCACTGCCTGCCTGCCTAGTCTAGGCAGCAACCAGACAAATTTCTGCTTTCTTGCTTGCCAGCCTAGAACGATGTCATTAATGGAAAGGAAATCTGTTCCATGCATCGTGACTCAAAAAACCTAACATGCGGCCTCACATCAGGCTGACCAATCGGTTCAAGTAAGCTGTACGATCTGCGCTAGGTTTGCGTGTTAGTTAGGAGAGTACGCGAAATGATGGGGAAAAGCAGGTTCACATCAACTATGTACAGAACAGCCTGTTTGTTGGAGGGAAATCCTTCGCGAATAAGGTAAGGTAGCTTCCGAGTGGCGAGGGGTCGAAAAGTACCTACAGTACCTTACCGATGWAGGTATGGTTGTGGAAATCATTGTTGAAGTCAACCCCGCTACTCCATCACTGTTGAGGTTGTTGAAACGGGTTCGTCTAGCTAAATGGCAGATCGTAGTTCTATCGTTATCTTTTGAAAAAAGTCACAGGAACCTTTTCCCGCGGATCGCATGATGCGCGGTCCGGTGGAACAACATCACCATTCGTCGAGCTGAGTTGGAAGGCCTGTAGGGTGTACAATCCAGCAAATCTATAGGCTCTGTGAGAAGAGAATGTAAAGCGCGTGTTGGGACTCCAAATACTCTCTCTCTCTCTCTTTCTCCTATGCGTGAAGTGATGCATCACTCTACAAGCGTAAAGCTTCTACTTGGCTTCTCATTATGACATTCTCCCTCACAGCAAAGGAATTTCGTACTTCCTTCTCGTCTCAAGAGCATGAAAACGGAAGCCACTAAACTTAGAAAAGTCTCTGAACAGGCCCCATACCAGGCAAATGAAACCCAGTAGTGGCATTCGGCCAATTGCCCAACTGTGCCGGGTCGCCTCCAATCCGCACCCACACAGCCGTACTGGGCACTTTACGACCATCCAGCAAAAAGATCTGAAACCAAGCTGGCGGACAGACATTAGCATTAGGCGGTGCGGTGACGGTGCAAGAGTTTCCAGAGCATGAAGTCGCCAGGAAGAATGTTCTCTGACCCATACTATTTCCATGAGTACTTGCTACTGAGCCCATGGCGACAGCTCTCAGAGAACCGCCGGATCCGGTGGATGAGACGGTGAAGGTGTATGAGGATCCATACGCCCAGTCTTGATCTTTGCAAGTGAATGCTGGTCGGGGTTTGTTGCCTAGTAGGTAAGGTGGGAGGAAGATTTCGTTTCTGTATTCTTGTGGATTGACATTATCCTCTGGATCTGACCCGCTGATCAAAACGCTTCCATCATCTAGGAGAACGGCTTGGGAGTGGTAGAGACGGGCGATTGTGGTGTTGGCCACGACTGTCATGCGTTTGCCGGGTGCTTTTGAGGGGTCGTAGAGAACGGCGTTCAGATTCGGATCTGTGGCAAGTCCAAAACCAGCAACACCTTGGTGAGCTCCACCGGTAATGAGATAAGTACCATCTGGCAGTGCAGCCATGTATGGCATGACTCTTTTGCTGGGCATGCGCTCTATTGTCCAATTGGCGTTGGGTTGGTCGGGTGCGATGGTAATGCAATTGTCCAGCGCGACAGCAACACCAGGTCCGCTGCCACCACAGATGAGAATTTGTAATGGTTCGTTGTATGGTGCTACCTGTGGTAAAATCATGGCAGCTCCCTCAAAAGGATACGTGCGACCTGATCCAGGAGCATTGACGGAGCATGGCATGTTGGGAAGTTGTCTGACTGGCTGCAAAGTCCCGGGATCTAACAGTAGTGCTTCGTTGTAGTACCCGACGAATATATTCCCTGAAGGTAGAACGATCAAAAAGGGGTATAGATTGTTGGGATYGGTCCTGCGAAGATAGTCGCAGTCGAGTAGCCCGCCAGCTTGTGGTAAGACCTCCAGACTAGGCACTGGTTTACCATTGGAGCCGTCCTCGCCGCCCATGACCAGGATCGAGCCATTTGCCATTGTCATTGTGGAAGGGTACCAGCGTCCGGCTTGAAGTGCCAAAGTGTTTACATCTTCCTCGAAGTCGTTTGTGCCCGGTACACCAGGACTACCATCTGGCCAGTAGAGACGGATGCCTTTGGTGGATGGAGCAGACCAGCCACCGACGTTGATTTGCCGTCCAGCACGATCCGGAAGTGTCAAAGATGCAGCACAAAAGACGTCAGTCTTCACATGTAGGGTCCGCCAGGCTTTATTAAAGTCCGAGAGCTGAGAAGGATCCAACTCGTAGGCTCCAGTACTATTAGGCGGCCCAGTACTATGCAGTGATACGGTAGTTAGCACTCGCCTCACCTTCAACAATAACTTTATTTCCACGACTTACCCATACTTCTCCACGAAGGTGACCTTCCCATTCCGGGCAGGGGCAGTAATGAGTGGAATGACGACCCCTCCGACAGTGTTGACATATTTCCCGGCCTCATTCCCTGTAGCATATGACCACTGGTCAAAAGGAACTTTCCAAGTGTACAATGAAATGGCATTTTGCCCTCCACAAATCTCGCCTCCGTTACTTCCAGCAGTGTCATTCGCGCAGCGCATGTTGCAGGAAGAGTTGGCAATAAAGCTAGCCCCAGCATCAATGTAGTTTTGAGCATCTCCACAGAAGCACTGTTTACCATATTCCGTACCAGCGACGGTGAAGCCATATTGCTGACATGTTTTGATACATAAAGTGTTGGAGTTTATGGTGGGAAATTCCATAAAGTATGGCAAAGACCGCTTGTTTCCATTGAAGTTATCAATGAGACACCCAGTATACGTCCAATTCGCTGGCAACTGGACGTCTGTGAGAAAGCTGGGCGATGTAGCATTTGACAGTGTACCTATACGCGGAAAGAGGTAGGTCAGCGATGTCTCAGGCCTTGTAGCGATATGAACAAACCATTGGAGTAGATTGAGTTTCTGTTCCCGGCACCACACTTTTCGCCAGGATTACCAGCGCAAGCCATGCTACAATCGGAGTCTGAAACCAGCGAGGGAGAGTTGTGGAGGTAGTTGTCGCAGAAACATTGGGAGCTGTATTGAAGACCCGCGATATGATAGCCGTTTGATGAGCATTGAGCGATACAGGATTCCACGGTCATTTTTTGCGAGTCTGGCTGCTGCGATGTCAAGGATCGGCCATTAGCATTAGAGTCCGTATAACAGCCCTGGTATTTGAATGGTAATATTGCAGTCGAGTTGACACCTCCGGACGGTGTAGCTGCTGGGGGGCTAGCTGTTGCTGCCGTGCTGGAAGTTGAGGTTTGCGTCGAAGCGCTAGACATGGAAGACTGTGTTATCGTGCTGGACTTGGAAGACTGTGTTGTCATACTGGACTTGGAAGACTGTGGCGCAGTGGCGCTCGTAGAACTAGATGTTTTCGATGTCGACACCGGCTGAGTAGTAGGCTGCGCGTTACCAAAGGCATACAGATTGAGAAAGTTCCCTAGACATTGTTAGCAGATAGCCGAGAACTAATGGTTTGAGACCAACCTGCACCGCAGAACTCGGACGCATTGCCATTACAAGGCATGTTGCAACTCATATCCTCGGCTTGCTTCGCCGTGTTGGCCACAAAGTTGTCGCAGAAACACTCGCCCGCATATTCTGATCAAAAGTTAGTGTTATGTACCTCAATATGGCATTATCTGGTAGTTGATTCACCAACGCCTGCTAAAGTGTAGCCTGCAGCTGAACAAGCACCCGTACATAGACCGACGGACATATTGCTGCTACCTCCTGGAGTCGACATTCCCTTTGAAAGTGTTCTTGCATTGGTGCTGTCTGTCCAGCACTTATAGCTCGTCCAACCTGGAGGGCCCGGATTAATTCCCGGACCCTTTGGGGCATCTTTATTCGCGAAGTAAACCGAGAGGTAGTTGGGACCTAAACTCGGAATGTCAGCGCACATAAAATACAGTGCCTCGTTCTCTTGTACCTCCACAACTCTCTGAGCTATTGCCAGCGCAGCCCATGGCACACTTGGTATCATTCTGCAGAGAGGTAGGCGCAGACAGCTTGTTCCCACAGTAACACTCCGAAGCGTACTCAGTAGCTCCATAGACGTATCCTTTGTTGTTACAGTAGGCTGTGCATAGTGCTCCGGTCATGGTCGTGGTATTGGCGAAGCTCGCACTGCTCAGGGCTCGTGGGTTTGATTCGCTTCGCTAAACATTAGCAGACTTGTTCACTAATCTATGCATCGACTTTCTCACTTGTAGCAACCAATGTAGCTCCAGCCTGTGGGCAGTGATGCGTTTGCTGCAGGAGAGAGCTGATTGGCGCGTATCTCTATCGGATTAGAAGCCACAAAGGCCATGAGACAGGCAAGGATGCCCACAAGAGGCAGAGCCGGACCCATGTTGGAATGAAGCAGTGAGCCAAGAACGCGCACGTTGGATTGGAATGCAACGATGCTCAGAGGACAGGAAGAAGGGCACGGAGAAGAAGATCGATACTCCCTGCAGTCAGGAGCTTTATACCTTCCACTGCGGCAAAGCACACCAGGCTGAAGAGTGATCTTGCAGTACGTTACAATGGCAAATAGACTTTCTTTCCTGGTGTAACTCGTCTCCCGAAATAAAATCATCGCAGTCTAGGGCATAGGATATCTGCAGCGGGATTGAATTGACCGGATCGTRGCGCGACCTCAAGCTCCATGCTCAGCTGAGCAGTTTCGTTATGGTCAAGTACATCCTGCCGCGGCGATAAGAGGCGAAGAAGGACGACAATAGTTTGCTGTCCTGACTGGTCCACGACTGCAATACGGTCAAGCGCCATTGAGACGCCTCCTAGGCTTTCTGCCAGCGTACCTGGATCACGACCTGTGTTGTGGTGACGATATGCTCCAATTGGCATTCCAGGAAAGGCCTTGGATGCGAGTTCGGTCCAAAGCTTGGCCACTTGAAGAAGGCAGCAGCAGAACACGGCTCGTAAATCAAGGCGCCAATGCGCGGCGGGAGAATGATACGGGACAGCTCCCCATCGAGCAATATGAATTGAGAGTACGTGAAAGTTCTTGGGACGTATCGAGACCAAGCCCATCTGGGCATCGCAGCTTTCGGCGTCGCCAATAGGTCTCTTGCCATGCTTGGAGCAAGAATAGCCACAGCAAGCCACCGGGGAAAGATTTCGAAACTTGCTTGGAGCTTTTCCCGCATGTGCTGAAGTCAAACTGGCACTACTGAAGCGTGGCCGGAAAGCAAGCCACACGGCCAGTGATGATTGTATCCGCAAAAGACTGTAAACTCGTAAGCATGTCAGCAAGATACGACTCTCAAGACCTGCGGGACATTCCAATGGTAGCCGAGTCTGCGACTCTACAAACGACGTGAATGGTACTGCCGTTTGATACGTGACATCCTCCGCGGGGAAAACTGTGGAGCAAACAGTCGGTCTTCTGGGAGGTCGCAATACGAGGCACATCCATTTACTAGCGGCCACCGCATGCATATGCGTGGAAGAGCGTTTTGGCTGCCGCATGTCTAACCACTAGTGGACTCTGCACGWGTCCATGTGGTCGGCAAAAAAAAGTATATTCTGCAACCAGGCCAAGGGTTACAATCACAGTCGAGTCCAGAACTTCAGGTCTGTCGTGGTTTTTCTAGTATGAGAGGGATGATGATTGCAGTGTGAAGCAGCTCAAGAAGATCAGAGAAATGGAACGGAGACGTTCGCCGAACATGCCGGCTAGGGTTAGGGTTGGGGTAATGCGATACATTGCTGCAAGGAAGATTCGGGAGACGCAATTGACTGTCAGGTAGCGTACGAATAGATAATCTCTCCCTCGCAAAATTCAAAGCATGCATGTAGTTCTTGCAGATGTTCTTGATGCATAGCAAGAGCTTCTCACTGAGATGGACGGGTGAAGGGGACTTGGTTTTGGGCACCGCTTGCCCCCAAAAGTGTCGCAACATCTCCCCATTAACTACTCGATCTTTCTGCAGCAACTCTGTAGATATAGAACAATTTAATGTAGACTAATATGCCCAGACTATCACACATACCGTTGTCGTCACCACTTGACCGTCCAGATGATATGTCAAGGTCAAGCTTGTACGACGCTTTCTGATTGGCTCGGATAAAGCCGCCGCTAACTAAAGCCCAGAGAAATCGCATTTCCTCTCCCCTTCTTTCTTCCTTCCTCTGTGGCGGAGAGCGAGAAAATGGAAGGGCGGCATTTCCACCCTCGCCTTTGCGTGGAATTATGGAATGTGGTATAATTGGCTCGGATCTATCCGGCGCTAATCGAAGTACACGAAAAGGGCAATTCCCCTCCCCTTTGAGGCAGTGCAACTTTTCGAGAGAGCGAAATGGGCGGCAATCGACCCCTTTCCTTGCGTGAACGTGAAAACGATATTTGCAAGTCGCGACGTTGCGAACGGAGTAGAAGGTATGTTCTTCCTGCACGAGAAGGCAGTAACCTTTCGGAACTCTCTTCAATCATTCTAAATTCTTCATCAACCAACAGCGGAGAGTATAGCGTGTACAACATTGCTGCAAAGGAGAAACGCTTCTCCGCCCACATGTGTTCCCTTCAATGCACCGGTGAAACCTGTAATGMGAGCCCAGTCCGATTCGCCGCCACCGTCGCAATGCCTTCTTCCCACAATATATATACACACAAGAGTGAAGGGTGTTGCAATTTCGTCTCTTCAAAATTGCAACTCTACCTTCCTCGCTCCTTGGCCCGCTTCTCATAAGCTTCGGCCCGTTTCTTGAAAGCAGCCTTCTCATCCTCGCGCATCTTCTCCGAACTTGGGGTTGTCATCGCCTCCATTCGAGATTTGGCAGCGTCCACGCTGTCTTTGATCCCACTGAACATACCGCCTTTGCCGGTGGCGCGCTTTTGTCCTGGCTGCACCATATCCCCGCTTGCCGCGTCTGTTCTCGACACCAACCGTGCATCAATCGTCTTCCCTCCACTCCTCTGCACATTCGGCGCCTGATATACCGGGTTCATGTATGCAACGCCTGGCTTCTGTCCCGTCCCTCTTGCCGGTCCTGCACTCGGTGTAGGTGTGGAATTCTTCCCTGACATCTTCTCCAAATATGCCGTGAACGGATTTTGCGGCTCCTCGCCTGGCTTCGGCTTGTACATGGGCGCCAAATTGAAGAATCTCCGCACCGATGCCCTCTGAAGCAGCTGTCCTTGGGCCAAACCAATCACTCCACTGCCGCAAAACCAAAGACACACGGCACCAGGCTGCCAAGCTGTGAACAGCATGATGAGGCCGGGCATCACGTAGAGCATAACTTTCTTCATCTGTGGCGGAAGTTGAGAAGTTCCAGACTCTCCACCAAATCGAGCCATCAGATGCATTGTCCCTGCCATCGCAAGCGGCAGAATCAGGTATCCATCTGATAGCGTGAGGTCGTGCAGCCAAAGAAACCCGCCGTCCATCAATCCAGGAACGGGCAGAGCGACCATGGCTTTCATCAGCCTAAAACCGCAGAATCCAATCACACCCTGGACCACCACCGGGATGAGCTGTGCGGAAGTGGAGATGCCCGCCCTTTTATGAATGGCGCTCTTCTGACGCATGGCATTGAGGACGGCGGCTGAATCTCCCGATTTCTGTGCGGCGGTAATGGCCTCGCTGTAGGGTTTTAGGACCGTGCCGAGTGCCGCCTGGCGTGCCATACTGTCAGACGACCTGAGGAACAAGGGAAATGCCGCGGCTCGGAGGAGCAAGGCGGTGCTGAGGATGGTCGCCCACCAGGGAAGTCCGGTGTGCACATAGATGTTCTCAAGCACCCACTGGACGCAAGTGGTAGGTCCCCAGCCATAGTCGATGCCAAGTGAATGGAGATAACCGGTTTCTGTGGGGAGATGCGCAGTGGCGGATGTTATAGGGTCGAGATTGTCGAGATTGATTGTGTCGAGGTTGGGGAATTCGCTGGGAGGGGGAACGTATTGCGCGGAAGACTCGCTCGAAGCATGACGGATCGAGGCAAAGTTCAGGAGAGAAATAGCAGCGGGTGCTGTCGCCCTTGGTGTCCTACCCGCGCTTTGCGATAGAGGAGAGCGGAGACTGGGCCGGGGAGTCGATGAGAGCTGCGGAGAGAATCAGCTGTCGCATTGCGTATAAGTGGCATCATGGAGCTGCTCACATGTCGACATTGTTGTATAAGGGTGTGTCGAGGAATTCTCGCCCGCAAGGCGTGGATACCTCTTGACGGTATCATTGCATGTGGTCAAATGTCGAAGTGGAAGGACGCGAGGTGCAGAGGCGCGAACTTTTGAAGTTCCATGCAAGTCGATCCTCTCCACATCCATCAAGATCAAGATCGGGCAAGACTTGGCGAGTCGATCTCCTTTCATAGGTACATATAAGGGGAAACACAGAATAATGGGCATTTCAAGACAACCGCAACGAGTGCACGATGATGAAAGTGTGTTGAGTGGGGAGATGGTATTTTGTCGTCTTCGTTCTGCTTTACCGGCGACATTCTCCTACCCGTAGCTGCGCCATTCAACGCCGTCTTGAACTCAGGCGTACTGATACACCCAATCCCCACAACTTTGTACTGCTTGCATGCTCTATGTACACATGGTGTGTGAGCGCCATGTCCATCTCAATACGCCGTATGATTATGTCCGAGTCCTTCGTTTTGTTTCGACCTTACTCGAGCGCGGTGTACATGTCAAGTTCCCTTCCATMCCTTCGTTTCCGCTCAACTGGGTCATCTCGTATCTCAATACCCGGACCTATCGAGCGCGATGACCGGTGTGCAGGGAAGACCTAATGTAGATGTTAGCATGTCGTGTCTCCAATTCTACATTTCTTGCCCAGTCTCGAGATGATAGACACGCGATCCGCCTCGCTGTTCATTCGAGCATTGCTGAAGATCAACATAGTTTGCATGCTGTCTTTCAAAGCATCGAGCATGCCATGTGCCAACGCCCTCTCCAACTTGCGCTTTATTCCAACGTGCTCCAAGTATTTCAAAGGCCTCTGCTTATCTCCAACGTACCTTGGTCTTTCCCCAGCCCAATCTGAATGCCGCCTCATGTGCGAATAGCTCTCCGAAGCCCAACATTAGTCCGTTGACAAACGGCAATAGGAGGTTGATCCCGGCGCCTCTCAATATGCTCCAAAATGTTGGCGGAGAATAGAGCATCAACGGACTCGAGTCTGAGGATGTTGGCTCGTCGGAATCATTTGAGTTGCTGTCCGAAGGAAATGTTGCGTACGACGACTCCATGATGCGCGAGAAGGTCAAGACGGCACAAATTCGGAAGCGCTGAGCGATGTGCAGATCGTGGTTGTTGTAGAGAGAGCACTATTCGAGCGCTGAGCCAAGAAGGTGGAGCTTTTCGAGCAGGGTGAACTGTTGCCGTGTTAATCCAGGCGTTGGTCTTCCAGCGGAGGCGGAGGTGAATATGTGGTCCGTGCGAGAGCGGCATCAAGCCCGCATTTATTGTGGAACCGGCATCATCACAATTAAAGTAATCTCTACCTTACAATTCCATCCACCTTCTGTTGTTACCTCTCAGAGGCCAACATCCATACATCCCAACCACTGCACAACACCTCACTTCATTGAGAAGGAACTCATCACTGACAATCCTACTCAAGGAAGCAGTTGCCACCATGGACGACGAGCAATCGCAGAAGGTCGCCAACTTCTCGAGCCTCACCGGCTGCAACCCGAAAGTGGTGAGCTTGCACATGTGAAGATTCATGCACATGACAATTGGCTAATCCAATACAACTCAGGCCCAGGATGCTCTCGCCGCAGCCAACTGGAACCTCGAGCAAGCCGTCACCCTCTACTACGCTTCCCAAGATGAGGCTGCCGACGAAGACGATGAGAAAGAGTCCGAATCTACCACAGCAGCTACCGCGTCTGGTCCTGTCGCTGGCTCCAGCAGTGCCCCGCAGTCCAAGAGTAACGCGCGTGGTGGCAAGCCCAAGGCAATGACTCTCGCAGACTTGCAGACCGGAGACGATGACGACGAGGAAAAGGATCCCAACCAAGATCTGTTCACAGGCGGCGAGAAGAGTGGATTGGCAGTTAAGAACCCCGATCAGTCAGGTCCAACGGACCACTTCCGCAACATCATGAATCAGGCGCGCACCAACCGGGACCGACCATCAGCCGCGCATGGCAACGAGGAGGAGGAGAACGAGGAGCCGCGCTCCAGCGCTTTCACAGGTCGTGCGCAGACTCTCGGCGGAGATGACGCTCCAAGCCAGGTTGTGCAGGACCCCACCGCGGCCGCCGCATCGGCAGCAGCATCAGCTCGTCCACGCCACCCCCGTGTGAATCGCACACTTCACCTCTGGGCCGATGGTGTCAGCATTGATGACGGCCCTCTCCTGCGCTTTGACGATCCCGCCAACGAGCACATCATGGCTGAGATCAATCAAGGTCGCGCGCCCAAAGCACTCCTCGATGTGCAGCCAGACCAGGAGGTCGATCTCAACCTCGAGCCTCACCGTGACGAGAACTACGTCGCGCCGAAGCCCAAGTACAAGCCTTTTGCAGGTCAAGGACAGCGGTTAGGTAGCCCCACACCAGGTCCGGCTCCACCATCATCATCTTCGACTGCGAGACCTGCTCCTGCTGCTGCGACCTCCACACCACAGCCATCGCAAATGGCCATCGATGAGTCCCAACCAACTCTTCAGCTTCAGATCCGTCTGGGAGACGGCACACGTCTCGTGTCACGCTTCAACACATCCCACACGATTGGAGACGTCTACGATTTTGTCAACCTTGCGGCTCCTTCCGCCGGTCGCCCATGGGCACTGATGACGACGTTTCCGTCCAAGGAGTTGGACGACAAGGCGCAGGTCTTGGGCGACATATCGGAATTCCAGCGCGGCGGCGTGGTTGTGCAAAAGTGGAAGTGAGCGCTGACCAAGTCCATCAACTCTTGTTTCGGAGGAGTCTCTCAATAGATGCGAGAGCGCAAGCGGGTGTTGTAAATACAATGCCGCGGAAACATGGTCTGCTTTGAGCGTTGCATGGGTGGAATGGCGTCTCAGGATCGGAGGCGTCAGTTCTCGAAGCAGTACGCTGCTACGAATGGAAATGAATGGGCACCTGCAATGCTGCAGTTCTAGATGAGACTAAGACGAGGCGCCGAACCTCGCGGAAAGGGGAGAATACCCCCTTGTCTATTTCGTCCCAAGCAGACGAGATACAATGAAAGAAACGTTCAACGACGCGTATAAGCAGTCAAGTGAGGCGGTTCTTACATACTGCCTGCCTACCCAGTACTTGATTTCAGATAGTGGCCAATGTCGGCCATGCTGCGCGTGTGGCTTCAAGATGACTGCGAAGAAAGTCTAGACCCATGTGATCAGGCATTGGCTGGAAATGGCGCTATATACGGGCCCATCTTCCCATTGAACTCCCCACAGGCTACAACTTCTCTTTGCATCGGAGGTCTCTCAGACCCACAGCACCCTCTCGAGCATTCCGACGCCCATGCGTTAGCAGCGAATCATCCTTGCATGACCGTAGCAAAGTGGGCCTTTGGTCATCGAGGAAACCTCTGATGCAAAGAGACGCTGTACCTGTTGTGTGTGCAAGAGTTTCCATTCGAGGGTTGGATCGCGTCTGCTCTCTTTGAATAGATCGCTTTGCTCTCAGAAGGAGCAACACTGACTCACCAACTAAGCTCTGGCTCAGTRCGGCGCCCGCTGGAGACACGTCGGTCGCGAGCAGGTATTGTCCGCAAGAGGCACGTGAGCATTCACCTGATGTTTGTTAAAGGTTTAGCTTGCGGGGTAGCAGGAACGTTGTTCTTTGTCCACGTAGATCACGGTGGGTGGGGCTGCCCTCAATGCTATGGATATCCGTGGCTGGAACGAAAGACACAAGCAATCTCCAGTGGGAGCTCGTGGATTTCTGTTTGCTTCCCCAGGTTTGTTTCATGACGACCCTTGTTTGGAGCTGGAGCTTTACAGCCTTGACATTGGATCCGACCACTGCTCACGAGACTTCCAGAAAGGCTAAGGTACCTACTTCTTTGTCGTCAGCTCTCCTCCTCTTCCTCCACATCCACTTTACACCAACAATCAATCCATCCCATCACATCACACATCAACCGTCAAGATGAGTGCAATCACGGACGAACTCGATGAGCACGTTGAGCCACTCAAGGTGCTCATCACCCTGCACGATGGAATGGACTCCATGGACGTGATCGGTCCATTGGAGGTCTTCAGCAGTGCCCAGCACGATCCTCAGAACCCTGGTAAGTTGTACCACGTACCCCAAGCCAAGCCTGCGTTGCTGCATCATTCCATCAATACCGTCGCGTGTATTGACTCCAATCCCTTTCACCAGAGACCAAGGCATTCCGCACCATCTTCGCGGGCCTACAGGAGCATGTGGTCACCGCCCAGGGTGCTTCCTTCCGTGCCCACCTCACCTACGACGAAGCCATGAAGCGCCTCTCCGAGATCGATGTTCTCGTCGTCCCTGGCGGCTCTCACGACACCGTCATCAAGGCCAAGAGCCAGCCGCTGCAGATCATCAAGGCATTCGCCGCCTTGCAGCTCAAGAATCCCGCCCGCGAGCGCTCTCTGGTGTCCATCTGCACCGGATCGATGCTCCTCGCCGAGGCCGGTATCTTGGGCGGCCTCACAGCCACCACCCACCCAGACTATATCACCAAGATGGAGATCCTCTGCTCCAAGATCAACCAGCGTGACATGACTGAGCGTGTCGATGTCGTCCAAGAGAGATACGTGGTCAACAATCTCCGCTTTGACCTGGGCGAGAATGAGGACGAAAACCCTCACATCCTGACCCGTAAGGAGCTCAAGGAACACAAGCGCCGCAAGAGCTCGGCCAATGGTCTGCCATCACCACTTGAGGAGGAGCCTCCCAACAACGGTCGTCGCGCCTCAGGTGCACGCAAGGGAAGTATGAGCCTCAAGATCAGCAACAACCGCCGCGAGAGCGTCATCAAGCGCGCCAACCTGCGTTTGGGAGGCCTCCGTGTGCTGACCACCGGCGGCGTCACGTCTGGCATCGATGGAGCGCTCTACATGGTAGGCGCGTTGGTGTCCGACGATGCTGCCGATGAGGTCGCCCGTAAGATGTGCCACACCTGGAAGAAGGGTATGGTCGTCGATGGTATCGATGTTTAGAGTCTCCCAGCGAGACCGAGGGAGCTCCAGGCGTGAAGGAATCATAGCCGTATGAGCATGCAGACTAAGCTACACGACTTGCAAGGGAAGGAATTGAGATGCTACCTCGAAGACAAAGCGCAGAGAACTGGCATGAATGAATGCTCAGACATGGAACTGGAATGAGAAGTAGCTACGAATCGAATGAAGGCAATGAAATGAAAACAGAGCCACTCACACGTCTTTTAAGGTGGTATCATAGAGCCCTCTCGTTGTAATATTGCAGTCGAAACATGTTTTGACAAGAAAGAGGACACCCGAGGGAAGAAATGGTTGAGCTTACGGTCTCCTGAACGGCTATTTGAGACGCAATACTCCTCTCACATCCGCACTATCCGCTCCCCGTCTTACAAACTCTCATCACAATCTTCTTTTTCAAATGTCTACGGAAAGTAGCCATGCCAACGGTGCAAAACGATCGCTCAGTCCAGACGATAGCAATGAGGGACAACAGCACCAGGGCAGACAGCGGTCGCGTGCGGCTTGCACGCCTTGTAGAACTCGCAAGCGCAAATGGTAAGCTGTTGATTGTCTTGGGCGAAGAGCTTCAAATCGATGCACAGAGATGCTGCTACATGAGATTGAAAGACTTAGGAGGGTAGAGGCTACGTTGGTGGTGGTATGGGAAACTTTGAGCAACGTACATTCAACATGGACTCTGCTGCTACGCGTCGCACGCATTGCAGATCGCGCAGCTCTAATGGGCCTCAAGACTTTGCTGACTCTGTATAGTGATGGCAAKATTCCATGCGCTACTTGCTTACGATATGAATATCGATGCGAGTATGCTCACAGTTCGAAACGTCCATCAATGATTCCTGCAGATGTCGCAGCAGAACCTCCTCCACCACAGCCCATTGGAAGAACCGCCCCGAGTATTATCCAACTACAGGCACATCCTCTTACAGCACCCGGCGCGCGATTTCATCACCGTGGAATTCTTGATCCAGTCAAGACTCGCTTCGTCAAGGCCAATTCTGCCATTGCCTTTCCTCGTATCATTGGCATGGACCTGGAGTCTGACAGTATCCCCAGATTGCATTCTTTTGCGTGGCATCTAGGCATTCGGAATGAGCCAAAGGAACCTCCGTTCAACATCACCACCAGTATGACATGGGCAGATATGCAGCGTCTAGCAGGCGTTTATTTCAAAGTTGTCAAGCCAGAGTTCGGGCTTCCCGATGAGATTGAGTTCATGGAGCACGTCGCAGCCCGCTTTTCGAACCCTACCGGAGTGAAAGATATCGACTCAGTAGCACTCGGCGTGGCGGCTTTGGGATCTTTCTTTTCGCCAAATCCTCATCCAAACGAAGAAGTTTTCGTTGCAGATGCATGGAGAGTGCTTGAACAGAGAAGTGTTACAAAGTCTCCATTGCCAAATCATGTAGCGGGATGGATCCTTCGGACTTTGTATCTGAGATTGACATCCCGGCCTCATGCTTCGTGGGTGTCGTCTTGCATCGCTATGCATCAAGTGGAGGCCAGCGGACTGCACAAGGAGATGCAGACGATTGCTGTAGTCTATCCTCCTACTAATGCGGATCACAAGCTGGCGAAACAAAGACGACGTCTATTCTGGATCGCACGGGCTATGAACATCTTCTTGTCTTTCGAATACGGTACGTGTAGTAATAACTGGTCAAACGTACGGGCTTTACTGATGAAATTGCTCACAGGCAGAACCAGAGTCAACTACGATGTTGTGACGACGAAGAAGTTCGCTCCAGAAGCAGGCAGCTTCGCACACCAGTAAGATCGTGTCAGATCTTTCGACTGGAAGAAAGTATGCTGACTGAGTTCAAGATTTGTGGAGCTGATGGATCTACTTCCCAATGACTTTRTTGACCGAGAGCGTGAACCTGACCCCCCAGCAGCACTCGGTGCGGCTTTGACGAAAATCGAGACCATGCAAACCGAATCGCACTTTATCTCTATGCTAAAAGCCGATCTAGGATTCGCCATCTACCGAAGACTTTGGCTCATGAGCTTGACAGATGCCAAAGATCGGTCTGACACGGTGATTAGCATTGGCAAGTCTGCTCTGGAGGCCGCGTCAGGAATGCTGGCCACCAGAACTMCCTGGTGGAATGTCCTCTGCACGCCCTTTCAGTTCCTCTGCGTATCAATTGCTGTAGGCACACCGAGGAGCCTAGCCAATATCCAGGATGCAATGACACTGATGCACAACATCGCCCAAGCATACGATACACACATGGTGCGAGAGGCTTATAACCAAGCGACAGCCTTGGTGGCTATGGCGCGCAAACGGAAGCAAAAGGAGCTCGAGGCGCTCATGGCTGTACCCGAAACTCCGCCTTTTACCGATCATCCWTCTGCTGGACCGAGCAGTACTCTGTCTGAACCGCCGAATCTCGACTGGGCAATGGACTTGCCGTTTGAGTGGGATTTATTCCTGAACCCTGAATTGGTGGTATCGAGCCAACAGCCAGTGCCTACCATGGACGCGTCAACCTACATCAGCAATCAGTATAAATTCTGAACAGCGAGTCCTGCTGCTCTCCTGGCTGGTCGACTTCTTATCGTCCACAAGTGCCCCGTGCTCAGGATTTTGGCTGGGGATTCGCTTCTTTTCTCGACCTCTATCCTCAGACTGCTCCGCTTGCTGCTACGTATGCTATATTCACTACGCAGAGGCAACCTCTTCGCCATGTCGGCGTGGGGTAGCTCAAGTTGGTCTTGCAAAGCCTGCAATTCCTCGGCTGACCAGTCCGGAATTGCTTCAGTGTTTTGACTACCCCTACGTCCCCTATTTCTTGGAGGGTTGGACTCGGTATTGACTGCCTCTTGCTCTTGATCGGCATCCTGCTCCATACTGCTTCGCTTGGGACATCTCTGGAGATTCTGCCGGCAATACCATTGCTGTCACAGGAGCTGGATGATTCTCCCATCGCTGGAGATCCTTCGTCAGCCATGTTTCAACCCAATGATACTCGCTTGGCGGAGAGCTCTCCAGGTTAGACGATGTGAATGGGTATCTCCTATTCATGAACCTTGGTAGTCTGCTTTGCGACTGCTTTCTGCCAGGCTCAGCGGCGATTGCTTGACTTCACTTTCCCGAGGACAGCGAGGAAGCGATGCCCGCTACTACGATTTCAGGGTTCGAAAGCTGGGTTATAATTCGGATCTTTGAAGCAGCCAAAGCTTGCGAATCATCAATTCGTGTGAGTTCCAGAAGGTCGACCATAATTCAAGTTGTGATTAATACTAGAAGCAAATTTCAGGTCAAATGGAGGAGCACTCTACAGTTACATTCGAACGAGGGCAGTGCGTTCAGGTCGATCCTGGCTGTGTCGTTCGGTAGAGGAGCAACAATGTGAGCGAGTACGCCAGCCCTCCGAATATGAGTGCCTGTAGACTACCGGGGGAGAATTCCAAGAAGCCAGACTCATTTCCCATGTTGTCAGCCCTAGGAGTGATCAAAGTTACCGAACGGGCTTCTAGGGGTACACCTTAAGGGTACACCTTAGCATTCGGAGTAGAGCCATTTCTAGACCTCTATGCCGACCAATCCATCTTGATCGCTGAACCCTGTTACACACGACAGCAGGCTCGTTCCTGGTTGGGTCATCGCATCTCGCCGATTCAGCGAATCAGAATCCGTAGTCTCGAAATCGTGCTCTTGGAGATCTACACTCCGCATGCCTTGGCAGAATGCGCCATGCCTCAAGTCCGAAGACGACCTGTGAGAAGTAGGCTGGAATTGGAAGGAGCTCAGGATCCCACAGCGGTAAATAGTGCGATGCCAATACCACGTGTTGCACTTCGTTCGCTATCTCCGCGAGATAGCAGCCACGGCGGTGTTACTATCTCGTGTTTCAAGAAAACTGCTTTGTACGTTAGCTGCATTGCATCCATTGCTATATAAGTAGCCGAGAATCCCCTGGTAGTAAAGAAGAGGATCAAACAAGCATCATCTTCCATCCATCCATCCACTTTCATCACTCTCTTCATCAACAATAATGGGCTTCACATCGACTCTGATCCTCCTGGCCGCCGCCAGCAGTGCCCTGGCAGCCCCAGCCTCCAACAACGAAGTTCTCCGTCGAGGAAACCTCCCAACCCCAGTCTCCGCCGCCACAGCACGAGGATACCTTTCCAGCATCGTGACCGAAGCGGAGAATAACAGCCCCGCTTACAACCGCGATCTCTTCCCCCACTGGATCACCATCAGCGGAGCATGCAATACTCGCGAGCAAGTCCTCAAGCGTGATGGCTCTAATGTCGTCACTGACTCTGCTTGTGCTGCTACTTCTGGCACGTGGTTCTCGGATTATGATGGTGTGACTTGGACTGCTGCTTCTGATGTGGATATTGATCATGTTGTGCCTTTGAGGGTGAGTTGCTTGCTGGGGTGTGTTTGAGGTTCGCGTGTGCTTTTGCTGATCATCGTTGGTWTGGTTAGGAGGCTTGGGTTTCTGGAGCGAGGAATTGGGATAATGCTCGCAGACAGGCATTCGCAAACGAGTAAGGATCATATCCGTGTACTGTTTTTTGGAGGGAGGAGGAATACTGACAAATTATTCAAAGTCTCACTCGTCCTCAGCTGCTGGCTGTCACTGATAGTGTCAACCAAGGCAAAGGTGACAAGGTAAGAGAGACCAGCTTTCCAATACTTCGCAGAGAGAAATGCGTGCTTTTGCTGACGGTGTCGACAGGATCCTGCTGAGTGGCTTCCATCTCGTACTGCCTACCGCTGCACTTATATTCGTGCTTGGGTGCAGGTCAAGTTCTACTATGGATTATCGATGGATAGCGCTGAGAAGAATGCATGCCAGACCATTCTCAACGGATGTTAGGAGGGGGAGAATCGTTAACAACGTACGAACCCACTCGATTGTGAAATTCATCAAGTTCTGTGTAGCCCTGCTCTCTCATTTCACAATCCTCATCCTTCGACATCTCCAACGCCTTGAAAATGCAACAGGTAGAGCCATCACTACTCAAAGTCCCAAAGGGTTGTCACCCGACTGAGTCTTTCCTCCAATCCGCTCGCCGCCGGGAAGCTCCGAGTCAGGCTTGCCGTTGTCTTCCCCGCTATAAGCATGATCTCGCTTTGCTTGCTTCTGAACCTCCAGCATGGCCTCTCCGTTGGGATTTCCAATAGCTCCGGTGACGTGACCGAGAGGTTTCGTGGCGTAGCCCAGGACCTGACCGAGGGGATCTCCTACGACGGAAAGAGGGCCTTTGCCAGTGATAGTTAGGATCTGAGGAAGTACATGTATGTGGGGACTTGGTCTGAGGGATAGATACCTTTCTTCTCTGTTCCTAGCGGGCCGTCGGGCGCCATGTTGGGAACTTTCTCGAGCACTTTATCCATGATTCTGTTTCTTGAGATTGGGCGGGAATTATGGGGATGAGACAGGACTGATGAAGAGGAAAAGATGAAAATGCAGCATGCATGTGGTCTCGACTTGAATAATGATGGTAGACGGTAAGGTAGGTATCACGATGAAGTATGCATWACGCCATAGCTCACACACTGCGTGACTGGCGATCTTCCAAGAATTCCACCTCATGTGCATACCTGTGTACCTTTGATGTTGTACGACAAACTGCAAGGCTTTGGTGAGGACCGGGGGAGCAGTCAATACAGGCGTCCAGCTACTGCCCGATGACAGCTTGGGACGAAAGGTCCGGAAGATCCGCTGGGTAGTACGATGGGGATGAGATGGGAAGTGATGATCCAGGAAGCCGGCGGAAGAGATCCATGCGGACCCCTGTCGACCTAGAAATACCCCTGTCGACATGCAGAATGTCAGCACTTGGCAGACTGCACTCGTTGGGAAGAATAATAAAAGCACCAACATTACTCCAAACTCAATCCTTCAGTCGTCCACGCGAGACCATCGAAATCTCCGGGAGAACACACGCGGTGGTGTGAGCTTGGCATTTCATCAAGCGTGGTGACCGCGATGAAGACCCACGTTGTACGATACAGGCTCGTATGTAGCAAACGGCATCAAGGCGAACTTGCATCTCCTGCATCTCAACTCTATGCGTGGACTGCGATGAAATGTTTTCTGGCCAGACTGAGCTCAATCACAGGGAAGCAGCGATGTCCTTGCGGTTGACATGCTCATGATTTTCTTGGTTGTCACAGCACGATCACGGACTGGCCAAGCAGTTGAAGTCGTTGAAGCTCTGTGCTCATATTTGCCGCATTTGCCGGTACCAACCACCTTGTAGACTTCAGCCCGACGGGAATAAGAGTCCGGTTCTGCGAGTCTGCTCTACGTATGGGGAGTACGGTTGCGAGACAGTGCGACAACCCTCATACGCTGAAGGAATCCATCTGATAGAGCGAAAAGCAGCTCCAGTAAAGTCCCGAAAGCCTGCGGATCAAAAAATACCCTCGTTCATATATGTGTCCTACAGCCGGGACTGACCTTGTTATACGCCATCTGACCGAGCTCATCACATCTTCGATGACCAGACTTGAGAACAGGGTATAACCTATCGGATCGCAGCCGATGCTTCCACATTCTCCGGATTCTCCCCTACAGGTACGAGCACAGCATGCGGGGTTCAACGAACATGTGTAAAGTTACCGTGCTCGATCGGCAATTACTTGATACCCACAAGGGCGGGGCATCAGGCTCCACCCGATGGGCCACCTCAGGTCTTTAAAGAGGTAAATAAACATGTCCAGCTCGCTTGAGATGGGCTTGTTCTTTTTGCATTGAAGTGGAGTGACCAACAACATGTCGAGCACTGGATTGACTGTGGCATCGAGCAGCATTGGGGGCTTCGTTGCTGGCTCTGCCATCTTCTGGCTATACTTTCACAGATATGAAACCCATCTGTACGCCCTTCGATACCTCAACACATTTCTAGCTGCATCCGTTGCCGCGACTGCAATCCTCAACCAGGTCTACTCCTTGAGCTGGTCAGAGTCGGCAAGAGTCACGGCGATTGGAGCTACTGCATTCCTCGTCGGTGCGCTTGGCAACTGTCTCTACTACCGAATCTTCCTCAATCCATTGAACAACTTCCCCGGACCATGGCCAGCAAGAATCTCCAACATCTGGCTCTCGACTCAGCTCGGAAACTCGGACGGATACTACTGGCTACAGGAGCAGCACAAAAAGCATGGCAAAGTTGTGCGGATTGGAAGCCATGACATTTCCATCACAGATCCTGAAGTCATGGAGCTGGCATACGGAAGCAAATCCCGGGTCACCAAAGCGTCATGGTACGACAATGACTACCCTCTCAGCTCCATGCACACAACCAGAGACAGAGGTCTCCACGATCGACGTCGTCGTGTATGGGCGCCTGCATTTAGTGAGAAGGCTCTGCGAGACTACGAGGTAGAAATCCAGAACTTCAACGACAAGTTCATCACGAAAGTTGGCGAGCACGGAAAGGAACCCGTCAACCTCACCAAGTGGTTCAACCTTTTCTCCTTCGACGCCATGGGTTTGCTGGCCTTTGGTCGTGACTATGGAATGATGGACAGGGGTGAAAAGCCACATGAATTGGAAATGTTAGACGAGGGGATGCAGCCGCTTGCATATCGTCTTCCGAGCTGGTTCTTCCGCATGTTGACCCAGATTCCTGGTCTGGCCGCGGGCTACAACAAATTCGTTGCCTTTTGTGYTAGTGAATTGACATGGAGAGTCAAGCACGCCAGTGAGAAGAAGCGGGATAACGATATTATGGGCTGGTTACTGCAAGCTTATAAGGATGTTGCGAACCCAGAGAAGGACCCTATGTTGCAGGCAGATGCCCGTTTGATCATTGTAGCTGGAAGGTAAGTCTCCCCATGTCTCCATATCATGTTCAGCGGCGACTAACAAACAATCCACAGCGACACCACAGCGGCAAGTCATGTCCACCGGAGAGAGGCCCATTCCAAACCCTCATCTCCCCCTCAACCTCCATACTAAAAAGCTAACCATTCCCCCCCACAGGCAACATTCACCTACATGTTCTACCACCTAGCCCAAAAACCCTCCATAGTACAAAAGCTCCGAGAAGAACTAGACCCCCTAACAAAAAGCAGCGGCGGCGGCGACGGCAACAACTGGCAAGAAAAAGACATTCGAAGCGCCGAATGTCTAAATGGCTGCATCAATGAATCTCTCCGTATGCACCCTCCAGTCCCCTCGGGCGTCAACAGACTCACTCCCCCCGAGGGATTACAAGTCGGTGAGATTTGGATTCCGGGGAATACTACTTTTATTACGCCTATGTATGTTATGGGTAGAGGTATGTTTTGCATCTATGATATCAAAGCCACCTGTCTGTGGATCTTAATTGATTGACCTTCTCTCGTTTCTTAGATCCGGATATTTATGAGGAGCCTGATACATTCATCCCTGAGCGCTGGTATTCGCAGGGAGAAAAGGTTAAGCATAAGGATGCTTTTGCGCCGTTTTCAATGGGACCTTTTGGATGCATTGGCAAGAATTTGGCGCTCATGGAGTTGCGAACCCTTACTACGAAGATTGTGCAGAAGTTTGATATGAAGCTGGCACCGCATGAGGATGGATCTAGAATCTTGAAGAAGACTAAAGATCACTTTACTGTTGATCTCGGCGATTGCGAGGTGTTGTTCAGCGAGAGACAGCGTTGATTTCGACAGCTGAGATAGTGAAACGAGCTGATCTTTGTATTTAGTGAGCCAATACGCAATCATCCCGACCATTGTTCCATGTGAGACTAGATTCACAACCAATCCTGTGTAATGAACGCATAAACTTGACGCCCGCCAATTTCGCCTTGATCGAAAGTGTCGACCGACTCAGCGAAGCTTCTTCGCTTCGACACGCAGATTAAGCACCCTCCTATGACTTGCAAGACCTTCCCAATCCATCATGGCAGCCTTTGTCAAAGCAAGATGTCTCGCCGCTTGTGATGTTACGAGAGTGATTCATCGTCCAAGGTAAATTCGGACAACATTCAATCGCATCCCTCTAGGTTGGAAAACGCTTCGATGCTAGGGAACTCCCCCAGCGAGACATTGATAGAATCGTTGTCGTGGTCGTCCGATGGATCTCCCTCAGTAGCATCGGTGCTAGGATCTTCATCGACGTGCTGAAAGGCTGCCGGGAAACGCACACACTGTGCAAAGTACGGCCCCCCAAAGCGTCCAAACATAGCAACGCTGTCCCAGAACAAATCTTTGATCGACRATTTCTCGAGCCAAATCGCCACTGCCGACGAGATGGTAAAGAATGCKAGATGAAGCCCGAATTGAAGCCACATGAAGGACACCTCCGACAACTAGTCAAGACCCTGCTTCATTGCCCAGACTGAAACAGTTGAGAGCCCCGTAAAGAGTAATGAGAGTCCCATACTCGCCAACTCTTGTTTGATGTAGTTCGTGGTAGAGGCGGAACATAAGCTCCGTATAGGTCGGGAACATGCCGCGCAAAAGAGAGCAGAGAGGCTCACGTATCGGAACCACGGTATTTCGGTGGCATCTTCCAAAGCAGAGTTTGCCATGATGAGAACCCGGTTGAACGATTCGGGTTCGAGTTGTTGTATGATGCTTGATCAGATTATGAGATAAGGTTGAGCGGGAGTGGGATGTCGTTGTTGATGTTGGATGTTGCTGATGATGTTGGTAATGTTGATCTTGTTGATGTTGTGATGTGAGAGTTGTTGTGTTGTTGTGCATAGGTCTGGAAGTCAAGATGGATGGTAGGTAGGAGTAGACCTCGGACGGCAAGAGGTGATGCGACTTCTTCATATAAGCCTAGATGTAAAGAAGTATCAATCGAGGTTTAGCAACAAGGAAAGTCTCGAGGAGGTCTCGACCCCGTCGCCAGGGCTCAAATGGTGACGATATGGTACCTTTGGTAAGATCACTGCAACAACCATAGAGTTTGACTTTTGACTTAATTGACTTCTAAGGCTGGTAGTTAGTCAATTATTAAGTATTTAACTACTCGAGTAGTTAGTTAGGTAATTAAGTAAGTGACTAGTTACACAAAGAGGCTGTCGCTGCTATCGTTAATATTATTATCCTCCGTACCCCCTATAGTCTCCGCTGCCTCTATTATCGCCGCTACCCCCCCTATAGTAGGTATAGTAAAGCTATAGCGGTGCTAATCCTTCGAGAGCTTAATTAACCGGATAGTGTCGCTAAGTAGCTAAGAGCGTAACTAATCGACAGTTCTTCGTGTTTTGCTAAACGTACGCTCGCTCTTAGCGGACATTACGAAAGCTAAGAGGATGTTAATAGCTAGCTATAAAAGAGCTAGATAGGCCTATCTTATAAACGGCTGCATCTACTACTTAATAGCTGTTATATTAGTTAGTAGTGCTATAGGCGGAGCGTTTACGAAACTATCGAAATTATCGTATGTCTTTAGAACACTAGCCTTAGCTCGAAAGCGGTCGAATGCGGACAGCGGCTCTAGCGTATTGTCGCTCTACGTATAAGGCTAGAGTTTGTCCTTATAGGATTGCTAGAGCGACCTTATACGCTTTAATGCGCCTATATACTAACTAGCCTTATCGCTATACTACTATATCTTTAGCTATACTACTCGGCGCTCTAGATAGAGTAGTATTATAGCTATATAGGCTCCGGACACGTCTAGCAGTTTGTAGTACTTAAGAAAGAGACGCTCGGTAAGCTTAATAGGCTCCTTTAGCTTAGACACGCTATTACTACGAGCGTTAGTAATATAGTCGCTAATAAACTCTATGCTCTTTTAGATAGCGTCTAGCGTAGTGCTATAACCTTTAGCCTTTAACGTAACCTCGTTAAA